TTTTTTGTTGAGACATTAATCGGTTTGGCTAATGGTCTATCCCAACACTCGACTTCACCACTAATTTGGAGTATTTGCTTTATGCCAAGGGACCAGGCACCACCTTTACTTTCAAATCTGTCTGTGTCGAGGGCTAAGGTGGCCAGGGATTCTTTACCCATAAAGTTAAGCTTATTGAGGTGAAACCAGTATTTTGTTGCCAGGGCAAGCATATGAATTAACACTGGATAGCTTCCTAATTCGCCTCTGGCTGCTAGATTAGATGCCTTCCTGTGGACCCCCAGTATTGTTTTACAGGCTTTAATGTGGACATCTTCAGCAGGTGGTCTGTCACACCTTTCCAGGAGGTTATTCATGCTAGACTTAAGGATTAAAGGGGCCCATATTTCACAGCCGTAGCTAAGTATAGGGAGTATATATACTGTATATAGTAGTACAGTAGAAGCTTGGCTATAAACTGAAAACAAAATGCTCTCCTGGGGACCGAAGGGGGTTTTATCGCAATGCATAGTCTAGAACACTTATGATTGTTATCTGGGGGTCGTGAAATGAATATAGTTGTTAACAAATCACTTTTTATTGGTTGAACACACGCTGTTGATAAATACTCCCACCTTTTCATGGGCGCCGCCATACCACAAATGCATGATGGGATTGTTACAACCCCAGGCTGAAATATTTTCATAGGAAAGTATAGAAAATATATATCATTTGAAATCCGTAAAATAACTTTATATTTAGTTTTGCAAGCAATTTTTGCATTCCAACATGTTAAAATTTGTAATGTTGGAATCCACGGCTACAGCATTTCTGACTATCCAATCAAAATCAAGTCAGTCAACTGAATTGACCAATAAGAGTGCACCCCGCTGGTGTTTGAAAGAATTAAAGGGACTACACATTTCATTGTTGATTACGAACTTGCAAGTTGAACTACCTAATACTGGATTTTACTTTGCCCTTTATTTGTAGATTTTAGTCAGTTTTTATTTCTCAGATGGCTTTATCAAGAGTCAGTGCAGTAAGTATAAAATTTGATAGAAGTATTTTAAGGCAGATTTGATTATTTTAATCAGAGCACTTAGTAAAATAAAAGGATGGCTGTTGTCTGATGCAGTCACGTTTAGGTACGAAACGTGGCTTCATTTGGACAATTGCAGTCAAATGACTTCTTTAAAGACTGCTCTTTCTTTCATGTTTTAATGTAATTTACGGAAACTCGATCAGTACTTTGAATGTGATTCTTTATAGTCAATCGCATTCTAAAACCTGCATGTTTAATTCATGAAACCTTTTTGTGTAGAACTCGCTGCTTGGCGGAGGGCGCTATGTCCAGGACAGAGAAAATGTTGAAAATGTATTGGCCTCCAAAGCGGGCCCAGTCAGAGTTACACAGAGAGCTGCCCTTGGTGATATTAAGAACAAAGTGTCCAACTTTGCTACACAGAATGCCAAAAATGTAGGTGACTACTGTACATTTACAATTATTAATATTGCCAAAACTTGAATTGAGTTGTTCCATTAATCCTGCAAGAATTGGTCTCCTAAAATTGTTTTAATAGAAAGTGCTACTTTGAGTTTGACAAGAATTGTATTAAACAGTAAATTTTTTTATTATGTATCCAAAGGGTTATAGTTTGTGCATGTTTTTATAAATATATATATTTAACCTAAGAAGAAATTTCATTTTCCAGGGGCTTAAAAAGGATACAGTCAAAGAAAAGGGTCTTGTGAAGAGCAAAGGCACTTCTTCATTGCAGACAGTCAAAGAAAATGCAAAGGTAATTAGTTTGTGTCAGTCATTACATATTAACAATTGTTAATCTCATTTTCTTTTATCATATTGATAGCTCAAACCCATTTCATAGCCATTACAGCAGTTTATTTTAATGGTTCCATTAATTTCCAAACTTACCAATTCCATGTTAACACTGAAATGTCACTTATCTAGCCCAAGACAAAAGCTCCTTCCCCCATGGAAGTGAGCCAGCCAGAGTCCTACTCCAGAAGACTGATGAATGTGGAAGACATTGATGCTCAGGACAAAGAAAACCCGCAGCTTGTCAGTGAATACGTCAATGAGATCTACCAATATATGAGAAATCTGGAGGTAAATATTAGTAGGTTTAGATTTGGTAGCAGCCCATTAATTAATTGAAATGAGCTACCTAAGGCTGAAGGACTATGATGTTAGAGCTATTTTAGTTTTATTTCATTTATATTCAAGAAAAACGTATTCAATTAACCTTGGCCTGAAGTGAACACATGTTACTCTTTTTCCTCCTAAGGTTGAACAGGGTGTGCGTGAGAATTACTTAGAAGGTCAGGAGGTGACAGGGCGTATGCGCGCCATCTTGGTAGACTGGTTGGTACAGGTACACTCCAGGTTCCATCTCCTGCAGGAGACTCTCTACCTAACAGTGGCCATTATTGACAGGTTCCTTCAGGTAACTGGATGCATCTAGTTATATACAGATCAAGATGGTGTTATATGAGCTGAATGAATTTGTCTTAATTTTAATGACACAAGAAATGTGTCAAATAGAAAAAAAAATGGTTGAAATTGAAGTTCTATATATTTTACAAGATTGTCTATCGCTTATTCAAATTTAACTGGATTCTAGAGTAAGAATAAAATATTTTTTTCAGTTATTACACAAGATCCTCAAACTACAGGCAAACTGAATAGCTTTAAAAAGCAGTTATTTTATTTATTATTATTTTTATTATTATTAGGTTCAAGCGGTGTCTCGTAGTAAGCTTCAGCTCCTTGGTGTGACAGCCATGTTGGTAGCTTCCAAATACGAAGAGATGTATGCCCCTGAAGTGGCAGACTTTGTCTACATCACAGACAATGCATACACAAAGTCGGAGATCAGGAAAATGGAGATCTTAATCCTTAAGGGTTTAGAGTTCAACTTGGGGAGACCCTTGCCTCTACATTTTCTGCGTAGAAACTCCAAGGCTGGTCAGGTGAAGATTGTTTATCACACATAATTCATTTGCAATATAAAGACGAAGTCCTATCTTCTCTTGGTGGTTTATGCCTTATGGATCCCCCAAACCTGCCCATTCATAGGGCCACCAAGCCATTACTTCCTACTGCTTTCTGGTTTATAGAGCACTTGGTACAGTGGCCTATATTTCAGATAGTTACCCAAGTACTATCAAATTTAGGTGTGCAGTGCCCGTATATGTGCCAGTTAGTTTATTTCTTATTATTTTAATCATTTTCAGGTTGATGCTACAGTACATACACTAGCCAAATACCTGATGGAGCTAACAATAGTAGAGTATGACATGGTGCAATACACTCCCTCCCAGGTGGCAGCAGCTGCCCTGTGTCTGGCTGTCAAGGTCCTAGATGAGTCTGACTGGGTAAAGTGAATTTACCTTCTGTATTAGCTGCTAATTTTGTTTCATTGAGTTGTCTTTGGTCGTTGTTTGATGTTGAAATCCAAGTAAATTGTAAACAAATCTTCACAGCATAGTACAAATGGTTACTTGGTTATGGTCCAACTTGTAGTGAAGCTCATTTATATTTATTTTACTTTTGGACTTAAATAAGATTCTTTTTTTTATATTCAGACGGACACATTAACACACTACAGTGGATATACAGATGAACAAAACAAACCAGTCATGCAGAAGATGGCTGCACTAGTGGTAAAAGCTAACTCTGGAAAATCAAAACTACAGGTAATGCTCAATACCCCCCCCCCCCCTCCATGTTTAAAAGAGACAATACCAGAATTATTAATTTACTACATATACCTCTTCTTGGTAGCTAAGTGTACCCTCTACCAGGGTGGCATATTATATAGGGGAAAAAATTGGAAAAAGAGATAGTAAAGTGACAGTCTATTTATCTAAAGACGTATCTGTGAATATTCTGTGAAGTCAATCTGTGGCCCTGGTAGAGGGTACTTGAAGTGTACCTTTGCCGTTAAACATAATCTGCATTATTGTTTGTTTTAGTTTGCCTATGATAAATGAGAAATTTCTTTAATTTTTTGTCAGATTATTAAACACGGTTCATTTGTCGTGCAGCAATGTGATATTGATTTGGTATTATTCTTCCCTGTAAAGGCAATCAAAACCAAGTACCAGAGCTCGAAGTACATGAAAATCAGTGCCCTGCCAGAGCTCCACACCACAGTCATCCATGACATTGCAGAAGGCAAATCGTGAAGCCATGGACATTGGTTGATACAACCCTGGAGTATGTGTGCAAATGTGTGAGCAGTTGAGAGAGAGGTGTTAAAAGACCGTTAAACCCAATCAGGATTTGTCAGGAATTTGGGTTTTTATCACCTCAAGTTTCATCTTGATCATGTAACTTTTTTAAATGCTGCTTAAATCTTTTTTTTATATACTACCAGTCATTTTTTGAAAGCTAAGTCCTTTTATGGAGCTGAAATATGTACATTTGATGTGAATGCATTTCCTCACTTTTAAATATCAAAGTGATAAATGAGGTAGATACGGAAAAATCTGCATGAGAATTAAACTATACAGCATGGTTGCAATTAGCATGTGGGTTACTTGTATATAGTATATTGGCTTAGAAAATCGTGTATAAATGATTTTTATTTCAATAAATGTTTTATTTTTATTAACAAGACTTCTGATATCTGACTTGAAATAAGACTAAATGGAGATTAAAAGACAAAATAAAGGATTGAGGACCCCAAACGAAATGACTTGTTCATTTTAGCATTACCTTGTATAAACCATGGAAATATATGAAAAGGTTTGGACAAAGTATTATACTAAACTGGAAATTAGATTTACAATAATGTAATTGGCACTATATCCGTTCAGATGCTAAGATCAGGGGAATTAAACTTTAAAACAAAACTCGTTTTAGTAAATGTTCATGAAAATGGTATAAGTTGCTTTGCTTTAATACAAATTGCATCCTCAACTGTTCTCTATCCAAATAAGTCTCAAGGCTTAACAAATTGTTAAAGAATCAACAAAAATAAGTAATGATGCATAACTTAAATGCCGCTCAATTTCCAGTAAATTGCAAAAAAAAAAAAAAAAAAAAAAAATTCATATAAATGATATAAGTTTACACTGACATATTCAAAGTATCAATGGACCTGGAAGAAACGAGTATATTCTCCAAACAGCAATTTCAACTGTTCCTCTGAGATTCCAAACTTGCTCAGTGAATTATCAAACTTTCCACATGTTGCTTTCATCTCCCCATCTCTCAAATATTCCTTCATGTTTGAAATGGCTTCTTGGGAGACCGTTAAACCCATTTTGTCATAGATGCATTTCACAACTTCAAGAGGATCTTGTAAATAATTTTCATAATTCACATCTAAGAATGTTACATTTTCCTCCATTTGGGATGTAAAATTATTGATAGCATGTCTCTTCCGAGTAGTCAATGATTTTTCATAAAGCCATGTAAGTAAATCCAAAACCCTGAGTCCAAGCGCATTGAGGTTAATGTCTCTCTTTCTATAAAATAATTCAGCTATTTGTGAATACAGTGTACAGTACTGACTAGCAGCAAGCACTGGACTGCAGTGCATCTGTACAATGCAAGCATCTGGGAAAACTTCTAGTAGAGCATCCAAGAAAAGCATGTGCGTAGGATCCTGCAGAACAAAAGTTCTCCAACCAAAACCTGGAAAAAAAAAAAAAAAATAAATATATATATATATATATATATATATATATATATATATATATATATATATATATATATATATATCAAGATGCACCAAAAAGGATTATGTGTGGACCTCCATTATCATTGGCCTGATATATGTTGCAGTATTTTAAAGTCAACATTACTTTATATACTCAGTATATGGAATGGAGTATCTTTAGCTAAAACCCTTTGTTTGTGTTGGGAAAGAATACTAGTATTCACAAAAGCTTTTGCATCACTCATTTTGTCCTCTGTAAACCCCACGCAAGAACATTTGACCCTTCATTTCAATTCATGCCAACAAACATAAAAAACTTTACCCTGATTAAAAGCTAATAGCTGCAGTTGCTTCTTGTAATACTGATAAACTTTGACCATCTCACTTCTGCTGCATCCTTTCAACCATTGTCTGTACTCTGACATATTCAGACCAACAACTGGGGGCAGCAAGTCGATAAAGCTACGCTGTAGAACATGACTGCATGCAGCAGGATAGGTGGCATTTTTGCCAAGGATAAGCTCAATACTTGGACAAAAAGAGGTCATCCAACCTGGAAAAAATAAAGATAACTTGTTTACAAGAAATGCCTATGTTATAACAGAAATATCTGTATAAATTCTACCAATCTTGATTAAAAGCATTTTGTTAATGACCCTTATATAATTAACTATTGTCATGAATTTACGTATAAAGCAACCATGGACTATAAGACCCCATTCCCACAGATTTTAGATCGATCTATCCCTGTGGGGAGTCTCACTGTCAGCTTAGCTGGCTTAAGTGTCTGTCCCGCCTACTAAAAGCTGTAAGAGGGTAATTAACTACCGTGCGCGCTTGGCTGACATCAATTTAGCGTGAACCCCCAGGGAGTTAGGTCGATCTAAATCTAAATTTCTGGATCGATCTAAATCTCTGGGAATGCACTCTTAAGAACCACTTCTACTAGTTTCTGATATTACCAAATTAATCCACTGTTCAGCCAAATAATGGCTTAAAAATAGCTTCAATTGGTAAAGATTGATCCAACACTGGGGACCCTTACTAAATGCAACCAGATTAGCAGATCAACACACCTCCATTTGTTTCCAACATACTTGTATAATAAACCCCTTTTCTATTTTCTAGCCATAAGGAGGAGTGTTAATCTGTTAATCTGACTGCATTCAGCGAGAGTCCCTGCAGAGTGGAATCAATCTCCGAAGAATGATAGTTTCATTGGGAATGACCCCTAAGACATTGCTAAAACTTCAATAAAAACAATAAATTCTGTACTAAGTGAACACAACTCTTACCAATATATCTGTTTGTCTCTCTGATTCTGGCATCTGCTGGAGATTTTGTCGATTTTGGTGGAGGTGTGGGATTCAGCAGTTGCCACAACTGAGGAACTTGATTGGCTGGGTCTTGTGCAAGAAGAGCCTGAAGTTGGTTACAACCAGAGAACATTGGACCAACTACGAAAATTGGGTGCTTGATGGGAACCTAAAAAAAAGAAATTTATTTATATATTAGGTCTCATTTGCATACATAAATCTGGGAATAATAGCACATGTTTAAAATGTAAAAGTCTATTCCATAAAATTGGCTTCTAGCATTTGACTCATGATCACAAATGGGAGTGCTAGTGGCCAATGTAACTTCAATTCATCATGTTTGCAATAATAGAGTACAGAATTGTGTAGTTACAATGTAGAAACATGAACAAAGTAGCATGACAATAAAATCATTTTACTATTAGTCATGTAAATAAATTTTCATTTCATAGAAGTAATTTTACACAACATTTAGTAACAGTCAAAAAAGGCTTCTCTCCCCCTTTCTCTGAAATTCTACAAAACAATGAACTGTTATCTATCTGCATAAACAATTTTAATTAACTGTTCAAACAAGAAATGTTACCACAGAAATGCCTGCATGTTTCCTCAAAGTTTGCTGAATTGCAAGCCTCTGAACCAATGTGTCTTGGTACTGAGCCTTTATCAATTTCCTTCCGAATGTTGTTACTTTCTGGTCTTTTCCCCAACAATCTGCCAAAATGGAAAAAGGATGGGGCCAACCCAGGTCGTCCGAACAATTTAATGAACCATTCCTTGCACCATTTGCGATTCTTTTTCCTCTGCAAAAGCAACGCCGAAGGTCTTGTGATCCTGGTATATTGCTAATTATCAAATCACTAGAAATCTCATAAAGTTTGATCCCGAAAATCAGCCACATTACATAGCCATAAATGTTAAGGAAGAATCGTCCCAGTCTTCGACACCATGTTGTAAGCCCCATTTTTTAGAGATCCACAATCACAGATATCAACAGCATCTGTCATATATACAATATGGCACTTCACACATGTTCAATTTGTATCTGATCGTAGTATGACATTTGGGTGTAGCTCCACATAATGAGGTCACTTCATAATGAGAACCATCACGGAAGTCGGTGACTGTGAAGTTGACACCGCCAAGTTTCTTCTTATTCTGGAATACATTAATATATAAAAGTTTAACATTCCTGCGAATAAGTTTTTAAACTGGTCACTTGAACGAAAAGCAAGCATCACATAGTTGTTTACGTTTTATAAGGACACAATTAAGATACAGGCATAGTAGACACTAGGACAAATGAAATACTTCTGTTTCCGTTTTTGAAAAAGGACTTGTCCCGCCGCTATAAACATCCGGTAACTCCGCACTCGAAATTTCCGGTTGTTCGTTTTGGCGACGCACGCTGCGGCGGACGACGGCACACGAAAAAATCAGCGTGCAACAACTTGAGCAAAGGGTTTCAAGATTTCAGGAGGCTTTTTTTACATAATAAGCCAAATAGACCCTCACGCATAATTTGCATATCATTGTAGGTCTAAGAAACAGCTCAAAATACACGTTACTGCTTATATTTACTGTTATTTCCAAGATCATTTCCTATTCTTTCACTAAAAATGGCCTTTGATTTGGCTTGGAAACATAATTTAAACAACACTGTTAAACAATGTGAAAAAAATCTATAGAGGTCCCATATCTTTAGATATATATTCGATGTTAAAACTTTATGTTGGAGAAATAGTAAAAGAAAATTAAATACTAGTAAATAAAAAAAAAAAAAAACTCAGCAATCTTTGCCCTAGAATGTTGGAGAAATAATAAAATAATTTTTTTTTCAAATTCGGGAATTACTGAGTACGAGCTATCTGACGTAATCTGACGTCATGACACTTCTCTTTTCCAATTATGACGTCACAATAGTGTGACGTCATTGACAAGTTAGCATAGTTACTGACTATACTATATAGTATTCGACGAAGAGAAATTTGATTAAGTTACTAAGATGATTATTTTCACCAATTTCTTGTTTCTCGCGATTCAGTGCTTCGGCTCATTTGTGAAGCAGAGGGCAGGATATTCAAATGCCAAGGTAAATAGGCCCCTTCAACAAGATGCATTGTAAGCCTTTATGTCTATTGGCGAACTATTGTTGCGCTCGTTGAGAGAGTGATGATATACGTTGGTAATGAGTAGGCCTACATGTATGTGATGAAAATATTCAATTATTATTTGATAACGCATGTTGGGAATTTCCGTGGAATACGCACTCGAATTATTTCTATATTGGCTATATATTCAACGCGCAAGTTGCGTTATTTCTTACCCTGTCCAGGAAATCGTATAATTTACCTTAAATACAATTTACTTTTCTGTTCCGAAGTTAATTTACAACAACTTTTTTTAAAAATAATTTATATTTATTCATTTGTGATATAATTGGTTGGTTTATTCTTTTTTCCAGCTAGTTGACGAAGTTTGGTAAGTTTTTCACACGTTTTTAATCATTTGAATTCTTATCTGACGGCATCTTTCATTGTTCTGTTATTCTGATAATTCTTCATACACTGCCTCTAAATACTTTTTAATAAAACTAGAAACGCACTCGACCAGGGTGTGCAGACCTCCGCCAAGGTAGCTCAATCCACATTAGCATGTATTTTAATAGCATGTATTTTAATTAAAATTAATCAATCAATCAGCACTAAAATGTAATAGATTTTAGCTGGCCCATTTTATCAAAATACGCCCGTAACGTTAGATTGACAAACCAACACAGGGAAAAACATAATTACAGTAACTTTCTTGGCGATGATAATAAATCAAGGAATGATCGTTGTAGGTCATACACAATTGCTACTTGTGACCATTTGGTTTTCGTTCTCTGAAAACAATATCTTTTTACTTTACCATCTTCAGCATGCCCAGGAAATTTGGATGCTTTTCCGACATAGATAAGTTTGAAGCTGCAGAGGCGGCAAAGAATGCCAAAGACTTCTTTGCATTGGTGGTGTCCTTGGACATTTCTGGCGTTGAGTTGCTTGGGATCATTGAGGATCGTCTGAATAAGGCAAGGGCCCAAATGGTAAGATGACTTTGTATTATATTTATTTATTTATTTATTTATTTATTTGGAGCATGATGCACAATTAATGGATTAAAAAGAGAAGAAAAGAGCGAGCAGTGTCAAGCCATGATGCCTTTTTATGTCGAATTTTTCATTATGAAATACCAAATTTTTATGCCATGACCATGATTTTTAAATATGATGGGTTACACATTCGTGTAAGATTAACAGTGGGTTAATGTTGAATTCAAGTGAAGTGTTTTAATCAGTGCTCAGTAAACATTATTACTTTTTGTAATTTCCATTTTTACATTTTCAGGATGGCAACTTTGCTAAAGAACTGCAAGAAATTGTCAGGTAAAAAAACTCACTGTTTCATTATTTGGCATCAATTCAGATTTTGTTAATCATGATTTTATAGCCAGGATGGGGGGTGGGGGTGTAAACGGTGTTTGTTGGGTGCACTTGTTTACAAACCCGCATAAATAATACGACCCTAGCATTTACTTATTTTGCCGTCTAATAGATATTATTATTATTATTAATTATTATTACTATTATTGAAAAGTCATTTATTTATTCATTTTTCAGTTCTGCTAATTTGCAGCTGACTTCCCCTTATCTGTGGATGCAGTGGTACAAGGAATTGAACAGAGACGTCTTTCCTTGAGTGTCATAGCCAAGATGGACTATATGTTTCTACATTTGACTGACTCAAATATTATAGATATTTGTTATTTGTTCAAAAATATAATTCTTGTATATTATTCAACTGTATATAATACACTCAACAATTGATATAAAATAAAATATACTCAATCTACTCAACATAATGAACTCAGCGCTAATACTGTTTGCATAAATGAGAATAAACATTTTCTTATCGTATATCATTTGTTCCAATTTGCACTGAACACAACTGCATATCAAAATATGTTCACCCTTAGAAATACGGGGGTGCATATATGAACAGACATAACATCTGAAGCAAATATACTTGACTGCTGAATAATACCTCTTAACCGTATAATAAACTGAGTTATACTAAAGATCTATAAGGGGGGAAAACCTTCATACTCGATGCCACAGATGGCGCGTTTTGATTTCTCTGTATATACAGCAATTCAATTAGTACTGTGGAACTAAGCAACCTCTCACTGAATATTCGTGTCTTAAAATCATATTTTATTCTCAATTTTCAACAATCACAGACACATTCATTTTCATTGCTCTCTTGATAGTATGGATTGTCTTCTAACAAAAGTTCAGAGCGGGTGTTCTGGTCAAATAGATGTGAAGGGTAGAAATTGTACCAACAGTCTTCAGACATTTAGGGACGGTTTTCATGAAAAGCTGAAACAAAAGTAAACCGAAAGAATACATGCGAGTAGCGTTAATTAGTAAAAACAATCAAATCATTTCTTTTCAAAAAGATGACGGTGGACATATATTTAATAAAATGGTACATGTATCGTCAATTTATCTACCTACGCCTGAAATGTTGATTAATACTTGCACCACCGTGTCATCTTGTGGTCACAAATATTCCATCAGTTACAGGACACTTATCGTGAACTAAATTCATTCTATTATTATTATTGTTGTTATTTTTTATTTATTTATTTATTTATTTATATACCAACTTTTTTTTGGTTAAAGTTGAAATAAGACTATACATTAAATCGTAAAACAAAAAATGTCCCTCTTACCCCAAAGGTGTTTTGAGACGGATGCTCATATCTTGTGGATGGGTAATTGCCCTGGAACGCCCAGCCAAACGCGTTCAGTTTACCTTTGTTGTACAAGAGGAAGATTGGTGCAAAGTCGTTACAGCTCATGTCTTCACTCAGGTTGTACCAGTAGTGCACGCCTGCGTAAAAGAACAAAGTTTGTGTACTGTATTCTCTGACGGGGTTAGGTTCGGATAAGTGGGGTGTAAGAACTGTGGATCAATTTTTTATTTGCCTGACCTCCTGCTTGATTCCATATTATATATATAGGTTAATTTTAATAAATTTAGATCATGACTCTCTCTGCTCAATCAACAACATATCTAAACCAACTAAGCGCACAGAAACTGAGCGCGGGATGGCCACTGTCAAACATCAGGTCTCCGGACTCACCCATGCCGTAGAAGCATTTCCCCAAAGTCCACTTCGTACCCTGGACCTCGCTCTCCTTCAATGGAATGGTGATGTAATCAGAGGCAGGGTTCGGGCCTGTCTGAATGTAGAGCCCCGTACCGGTCCCTTGCTGGTTAAATTCTGCTTCTGTGCGGCCGTTGGAACAGATAGTGGCTGCAGGTAGAAATATCAATACATTTTTATTCAAAGAATCGACTTAATAGGTACATTGATCGTAACGTCAGGATCTTATACCTGATTATGACATGTCCTTTTAAGGTACACTTTTTTTCTGATGCCTAGTTTTAAAAAATCAGTGAAATTGTTCTAAATGTATCCCCGCACCTGGACGTGACATTTTCGGCAACGCTTTTCTTCTAACTTCCCAATAAAAAGTCTTTTCACCGGTACGCCTGCACTCATAAAGATGCAAATTTTGATCGTGGAACCCAAACAGATGGAGAAATGCCGATAATCTGAGATAATCTTAGATAATCTTAGATAGTGATAAAATCTATACCCCAGTGCATTTCACGTTGGAAAGCAGATTAGATATAGGCCAGAGGGGAGGAGGGGGGGGGGGGGAGGAACAGACCGAGTGTCGACCCTTGTTCAGGTCAACATCAGTACATAAATCCGCCATTCTGTTGGAGAATCATGACATGGCATGACAGAATCAGCTACTTACCAGGGTTGACGAAGTAGGCCGTTATTTTGTAACCTCCACTCTCTTCTCTGAAGTACTTCATGATCTCTTGGTACGGATAGGGATTGCTGTTAAGGCTGGGAATCTTAAAAAGATTAAAAAAACAAGTTGAATGCCAACTTGGGTTGCAATTATGGTCGATATNGGGAGGAACAGACCGAGTGTCGACCCTTGTTCAGGTCAACATCAGTAAATAAATCCGCCATTCTGTTGGAGAATCATGACATGGCATGACAGAATCAGCTACTTACCAGGGTTGACGAAGTAGGCCGTTATTTTGTAACCTCCACTCTCTTCTCTGAAGTACTTCATGATCTCTTGGTACGGATAGGGATTGCTGTTAAGGCTGGGAATCTTAAAAAGATTAAAAAAACAAGTTGAATGCCAACTTGGGTTGCAATTATGGTCGATATACAATGATAAACCCTACGATGTAATGTCCTGGGGATTTTATTACATTTCACAATCAACTGATAATCGTGCCTCTAGACATTTAATTAGATGGCGGTTGTTTTTTATTTTTGTGCTTTCTTTCTTCAACAGAACGAAAACATAAGGTTATGGATAAGATGTGAGAAAAAAAATCACATATTGGCCTTTATTTTTAAGATGACCTTCATCAACATGCTCTGTACCAGTTAAAGTTTCTTGAATTCTTACGCTGCAGCAGTATAGGACGGCATATGCTATTAATATCTATAATTCCATCTTCAAATATATCGGCATTGTATACGTATACCATGTTATTGCTAGCTTACTCAACATACACCCTCCCTTTGAATGAATCAACCTCTTAGACCTAGTACACATTGTCAATGGCATGACCTAATACTATCTTTAAAAAAGGCATTGGCATAAAAAACTTTACCCCAGCTTCTATCCCAGCGATGTAACCATTCTTATCAAAGATGAGTATAACAGCCTCGTCCCCGTCCTTCATGTACCGATTGCCAATTATGTTTTTGGAAGCTTAATAAATAATAATAAAAGAGATAAGAGGTAATTTTTTAAAGTTAGTTGGATGTCAGAATGAAAATGTTTCCAGGAATTGGTATTTCGATTTGTAACTTTTTTTCAAATTACTTTATTTGTAAAAGTTTTCTATTTTTTTTCCTTAATTCATTTGCACGTTACCAAGCAATTTTAAAATCGGACAATTTTCAGCCATTTTTAAAATATTCCTCATGGAAAGTAAGTGCTGTTACCGCCGCACGCCGAAATCAACTTGAAATCGTCAGCCACTGCGTCTTTTACGGTCCTCGGCACCGCATTAAAAGACGTGAGAGGGTTGCCGAACGTCACTGGGAAAATTACAAATACATTTATTACTTTTCTGGTCAGTGTGTACATAAATGACAAATACAGGGGAAAATAGAGACAAGCTTGTGGTTTGCAATATCTATTCTAGAAGCTAAGTAAGCAGTATCGATAAAAATATTCGCACAGTACAATACCAATTACACCAATATGTACATTTAAATTGAGACGGTGAAATTGCAATGAAAAAAGAATTTGTTTAGAATGCGTAATACATTTAGTTACTGTTCAGTGCTGTGATAATAAAAACTTGGAAAATATTACCTCGAAGGCCATTCCACGCTGGACCACCTGCAAGGCAAGTTCAAACACGATTCAATTCATTACTGATATAAATTTGTGCTATCCTTCACGGAGTGTGGCTCAATCTAATTTTAAAACAAATTGATCCATCTGTAGAAAATGCATCACTTGTAAGTTGATTTTTTTAGATAATCAAAAGTTTAACAAGAAAATAACTCTTTGTTGTGGGTGTCTCTAGGTTCACTTCTTGAATGCAGCTTACCGACACTTAAACTCCGGATCTTTTAAGCATAAAATAATCTCAATAAAATATATAGATATTTCAGCTCTATAAATCATTAGCTGAAACTGCTCAACTTTAATCACGCGCAATGAAATAAAAAGCGAATTGAAGATTTTGTTCATACCGCCCAGGAACGCCTCTGTGGTAAAAAGGAAGGTTGCCAATAAAGCCAATACCCGGTGCATAGTGTTAGATCTGTGCCTCCTCCGTGGCAAGTGAGGCCACAGGTACACTCGCTATCTTATAAATATCATCTTAATATCAGCCATCTTTTCGTTAAGTCACTAATCACGAAGAAACTGTGGAATTTTAGGAGCGACCAAGTCCAGTGACGTCGCAAAATGACTGCATTCACAAGTAAGGTGTGAGGATCCGTGTATCAGATAGTCCGACCTCCATTAGATCCCTACAGGTTAGGGTTAGCGTGAAATGGGACAAATCGAGGACAGGGATTACCAGAACAAATCAATGGGAACCGATCCCTGTATCACAGGAGGCTCTCTCGAACATGACAACGACCTCATCATCTCTTCCGCCTACTAAGATTGACGGGTTTTGATCAAAGGAAAGCCTATCTGGTAGAAATTTGTACACAGTTGTTTGTAAACGTAGATGTAATTCAGTGCAAAAACCATTTGCACCGTTTTTAATCATTTGCCTTATCTATGTTTTGTATATTATTTATATCTTTATTTGCCTGTTTGTCTGTTTGTTTGTTTCTTTTATTTCATTTTTATCGTTTTTTATTGCAAAAAAATCCCATCTTGACCTGACCTTGAATAAAAAACAACTGATTTGTTTTACACTTCATCTTTTCTTATAAGTTGGCCGTTTTGCGATAATGAAAATAGCATTAATCAGATTTTATAGCCCAGTCTCTTAATCTTCGTCTTGGGAATGGGGTTAATAGCGATGACTTTCCTCCTCCACGTTGTCACGATCTGACCCTTACCTCCTCGATATGGAGCATCACTAAGACACCAATCTCAGCAGTATTTGTCACCTTGCAGGAGTAGCAGTCCTGTTTGCAGTCTAAACGTTATCTGTAAGGTGCCTATGTCTATACCTTGATTAACTTATGTCATTGTAACAAAATATTGTACAGTTTTAAGCATAAAAACTTTACATCTCTTATTACTCAGTGAATATGACAAATGAATTAGGAAATGACTTACATGTAAGTTGATCTAAAGAAAACGATGGACGCCTTCGGTTATTTATTCGAGTGACAGCACATTATGACACTGGGAAATGATTTCTTGAATCACTAAACTGCTGTGTCACCTGCTAAAATAAAAGGATGGCATCTACCTTCAGGCCCCCCTTTCACAGTGTGGCAGCTTATTTTTCATAGTTCAGTTTCTTTTATACTTCAACTAGTTGATCTAGTAGCTTCCTCTATGGTCACCTTTCATGGACGTGCTTTTTAATCCTGACCAGTATGCACTGACTAGAAATGAAGACAGGTCAATGACAAGCTGGCTGGCAGTTTACAGAAAATCAAATAAGATGTTCTGAAGACTGATCGATGTATATATGTGCACAGTGCAACAAGAATAACACCAATAGGTAAAGGAAGATAATGAAAACCCAAAGGTGACCATCATAATATGTGAATACTGTATTAAAAACCGTGCCATATGATCATAGGGGAAAAAACGTGTATACAAGCGTGGAAGCTATAGGCGATTGACTGACACGTTTATATTTGTTGAGTGCGATTTTCTTGTGACATCTTTGGGCGGTGTTTTTGTGTCTATACGAGATTACAAAATATCCAGATGCAATGATAAATATATGCTACAATGCCAGTGCATGAAACTTCCAGCTTTGAAAATTACTTAACGCAATGAAATAGAACGTAAGATAACATATCAATTGACAAGCATGGATTCCCATGAGTAAACAGGCGACTAATTAAAGTTGCAGCATGCCAATAAGAACCAGAAAAACAGTTAATTTTCAAGCGCTGCTTCTCTGACTAGAAAACGTAATGAGACTTTGTGGGATATGCCGTTAAAAACGAAAGCACCTCTAATCGGTGGCTTTCATCGAATAATGATTTCGTCTTAGAAGCGGCTGACAGCTAGATAGCCTTTTACTCTTGTAAAGAGGGATTCCTAAGTTTGATGCCAATAAATGAGTGTCTTAATGGCTTTTTTTTTCTGTTGAAAAAAATTAAATGGTATCAATTTTCATTTTTCGAGGAAAGGAACTAATGCGTCTCACTTCTCACAACGGACACGTACCCAGTAAATCGTCTGCATTAATAGTCTGAACTCGACTGAGGTTAAAGTTGACAGCACACAGGACGCCCTGAAATTTCTGGTGACAACAAGGTTTTACTGTAATAAAAGATATGTGTATTATTATTATTATTATTATTATTATTATTATTATTTGGCCTCGGATGTTCAGGGTATCCACTTGTTTATTGATAAATTACTACACTATCAGACAAATTAGGTTAGCAAGCCGCGGGATAAAGTGATAATAGCTCGTTAATAATGTGACACCTCCACGGCCTGTTGTCTAGTTGATGGATCGGTTCGCCGGGCGATATAGTCCTAGATCGATATACTCGCAGTAGAAGACACAGCAACATGGCAGGTCTGCTTCACTTATCTGTTGGAAATTATTTCGATCTAAAATGAGAATGGTTCATTTCGTGTGTGTGATATAGTGACAAATTTTTTCAACGCCTTCAAGGGTTTTTGTTCATTTCCTATCTATTCAATTTATATTTATTTATATTTTAGATGCTGCATTCGTTTCTTATGAGATACAGAACAAACTATTTTATAGCATAGCTGTGTCATTTTCTATGTGTTTTATAGTAAAAACGAGTCATAATATTCTTTTTCACCTCAGGTTAAGTTCGTGCCGAGGTGTCCGGGTGAAGTATTTTAAAACTATCATGAACAAATACAGCTGGGATTCTTATTACACGTTCTTACTCTCTACTCATCTGCAATATCATTTTTATTCTACGCAAAATGAAGTTGGAAAGCAGTACTGTCTGCACAATTTATCTGTCTAGAAATATTGTAAAGAAGCATTATGCTGTTAACCCAGTTGGAGACTATTCAAATTCAGCAGAGTGATCTCGTAAGGTAAAGGAAGGCCTGCGCATGTTAAAATTATTGCAATAATCGAGAAAGAAGCAGTGTGTTAGAATAGAGAATCCTCTTATCAATAATTCACTGTTCTGCCAATCTTACCGGCAGCCCCGTGTGGGTTATTGCGTGCAAAACGAATTATGTAGTGTTTCTTCCCAAAAGCGGGCTGCAAAGAACTTGGGTCGCAATCAATGTAAGATTGTTCATATACAGTACTGGCTTTGGAGAAGTTGCTAAAGAAAGGTAATTAGAAGATCAGTTGAAAAAAATCGTTATCCTGGGCATATGGCAAGCGTAGAATCGTATTCATGCACACAAGACTTAACACAATAACGTTGTCAGAACGTTTGAATTGGATGAAAAGAATATGCGCAGCTGAGCGCTTCCAACTGTTAGAGACGTGAAGATGCTTTTATGCTAAATATTATCGGGTAATTTTTATGAACATCATCTAAAACATGAATTTACCACTCAGCTTCCAGCCTGTCGATGCATCAGCGCGTTGCTCAAGTGTTTAAATTACTCTCAGTATGAAATTGAAGGGTAACTGTAAATTTGGTTTATTTAATAATTGATAAATGGATCGCTAGAAAGTAATTTATTTTCTTAGATATCTTTATCTTTTATCTAATTGTCCTTATCGAAATGTCAAAGCTATCTTTTTAGATTAATGGAATTACTTCCACTGACACACACAAAAAAGAAAAAACAAAAAACAGACAAATAAAAGATAAGTGATCCAAAAACATTCAATTCGCACATTATAGGATACATTTGAGTTTGAACCGTGGTACAGGAATGGCTGGTAGAAACGTGAAAATTGTTGATGACACCTAGAAAATGTGTTGTTTGCTCGGGTCAAAATTCTACGGACCATCCTTTTATCTTTGTTTGAACAAAAAGATCAGAGGTATTACAAGACTTCTCCATTAAGCGGGAAATACATGTATGTCTGTCGGAGGACCAAGATTGTCAATAATCTAATTCATGTTCTCTCTATTTAAGAATGTCTATATTGATTAATGCAGCAAATAATGTTTTTGATAATCTGTTCTTTCATTAACAAAAACAGATATAACCTTTTTCTGGCATTAGAAAATTGTTAAAATGGTGCCAGCTGGGGAAGGCAATCAGAAAAAAAAACATGTCCTTAGCACATACATCAGGTATAACATTACCTGCTACAAACAGAGGTGAAAATCAATACTGCTGTCTTCACATGGAAATATTAGTTCAATTCCCTGTTCACCTTATATGTCATATACGACGGCGAGAGAAGCAGTGGAACGAAGTCTATTTCTTTGATATCTTCGTAAACCTTGTGTAATTTCTTCAAATATCTTTGTGGGGGAAATGAAACGCCATCGAAAATAACACTGGAAAAATGGCCGGGCTAGTTTCCGCGGATCTTTTGTAGATGAGCTAAAGAGTATTAGAATATGACCACGCAGAATGATAAATTGATCAAGATAGCAGGAAGAAATTTACTAAACTGACAAACATGGTTGAAAGATTTAATATGAAACACATCAGGCTACTCTATCAGTGGCGTAGATTAGATTTGCTCGTCATTTTCAGATGAAAAACGATGCTGTAAGTCTATACCTAACAAAGAAAAACAACAGAAAAAGAATGAAAACCCTCTGTTGCGTGTCTAGCGCCTTCACAATTGTCCAGAAAAAAGTAGGAGGGGCACAATACATATATATATACGTGTCTCATATGGGCAAAATCGACAAAAGTCCGTGTCCGAGTCTTTTTGGTAGAGACTAGGGTCCAACATACAAATAATATTGGATTTTAGTTAGAGATTATTGCATAAAGTCTCGGAGATGTAGATTGATGAAAAATCGATTGCGTGACCAATGTGTCAAATACGTAGACCTTATCACTTTAGTTTACCATCCCCATTGTGCTCTGTTATATATTTTTGCTAGGTCACTGAAAAGAGTGAGCAAATGGCGTGATTCTAAATCAAATTTGTGAACTTGAAACTCGATGTTGCCTTCAGTCCAGTATCTTATTATACTAGGTTATTATAAAATGGAGGTATTTCAATCACCAATAGTTTATTTATACTGTATGCTGCTTGGACAAAATTCTCTTTGTAAGATCAAAATCAATTTATGTATATGGTGGTTTGCGTGATCCTCCTATTCAAACCCACACCCACCTACCACCAATTTATTCACTTGTTCATAAAATTATGTGACTATATTTTATTTTCTTAAATCAACAATTAAATAAAAAAAAAACCAAGAATTGGTATATCTGCTTTGAATCCATATTAAATTGACTTGAAATTTCAAACCGAAAGGTCTTGCAGTAACAGCAGTCACTATCGTTGTTCTATTTGATGTAGAAAAGTCCTGTCTGCTTCATTGAGATTTAAGGGAGATAGACGACGATCTATAGGTCCATAAAACCATTTTCACGGACCGAGAGGTAACAAACACATCAAGGGATTTTTATATGAATTGTAATGAAACCATGTAGGAATTTAACAGTAATTCTTTGAGGTTTCAAGCTCACCGGACATGGTCCAATGGTCCATAAGTGGCCAGAATCATTCTCTCTACTTTTGGCCAAACGATGCAGCTATGACAAAATACAAATGATTGACAGTGACGTACTTAAAAGGATACATGACACCAAAATGAAAGGCCAGGCCATCGTTTATTTGAAGTGGAATCTTCATCTGTCTAAAGAGAAGAATAACTCGATCGACACATTGAAGCACTGTGCGTTAGCAAGGCTTTGGCACATAAAATGTGAACTTGAAGTAAAAATCATTTAAAAAATCATATGGGTATATATCACCCCAGATCGACTTACACTGATAATTTCTGATATGTCATGTTCGCTGACAGTCAGTTCATATTTGGGAACAAATTCAACAAACAACCTGGGTCTACAACCCATTAACAACATGATCGTGTCAGGGTGTCGCCCGTCCAGGCACGTGCTAGCTATCCCAGGAGTGTTACGTTGACAATAACGTCCAGAACTGATCATGGGACACTTTGTCCGGTCATCATTCACGAGCTGTTATCTATGTGGCCATTGCTCTGTGCGTATTTGACCGATAATTGGGGCGTTAAATAATATTTTAAAAAAGTATACCCCCAAAGTCCCGTGTTCCGTTCTATAATATATTGGGTGGGGGTGGGTCTTTTGTATCCCCCCCCCAAACGCAAACCTACACCTCGTCCTGACACTTTTGACAGAATATAGCACACACATCTATTTGGTCACGTTTCATATTTCATATTTCATAATCCTCAAGAATAGGCGCAGACGGCTGAAGCTGCCTTGTCACTTCACTGTATGAAGGCGGGGGCTGCTGGTCGTCATAGTAACTACTTTTAAACTTTAAAGCCTCTTGGTCCTCTGTGTCACAGTTCTCTTGTCGCCGTCTTTGTGTATCGTCTGCTAAGTTGTATCGCTTACGATACCGCCACAACAGCGTCCCAACCACACATATTATGACTAGTGACAGTGTCGCTGGTATTCCTATAATGATTACTAACTGGTAATCTGAAGAGACAAAAAAAACGATATGTTTTAATTGTTACAATCTTTTCATTTTATTTTTATTATTATTATTATTATTATTATTATTATTATTAATCATCATTTAAAGGTGCATTCTATTGAAATCTCAAAGCGCCTTTTATAATATCTAAAATTATACACTGACAATTAAACAATAAAACGTCGCATTTGCATTGAGTAGATGTTTTGAGAAATGGTTTCAAGACCTCGAGCTAATTTACACTAGATGTGGTTATAAAATATTGAGGATTGAGCAAGCAGATATGAACAGCTGTCGAAGTCCTATGATTGTCACGCAATCTAGAAGTATCGTTTTTTATATATTACTGACTGGAGATGACTTATCCAGCTTTTTACTCCAAAAATCGAAGTCTTTTTAAAAGGTAATAAAATTTACAATGACAAAAAAAAACTCAGGGTTAAAAACTCTCATTTCGTAAAACTGTCATATAGACTTAATTCCTTAGGAGCAAAAAAAAAAAAAAAAAAAAAAGAGGGCCACCAACATCGCCTACGAAAAACACAACGACAATTTACATTAGATGTAACTTCCTGCAAGTTAAGAACAAGTCTTCCGTGCTTTTTTTTCAATTTTTACTGTCACAATGCATGCTTCTTAGCAAATTGCATTGGTAAGAAGCCAGGGGCTTTGTCCTGTTTATGAACAACGTAGTCGATTAAAAGCTAAAGGTCTTGAAAGAAGAACATTAAAACACCGCCTCTAGCAACAGCATCCCAAACTAATGTTCTGTATAAATGTACATTATCTTTATTCTTGATTAAGTAATGCGACATGGTAGCAGAAGAGTTATCACTCAATACAAGGGCCCTTTATACTTTGTAGGGCCCTAGACCAACTAAACTCTTTCTAATACGTACGTTTTTGTGGCTCGTTATCTAGGTTAGAAGATCCTTGCTGGCCAGCAGCTGGAAATATATGGAATGAAACAAAGTTACTAATAGCAAATATAGTAAATCACTTTGGACTATCATTGTCAGGAAAAAAGGTGTAAACTCTTATAACCTGAGATGCCCAATTTAAAGCTTAAAGCTAGAAGGTTAACTGTAATATGATCACCCTTTCAAAAGTCATTCTTACACCAAACAGTTTACTGTCATTACTCGTTTGATGCAGGGATATTTTCCAATAACATTTCTCTCCTTGGATAACTCTGATAAGTGCAACTGAAAGCAGTGGGATTTAATGTTGACTAGTGGTGACAAATTGTCAGACTACGTTCTACTAACTCTTGGTCGTTAAATCAAATTAAACATGTGTCAGCAACATCAATTATCGAGACTTTTTGTCATTATGAAATTCAGAAAACATGCATAAAATACCATACGCGTCGAATACACTTTTATCCAAATTATCGACATTTCTTTTTGATAAAAAATTTAATGAATAAACAGGAGAAACCCGCCATATGTTACAGACGCTTGCATTGAAGATGGTATGCCCTAACTTACCACAATTAATTTTGAGTCTATTTGAATGTGAGCAATCCTTTCTCCCTGGAGCATAGGCACACACGTCACTATTACATTTCCTCCTTGAGCAAACTAGTCTTCGCATGTATTCACACTGGAAGGAGAACAGGGTATGTATGTTAAGGATTAAGGGAGCAGAAAAGCAGTATCGCTGCCCGTAACTCGATAAATAAACACTCAACTAGCTCCTTCAAAACTAAAGTAAAATACAATTACGCCCGATTTCCAAATAATGGAACTTTGGTTGAATCAAACCATTGTACAAAATATTTGCCACTGTAAAATCTTCAGTTTATGCAAACCGAACTTCTTGAAGAAATGGCCAAAAACGGAAGTCAGACGGCTACTCTTCATAATCAGATTTGTCGCAGTAAGTTTACACACATTTTGAGGTCTATTGCACACCCTAAATAAAACACAAACAGTGCGTTTTTAACTTTGAAACTTGAAACAAATTCAAATACATGAGACTACTTGACTGTTTGATGTAAAGACTCTGTTTATAATCCCATATAAAATTATTTGGGTCCACACATGTCTTCAGGCTTCAGAAGCGGATGGGGCTTACATAGCGTGAAGGTTGCGTTTGAAGACGCTTGAAGACGCCGATTGAAGTAGGGAGACGCGTATTCTACACATCCCCCCAAGTAACGACGTTAACAGTGATCAATACCAACAGTCTTCTTCAAAGATGGCCTTAATGAAGTAACAAAGCCTGAAATCATTAAAAGCCGCAGAAGCAATGGGACGTATAGCCCTAAAGATAAGAATGTGGGATTGTCAATGATTCTTAATTAATGTTGTATTGAAGCGTCATTGATTTTTTTCTTCGTCAAAGTGTTGTTATGATCTAACAATTTAAGTGTAAAAGGGGAGTTTTGAATGGGGAATCTTCCAGTGCCAAAGCAGGCTTGTCTTTAACCTCACATTTTATCTCCAGGGAACCCAGTACCTTCAGACGGCCAGGGATGGCAATATGCGTCCTGGTCCTGACTCACTCGATCTGCCCTTAAAACCAGAAACCTACCACGAATTCTCCGTGTATCCCTACTTCTTTAAACTCTTCATCACTGCAGCCCTCTTTGCATTCCTCTTGTAAATTTCTCTTGTATCTACTAGCGGGTCTCGGGAAACCTGTTTTTAAAAAGCTTCTTGCAGTCCTTGTGTCTTGGAACCACTCCGAAAACGGTCGGGAAAGAGGTTCTGAAAATAGTGGGCGGATTACATGATGAAACTCGACCTAAGCGTTTTCAGAATGTCTCGGAATTTTCCTGTCTTTGCAGCACGCGTTAGAAGAAGGTCAGCGCCAGTTTTCTGAAACTCTGGCTTACAAAACCACACAAAATTGCCATATTAATGACGGCAATTCGAAACACCCCATTTTGTCGTAGACCTTTTTGCAGTAAAGGGAAATTGAAAAAGTCTAATAATTCACCATTTTTTTCATTATTATTATATTTCATCGGAGCAAATGCTACGCATTTCCTAGACAATCTGTTGCAATTGTATGTGTTTACGTTCTTCCACTCTGACTTTTGAAGTACCATCGAAAAATGCGCAATTCTCGGTATGTATTTGAAATGTAAAGGTAAGACGCTCTCATATATGAGTGAGTGTCAGTATATGCGTTTTAATCGATGATTTGGAACACAGGGTGAGTAAACTCTGCATGACACTCTTATCATTAAAACTTCAACTCTAAAATGGCTTTATAAAGTATATCATGGCTAAGAGCAAGATATCAGCCGATTTATTCAGGTTGTGGATTTGTTTCATGTAACTGCATTCACCGCCAGACAATTGGTTTCTGTTGTCAGAGATTCGATTAGCTTTCAGAGTAACAAAACATTCAATACGGGGCATTGAATCAGTCAACTGTTCAAATATTCAGTTATCGTATGCTTACCAGGAGATGTTTGCTTGTCGTCCCCAAGAGAGGTATCAAGTCCTGTGGTGCAAACTACAGACGCCGTCAACATGTACATTGTCAGTAGCTCCATGTTTTCTCAGTACCTTTGGGTTTCACACTTTTTCACCTTTTCACTGACAAAGAAACTGGTATGCGGCAGTTAGTCATTTTCTACAGAGGAAGACGAGGTTTCAATGTGTTTGTGACCGTGACGATCGCCCCCTTTGCAAATAGAAAGAGGTGATAGACCTACAATCCTTTTGTTGGCATAGGAACGGTTCCACCCCCGCGTAGCGGTTATTCTTTCCTATTATCTCATCCTTTTTTCTCATCCACAAGGTCCAAGGGTCAACCCTGGTAAATTGTTATTTTTTCATTAGCCGTCGGTGATTATGTCCGAGTTGATCACTCGTTCATCTCATATATCATACCCGAGCCGCCTTCGTGTCTGTATCGGTCTGCGGGGTGACTCGAAGGTGGTGCGGCTTATGGCGGAGGGAGGTAGGCGAAGGGCTGAGTAAGACCTAACTCACTGATGACAATTTGGGCTCTTCCTCTGAAAGCCACGAAGCGTGAACGACGGACGCCAGCCTAAAGTACTCCGTTTTCTGAAAAAACATAAGCATAAACTGCTTAAGAAGAGAACAGCGTATGATATAATAAACGAATTGAAAGGGGGTCAATATTATGTTATTACTACTTGTCAGCATACCGCGAACTTGTGCGACTTTGGAGAGATTAGATATGACCTATACAAATATGCTGTTGTGGCAACACTGTTAAAATACTCCAACCGTGTGCTTAGTTAGGCCCACGACGCATCAAATTACTGCCTTGTAGGTTGTTGACAGGTAGATAAAATAATACTTACCTTACCTGCTGAGTGGCCTCAGTGTTACGACTCGGCCTGCCCTCTACACATGCTTCGGCGGAGGGAATCAATGATTAAAAGCGTATATTTGACTAACAAGTCATCGGTTGATTAAATAAGACAACGTACCGCACTGGAGGAGTTTCCGGGACGCTGTTAACCCATCAGCACTGGCTTTGGTTGTCCTTGTCCCTAGAAATGGCCTACTAAATAAGACGCTGTTGCGTTACACTATGTTGATGCTAATTTTTTGCTGTGACCACGCACTTGCGAGTTTTTATGTACCTGTCAGTATAACATATAGCCGTCATTGCCTTTACTAGCAAAAAATCGATTTGTACAGAGTCATTTATAAACACTGCATACGAGGGTAGAGAATCATTTATGCATTTCATTATAAACCCCCGTGGTAAATGACTATGAATTAAAAAATCGCGTGACCTAGCCCTTATACAACATGCAAAGTCAATTTTATCTGAATTGCAGTTGTTTCGTAACGCCAAAAAATGGAGATTAGGTGTATGGGATGTTATTGCCAATCAAGTTTCCTGGTATTCTGTGAAAACTATAAGGAAAATCTATAAATCATATAATCTCTAACGAAACAAACATAATGTACATGTGACGTCTTAATCAAAACTCAGCTGCTCAGAGCAATTGTAAGTTACAATTTCCTGCAATATTTCCTTGTACAAACCCCAATATTTCTCCAACACACATCAATACTTCACTTCTAATAAAGGTCGATTGTGTTTGCTGTAAGTAGAAGATTCCGTACATTGCGATAGAGAAGATACAGAGAAACACGTTTTATATCTCATCCATCCCAATGAAGCTATGTCATAGATGAATACATGGCAGAAAACGCCAAATAACACATAATTCCCCATTGATGGCCATACTAACATGTGCCTGCAAAACTGCCGGAACCAAATAAAATGGTGTAACATTTCCTGTCTACCCGAACAGCAGCAAGCCTGTAATAAGCCTCAATGGCACGAAAAATAGGGGATAGGGCTACTTGGACCCCAGGGTTACTTGGCCCCTCGTCAATTTATGTAAAAGTAACTACGAGTTAAAAATACAATCACATAGTCTTGTAAAGTGACCGTATCCAATAATGCATGAAAGCGTAAATCGTAAAAAGATCTTAAAATTTTTACTTAAGCGGTGAGACCAAATAAAAGGTTTCTGCATCAAAAAGTTACTTTGGTAAAGTGCTTTTAAAATCTATTTTCATAGGCTTGCGATCAAATAAAGCATGCGTTTATAAAGTATAGGGCATCAAACTAAAGCTAATTGATTCACATTTCACAGAAATCTCTCATCGTAGTACATTCTACCACTAAATGTGTCTGCGATCCTTTAAAATAAAAAATGTGCCCCTGAGGCTAGTTGGACCATCATATATACCACAATCCTTAGCGCAAAACAGAGCTATAGATCATTGTTAAAACAAAGTCAAGGGTTTGTGAAATGAATACCAATTTAAGGTGGGAGTTGTTAGTTACTTTTAAAATAAGATTTTATTATTCGTTAAAAAACAGCTCTATACAATTATTAGTTCGTTTTTTAATAGATATTAATTCGTTGTTTGATTTTGTCACATGAAAGATGCACACCAGGAGACCAAAACAATAAATGTGATAATTATGAATCTGATGTCCACTGTTATTATTATTGATCGAGAAACGTTGCCAGTACGTTCTATTAACATATATAAATTTTGATGAAATTTACAAATTATATTTCTTTGTTAATTTAGTTAATTATGCTTCAAAATGCTTTTTTTTTTGCTAATTTTAAACAAAATATGCAAAACGGATTTTATAATTTGCACCACTACAATTTGCACAACTTTAATTATTACATGTAACTTGTTATAAACATCCCCACAATGTTATCGAAGTATTGTGTGTCGGTTATGTTTGATCAGATGGCAAGCAGTAGCCGCGACGAGGTCGGCAGTGGTCGGTACAGTCGCAGTCGACAATCGCTGTCAGCCCAAGGTTGGGCCGCAAGCCTGCGTTTTCACTCATTCTCGATATATATATCTATCTATCTGAAGTAAAAAGAAAAGTGAAAAAGATACATTCGCGAATTCTCCTTTTCTAAATCTCTTGCTTGCTAGTATGGGGAATTTTCGTATTCAGTAACGAAGGTTTCAATCTATTTTAGTAACGAAAGTTTTAAAAATAACCCTTTAGGATACTATTCGCACGTTATCAATACTAGTAAAAAATTAGACTGACCTAAAGGGATGTTAAAAGATGCACGTTTATTTTACTGACACATTTGTCCTCAACCTCAAGTATATTTTAGTTTCGGTACGTACCCGAAACAACTTACAGGAGATGAAGCTTCAATACATGTTCTAGTGTTCAACACTTTCAAGAAGGTGACAATTGGCATCAACACAAAGAAAAACTTAATCAAAATGATCAGAAAGGTGTTTCAAAGTAATCTCGATAATTGTTTGGTGTTTATAATGACTTAACAAATTGTTTTAAACTCCATTTAAAGAAATACATTCAAATAAACTAACTCCCAAAGTCAGGAAGCACAGGACTGAACAAGTTAACGGTGGAATGCCCATTCTATCTGAGGGATGTCAGGTGGAGTTAGGTCATTCCACCTCAGGGGTGTCAGATGGGGCGAGTCCATTCCGTCAGAGGGGTGTCAGGTGGGGCGAGGCCATTCCGTCAGAGGGGTGTCAGGTGGGGCGAGGCCATTCCATCAGAGGGGGGTGTCAGGTGGGGCGAGTCCATTCCATCAGAGGGGGGTGAGGTCGGTCGAATCCATTTCATCTCAGGGGTGTCAGGTTGGGTGAGTCCATTCCATCTCAGGGGTGTCAGGTTGGGTGAGTCCATTTCGTCAGAGGTGGTGTCAGGTGGGGTGAGTCCATTTCATCTGAGGGGTGTCAGGTGGGGTGAGACTATTTCATTGTAAGAGTGACAGTAGGTTCAAGTACATTGCATGGGAGGAACGTCAGGTGGGTAAAGTCAATTTTATTTGAAAGGTGAATAATTTAACTATTCCACAATTTAATAGAAACAAACAATATTAACTGCACGTTCATTCCATCAGAGGGGGGGTATCAGGTGGGGCGAGTCCATTCCATCAGAGGGGGGGTGAGGTCGGTCGAATCCATTTCATCTTAGGGGGTGAGGTGGGGCGAATCATTTCATCTGAGGGGGGTGAGGTGGGGCGAATCCATTTCATCTGAGGGGTGTCTGGTGGGGCGAATCCATTCCATCTCAGGGGTGTCAGGTTGGGCGAGTCCATTTCGTCAGAGGTGGTGTCAGGTGGGGTGAGTCCATTCCACCAGAGGGGTGTCAGGTTGGGTGAATCCTTTTCATCTGAGGGGTGTCAGGTGGGGTGAGACTATTTCATTGTAAGGGTGACAGTAGGTTCAAGTACATTGCATGTAAGCAACGTCAGGTGGGTAAAGTCAATTTTATTTGAAAGGTGAATAATTTAACTATTCCACAATTTAATAGAAACAAACAATATTAACTGCACGTTCTAGGAATTTGTGAAATTCGAAATTGATAACAAAAAATACACGAAGGAATCAGAAATTTATTTTAAATATTTCTGATTATCGGAATGTGGATTGGAGAACAGGTACTGAAAAAATGTATGTTATATTCTCAGAATGTAAAATATAATTAAATAAATTTTGGCAACTTTCAACGGTTGTCATTAAAAAATACACTTTAAGTTAACATTTCAAATTAAAGTATACAAACGAAAAATAGGTCACCATATACAAGTCAATTCAGGGTAGCAAAAACCAGGACCCGTCAGAAATGAGCACGTCCTATATAAGAAAATTATATTCAAGAGGAAAAACGAATTAGTTCCTTATTGCCAGAGAACAAAAATTAAATATGATTTTTTTTAGAAAGCAGGATTGTAAATTTATACAAATTTGATTTATAAATTAAGATTGTTGGAAACTATTTTAGATATTTATTTTAAGTGTATTAAAACAACTTAATCGAACAAATTCCATTATTTACAAAATACTGGGCAATTTACAACTATTTCAATTTTAGATATCTTTATGCACCATAGAAAACATTTAATCACATGGACATTATTTACAAATCAGCTTTAGCAGATGGAATTTGAAAGTCCTCAAACACAAAATAATAATACTCATTTCTCCATATCATTACTACTATCTCTATCATCATAATTTCATATCAAAATTTAATAAAAACGTCCAGTAACAAAAGTATTTATTCAGTCTTTACATAATAGTTGTACGAAAGAGCATGGGGTTCCTGTGTGCACCATATATATATATATATATATATATATATATATATATATATATATATATATATATATATATATATATGTTGCTTGCTAGCACATGCTGTGCAGAAACTCGTTCGTTGAGTGTCTGAAAATAGAAAATAATGTTTATAAATTTTGATTAAACGGACAGGCTTTTAACATACGAATAAGGCATAAAATATCACAGAAGAGGGGAACTTATAATTGAAATGGAGTGTGTGTTTAATGACTTGTCTGCTGTTTAGGCTCAGCTAACGCAGAAAAAAGGGTTTCCTTACCCCCAATTTCTGATCTGTAATTAGTTAATGATAATAATTATTGGAGACCTCTTGCTAAAAAAAACCAAAGAAATATTGATAAAACAACCCGTTTTGGGTGGGGTAGGTTATTACTTCGACCGTTAATATAATCATCTTGATATTAAAAGTTGTAATACTTATTGCAGTATATGTGCATTGTGTTGACGCATTTCAGAGAGGCGCAAAAGAGATTATTTACAAATTCTTTTCGAAAAATATAGCAAATATATTGCGCATAATTTGAATTTACAAATCTGAATTTAGTGAACCGTGTAATGGATGAACGACATACGACACACTGGAGACGACAGGCTGTGTTACATGTTTCCAATAATTATTGTGTAATGGAAACTCGAAATGCAACATTGAGTGTGTTAAATGTATTAAAATAAAGATCTCTGAGAATTTGTCAATCTTAATCAAACACAGATTATTCAATTCTCATCTGGAAACTATTGTAGCTACGATATCATGTTATCTTATTCCTACATAATAACAACAACATTTATTTCTCAAAGTACTATACAAAGGTTTCAGCTCTGCTTTAAACATTATAGGCCTATATACAACCTTTAATAATAAAAATTTACAAATACTGGTTTTTAAGCTAAAAATCGATAAAAGGAATGAAACCTAAAAGAGACAAAAGTAACCGTAAGATCATTTTTATAAATTATATCATGTATCATTTAAACACACACGCCATTTTGAATTAACGTCAAGGGGCACACAAAACATTTCAAGCGAACATAGGTTATCATTAAAATTCAGATAAGAGCGCCGTTCATCCCGTACATTTGTAATCAATAAATTCTACCATTGCGAGTGACATACAAGTAACAAAAGGAAGAGTAGTACAAAGACTTATGTCGTAAATATCCTTTCATTCGTCTGTTCCTTAAATATTTAATGGCGATGGTTATTGAAGAAATAGTGATACTTACGGTACCAACATGCATTTGCTTCCACGCCTTGTAAAAGGTCAACCTTGTGACTGCACTACACAAAGTGGTGTGGCTTCACCCAAGTCTGTCAAACTGCCAAGTGAGTATTCGGGAAATCAACTTGCACTTCGATGAGTAATTTATTGTTATGCAAATTACAACAGGTATTACTCACATTAGGTGAGAGGTTGTTACTGATACCAATCACGAATGTCCAATAAATCCGGTGGTGATGCTTTCACGCACACTCAAAGTTGTGCGTAATAAACTTTATCAAATTGATAAACAGGTGTTTAGTGTCTATGATGAACTAGTGAATCGTTTTAACTCCATTTAAGTAATACATTCTAAAAAAGTTTCTCGCAAGCTCATCTAACACAGGAGTGAATTAGCCCAGCAGTAGAAGGGAGAATGGTGAACTGAGTGACGTTGTATTACAGATCACTGTCATCTGTGGCAGTGCCTACCCTTGTAAGGGCCCACCCTCAAGTTTTCAACATATGAGATTTGTATATATATCAAAAAAACAAACATACCGGTGAGCTACAGGACCGTATGGTCCCATTTTTCTGGGAAACATTTTCTAAACGTTATTCCTTACTCTATGGCAGCATAAACCTACCGTCCACTCAATGTTCTTGAAGCATTCTATAAGCAGGGTAGAAATCTCAGTATGTCTGCCTCATTTAAACTACTAATTCAGCAAAGATTCTAAAAATCAATTTAATGAAATAAAAAATGTGTAAAAAATGCATTCCATTGTGTTTACATGGAATACAAACTACACCTGTCCCAGGTCCTGGAAAAATATGCAGTAGTTTACACCCTAACTTGCTAGTTGATACTAAAATTACACCCAAGTAACCCACTAAACAGTGTCAGTTGGTCTATCAAGAGGGACCCGGTCTATTTTGTGGTTTTTGCCCTACAATATCTCAGTGTTGTGATTGCTATTGAGTCTGATGCAGACTTTGCCGTAATTCCAAATGATGATTCAACTTCATCGATTATCAAGTGAAAATAAGCATGATTAATGCATATGTCTAAAAAATCTACGGGAATTGGAAACAGTTTTGGGATTGCAATAAAAGGATCACAAACCTAGGAAATATTGTTCTAATATCGACGCAGTAACACGCAGTAACATTGTTTGTTAGACTCTCTCATTTTGCAATAGAGGTAATCACAAAAGCAACCTCAACTGAAATTTTAAATGTATTTTCCAATAATCACTGTTTGATTGACAAACTCTGTTTCACTTGCCGAAGACACCCAGATTCCACAACAATTAAAATGTTGTTTTTAATCATTTTTAAACTTGCTGAGGGCAAGACGGCTTTATGCTAATTTTTTACGGTTTTACCATTACGAGTTAAATTCAGGAGTGCGCAACTTCATTTCGGGAGTAACCCCCCCCCCCCCCCCCCCAAAAAAAAAAAAAAAAAAAAAACTAAAAACTTTGAAATGAAAAACGGGATTATAAATCGTAATTATGTCAATGATTTTGGATATGGACTACCTTGGTGTTTTAGGGTAAAATATTGACGTTATCAGGAAAGTTTTACTTTTTGCTACACTAAGGCCAAACGCTTTTTGCATAACTATAATTGGACAGTGTTTATTATAAACTAGACTGTTGATATAACTAATGGCCTTTCAATATACATCATTGAGCTGTGTAATAGGTCTGTCAATAGCAATACATCCAGACAACTGAGAATCTGGAAGTGGTGGAAGTACTTAATACTGTAAATATATGGATAATAGTCTGCCGTATTAATGAACCTTTTAGACCAGCCCAGGTGAAAACGCGACAGAGACGGGTGGGGTAATTTCTCTACATTTTCACCAACCATTAAATTTACATATGAAGCGGATGTGGATTCTCAGTAACGCATATAAAAGACTTGCACTAGTTTCTTACACGACTAAAATAGAGGACATACCAAGTAATAAATAGCTATAGAACTGCATCATCTTCAAATATTCGAGAGAGAGAGAGAGCACAGAAAGAGAGCACAGAAAGAAAGCAGAATATTTTTGTTCAAACATAATTTTTATCAAATTAAAACGATGTTCCTTGATATTTCTTTAAGTTATGCTATTTAAAACTATATGGTGGCATTTGGTCGGGTTTGCGGAAGAATACTAGGCATAAAATACACCATGTTGAAAATTTAAATACAGAGTGAGGGATGCATTTAGAGGCACAGGTATTTTGATTTATTGGAGATACAAATGCTTTGAAATATTAGAGGTACAAATACTTTGAGATAATATGAGTAGATGAAGTATAAGCTTATGTTTTATATTCAAATATCTTTTTAATTTTTATAACAGGTAGAGATGGGTTCTTATAGATATACCCTATGAATATGCCAATAAAATTAACCAGAAAAAAACACACACATCTTTAATTAAATATGCATTAAGTTTTTTTGGATCTGAATCGTCAAAAACGTACTTTTCAAGTGTTTGCAAACAAATGGTCTTTTGTAATGAGTAGCTGAGAAGTTCAGTCATAAAGTATTTGAAAGTCAACCCGACACTTTTTTTGTTGTCGTAGGGTTTAAAGCTCCCGCAAGGAAATGGTTTTTATACTAATTAGTCATATGAATTAATCAAAATGTTTGCATTAAACCAGTATGAGCATATGTGCCGTAATGAATTGTCGACACGTGCTACGTCTCACAGATCCCAATCAATAGCTGGCAGATTCAGAAATTAAAGGTGAGGGGTCAATCAAAGGGGAAGTCATTAAGTCCCAAGAAGCAATTAGATATTTTGGTACATCTAAAGGACTTAATCATCAACATAAGATTTTTTTAATAATTAAGAAAGTACGAGAAAGTAACAGGCAACCCAAGCAACCCGGTTTGTATTTCCCTCCCTTTTCGTCAACCATGGATTGTATTTCACTCCCTTGTCGTCAACCATGCCAATTTTAGTGATGGTGACTTAGGTACGGAGTTATGGGGCAAACCCATCACTGTCTTACACTAACTTACAAAGCAGTTGAATTCACGATGAACTGGGGCAGGGCCTAAAGGTAGAAGCGAGTGGGTGGTGAATAAAACACGAAAAAGGGACTTTTTTGCTCTAAAAGTCTTTGATTTAATTGTACTAATATCTAGATAAGGGCTTTACATTAAAGAAACGGGAAAAGCTATTTTGAACATTTAGGCCATTTTAACGTATCGATCTCCCTTAAGTCTGTTGTTACCATTTAAATGTCAACAAAATGGAGTAAAGGTAGAACTGGCCTTGTCATATAAGCTTCATTACTCAGTTAGCTAAGCAGGCGAATAAAAATAAAACAAATTACGCGCCGCTATGATATTTATCTGTAAGATCATGAATCCGAGAAATCGATTGAATTATTTAATACATTCAGCGACGTTTGGAGTTCTGCGATTTGCAATTGGTTTGCTTTAATTCCGGTAAATAAGTGATTTCCTCTTTGCTTGCATTCACTTTTAAGTAATTGAGCCTTTGTCACTGGGGTAACAACAGGCAGGTGATCACACGCCCTACGTTCAGTATCTATGGTTAAATTTGAATTATACGCATACAGTATACAGTTCAGCAGCTACGGGGTAGACATGCTGTTTAAACAAAGTTAGAGTTTGGATAAGCGCTGATTTGAAGAGATTTAAATCACGGAGATCTTGGTAATAACCAACACGATGAATTATGAACCTAACGAACGAGATGGATGTGGATGTTGAAGGTGGCGGCGGCGGTGGTGGTGGTGGTAGCGTGGGAGAAATATGGACAGAGGCATTGGAAAATACCACAGCACATGGATTGGGAAATGTTCTTCGCTACCGGAACAGCAAGTCCAGGAGAATTATGTGGATATTGCTTTTTCTGGCTGGACTAGGTAACCAAAGTCTAATTTTTATATTTATGAAACAATTTGGTAAACGAGTATCTTTTTTTCTGCCAGATAAATGCGTGAGAATTATACATATTTTCTTGTTATGCCTTAACGCATAAATCTTTTTTCTTTGGATTATGTTCTCAGAAAAAAAAAAACAGAGAAGAACTTAATAACGTAGAACTGCTTGTAAAATTGTCTTTATTGTTGAAGTGGAAAATCTTCTTTTCGTTATTTAAGCATGGAATTAAGAAACGTTTTAAAAGATACATGCACATGAAGTACTTTCGGTTGTTTAAGTATGAAAAAAGTTGCAGTATGAAAAATAATTTGAAAAGACAACTGGAAAACGAGTTTTTCCTGTTGTTTCATTTGTAACAAACGTTTATGATTTCTCCCTCTCTCTGGTTTTCATTAATGGACACATTGTATACACTAATTCTGGTTCTATTACTATTGCACTTCCTCTGTCTGATGCGTAGTTTGAGAGGTAGCAATTGCACTTATACATGTACATGTACATGTATACGCCTCGAGTGGTGACCTTAAAACATGCATTTTCTTGGAGTAAAATTAGGATTAGAATTTTTTGTTCCTATCACTTGTAAGTCCATAACTGCTTACACATGTATAAACGCCACGTTTTGTAATAATGCACCTGTTGTTGTGGTATTGTTCATTTCCATGCTGCAACTGTAAATTTCATGTTATTTAAAAAGGATAACATCACAACTAATTCACAAATTTCAAGTTTCGGGAATTGAAAAAAAAATTGAAAGGAAATAAGTTTGAATTTCATGTAACCAGATGACAGATTTGTATCCCACATTATATAAAACCAGTGATCGGACAGTTACAGAAAAGGTAAACGCAGTAAAGCAGTCGTAAACTTATTATACATGGGGTTGACCGCCAGGTAAGGTGAAAAAAAGGCTGACTATCATTTCATTCATCTTTCATAGTCATTCCCATGTTTTGATCATTCTTCTCGCTGTCGATTTTTGGCGCAATTCAATAGCTCCAATGATTAATTTGCTTCACAGAGGCTAAATCATAGTGCTCTCTCGAGGTGGCAATCAATATTTTGGTTTATGTATCATAGAACTTGGATATTGACATATCCACGTACATGGCTTAACGAGCCTGATTAGCGAAAAAGCTGGGTAAACACAATATTCCGAGTATTACTTAGCAGAATATACAAACAAAAATAATACCAATGTACTAATTTCACGGTACAGTTCCATTAGTTTCGCCATTTGTATCCTTTTTCTTGTGATTATATACGGTGAGAAATTTTGGTAAGAATTTGATATTGTACACGCGTGAGAAATAACAACGACTGTCGCTTGTGAAATACTCATGCTCACATATCCTTCCCTCCGTTTCTCGGACTGCGCCTCTGTTCGTTAACCATTGATAGGTCTAGAGAAATATCCGAGTCCAGTGAAAACTTTTACCAGACTAATGAAAGTTCGCAACGGCCCTTGAAATCAATTTTGTTGCCATAAAACATCGTTCGTCTACGCCAAACTTCCCTTTTTGCGTTCTTGTTATTTGTTACAGGTGCGCTCATCTATTTCGTCAGCCAGTTAGCGGTTAAGTACTTCGAGTGGCCGACAGAGACAGATGTCACGGTGGAACTAGAGCCCAGACTGGACTTCCCAGCCGTGACCATCTGCAACGAGAACCCAGTAAAACGGTCCCAAATAGCAGCGTCCTCCAGTTCAAGTTTGAACAATTTGTTGGTACGCCCTTGATCTAAATAAAGGACCGTTCACAATGAATTTTGCAGACCTAGCTTATGCTCACTTACTCTACGGGGACTCTCGCTGAATGCAATCAAATTAATGGGCATTATATTTTTTATTCGAATTATAAAGTCACAACGAAAGCGATCCTCATCGACAAAATTCCTTGTGGCACTGTTTTCGTATGAATAGTATACATTAATTCTCATATATGATTAACAAATATTATAATGGCATCATAGGAACAACAAAGAGTCAAACCTTTTTTTCTTTTACAGGCCCAGAACGAAGCTGCGAAAGTGTCTAGAAGGCGACGCAGTATCGCTAACACACATGTAATAATGCCTTGATTCTTTTTTTTTCTTTCAAGTATATGTATTGATTGTGGTTGAAACAGCAATACAAATAAACGCAACTGTAGTTTGCGCAAAATGTGTTTATATAACATGACCCCAAAATAAGCCTAATTCTATCATTAAAATCTAGCGTATTTGTTAACCCAGAACTCATATACAATCGTTTCAGACAATTTTATCATTAAACTAATGACGCACTCTCCTGGTTGGCATTATGTAGACTTTTTTGGTAAAATATCTAGATAAAATAAATAAAATAAAAAAATATCTAGATTGCTGAATTGAAAAATTGTTGAGGAAAAATTACACGTTTTAAAAATGAATACATATTTTCATTCAGGTGGAAGTTACACGGAATCGTAGAGCGAGTACCTCTGCCCTTGGCTCCAGCGTGGCCTCGATTTCGGGTACGCCATCGGATCCTCTTCCAAGCTCGAATTCGGGCAATTATTTGGGTTCATCATTGGGGTCCGCTTCAAGTTTAATTTCGGGTTCGACTGTGGAACCTGCTTGGGATTTAAAGTCACATAATTTAGCAAAATTGAGTTTGGGTTCGAGTTCCAATCTGAGTTCGATTTTGGGTACCGATAACAGACCAATTGGGGTCAACTTTGATTTCAGTGCCTAGGCTGAATTCGAATCAAAGTTCGAACTCTTTTTGGAACTCGAATTCGGGTCCATTTTCGAGTAGAATATTGGGTTCAAGTGTGGATCGAGTTTCGGTCACAACGTCAGGGTCGTATTCAGCTCTGAGTTCAGGGTAGAGCGTGCTATTTTAAGTCCAAGGTTGGGGTCCAACTTCGGGTAGAGTTTCGGGATCTGATTTGTATAAAAGTTCAGCAGCCTTTTTAGATGCGAGTTCGTGTTTTTTTTTTTTTAATAGTTTTGAGTGCGAACTTTGGGCTCAAAACCTGGCACTTCTTCGAATATGAGTATGAATTCCCTTTCAGGCTTGAGTGCGGCCTTAATTTCGGCCACGGGTTTGGGTACGGGTTCAGCGTTGGGCTTATCGTCAACCGGAACGTCTTCTTCGGGGCACGATTACCTCTCCAAGTCATCTAGGACGCAGTCACTGGATCAGTTTCAGTATCAGTTTGCCAAATTGAACGACACAGAACGAATGGCTATCGGACACAATATGACAACATTTTTGGTGGACTGTTCCTGGCAGGGATATCCGTGTGATAAAAGGTATGAATCTGGAATTTGTATTGATTTTATTTCAATTGGTATTCGATAAAGTCAATGAACCGTAACTATGAACAAATTAGGTCTATCTTCATCAAGACACAACATCAATGTGTCAATTGTAAACTTAAATATGAAGATATTCCTACGTTTCATTAAGTGCACTTGATGACATTTAAGGCCGCTATTCTTATGGTTTTCAGCAATTTCACGGAGTTTAGTGATTACAAGTATGGGAACTGTTTCATCTTCAACTCGGGCATGAACAAGACCGTCAGGTCCGCCGCCCGCGGCGGTCACACTTATGGTATGTTGAAAAAAAAAATGGATTTTTTTTATCTAAGTTAAGGAAATAAATCAAAGGTTATGCGTCGCCATTACTGTGTAAAATATGTCACTACAGTAATCACTGACACTATATCCCTTTTTAATAATTTTCTTCTATTTAAAAGTAGCTTTAGTTATCATGAAATTTATATTTACCGAGTCCAGAGGAATTCAGAAATAATATGTCGTGGGTGAAATCTGTACAAACCAATCTTGAAGCATTTCTCTAAGGAAATCGAATGGTTTATTCTGGATTTTATAATGAAAGTACATGTCACAAGACAAATTGGATGCAAATTAAAAGAAGAGCATGATAGAAAACAATATTCTGGACAAAAAACGCTTGTATAAAGGCGCCAGCAAGTGTAATAGGAAAGTTGCTGTCAGATTAGCGCGATGCACAATATATGTCCATTTTGCTCACGTCACTGACATAATGTGCCTGCAACCATGTGCGCTGTGAGTCAAAATTTCAAATTTGTGGGAAAACCACTCCCTGATTTTTTCTGGGTCAAACTGAAAAACTCAATCACCCCTCATATTATAATTGAGTGTTGATAATTACAAGCGCACTAGTAAGATAGCTGTAGTGGCGTACATGTATTTGTGAAGTCACGGGGTCAGGCAGAAATCTTTGACCCCCACCCCCTCCGTCCATTCATTTAAACATGCATTGTAAAAGATTACAAATGAATTAGTTATCCGCACAGCTTCTTTTTCTTCGTATATAAACGATCACCAGAGCTGCCCATAGGGGATGGTAGTGGGGGGGTCTTGTTATCGATTTATCACATGGCTTCGTATTATTTCATCCAAGGTCTCAGTCTTGAGCTGTACATAGAACAAGATGAATACATAATGACGACAGAATCTGCCGGGGTTCGCGTCACAATTCACGAGCAGAACTCGATGCCATTCGCGGAGGAACACAGTATTGTGGTAGCGCCGGGGAAGCATACCTCCATTGGAATATCAAAGGTGGGTTTGGACTACCCTGTACCAGGGTGGCAGGTATTATAGGCAAATTTTCAAAAAACTACCCTGTGACTTTTGGCCAGATGGATGCAATTAAATCTGCACTCGCGTAGATGGCATTGTACCCGTTCGGTAGGGAGCTACTACCGAAGATTCCTCTGTTAACTTCAATCTGAAGTAACAAGCTATTCATAAGGGGCAGAGAATCAAATGACTGTCTATTTATCTAAAGACATATCTGTGAATATCTTGAGAAAAATCTGTCGCCCTGATGGATTGTAGGTTTGGACCAACTGCCAGCACGACGGAGATGAGTTTTTTTAAAGATGTAGCTGTTTAAATTGTTTCAGCGCACGACTCTGGTGAAGTTTTTAAAGACAAAATCCAGTGGGTAATAACACAAATAGAAAAGGCCGTATTTAAGGTGTAATGAATATGGTTCTGCGAACGCCAAATATAGAGAGCCATAAGACTGGTATTGCATTTTTATTGGGAATATAGCGCACTTAATAATGTAGGTTCTATAACTTTGATATGCATGGTTTATACATCAATTTTGTTTTAGAAACGCTTTGTCCGTATTGACTCACCGTACGGAGATTGTAAAAACTACACCGAGGAAGAAAACTATGAACTCAATGCTTATTCTGAATACTATAATTTAATTGTGAATTACAGTAGAGAGGTAGGTCAATAAACTTTTTACAGAGAGAACATTCATGCTAACATTCAACATTTCAAAAATCTCATAAATTGAATTTGAAATCAAACCAAATAATTTAAAAATCTTTCTATTGTACACGTTAAACATTTGGTAAAAAAAATATAAAATAGAAAATGCTTTATAGATAATATTCCATTTTGACTGTATATTACAAAACACGAACCGCGAGGTTTTTTTTTTTTTTTTTTTTTACTTATTTCTTCTCAATTTCTTTCAGGCATGTTTTAAAACATGCTTACAGAGACAAATTATAAGAGATTGTGGATGTGCACACCCCAGTTACCCGGCTAATGCAACTGCTCTCCAGGCTTCTTGGAATATAGCCTACAATAAAAATCTTACTAACAGTCGTGACGATCCAGTGCTTTGCAACATTGCTAACAGTACCACACACAGTAAGTCTCTCTCTCTCTCTCTGCATGTGTGTCATTCACCTTCATTTTACTGAGTCAAATACGAAAAAAGTTAAATCGTTCAATGGAATTTGCTGCGAAATGAAAAAAAAAGAACTTCCATGATTTTACGCCTAAGTGACCATAGCGAAATCTTTTGACAAAATGTGGAAATGTATGACAGCAAATACCTCTTAAAGAGTCCCTTAGATTGTTTCGTTAGAAGCTTTAACAATATTACCATTAACAGAATGTTTTATGATTGAATTAAATAACGAATTACAGGGAAATTTACATCGCACAGGTGATAACGTGACATATGTATATTCTTAAGTGATATTATAATCTTACTTATTTTCACCATTTAGTTGAATGTGTTGACAACATTGTGGATATGTACAAAAAAGGGCAGATTACATGCGACTGCCCTCCGAAATGTGTGTAAGTATTTCAATATTCTACTTCGTAATTTGATGATCTGTCTTAACTTTATGAAAACACTAAATGAGATGGTTGTTGAGAGGAATAATGATTAAGCCAAACTGATTTCGATCAAATTATATGCGATGAAATATATGTTGATTTTTAGCAAATTTTGATCCCGGATTTTTAAATAGCAGAAATGTCCCACCACTATCGGTGAACTTTGGTCTTGCTGACTTTTGCTTTTAACAAATGCATTTATCAAAGTGAAATTGGTTTAAGAACTTTATTTTCTAAGCCCTTCTGTCTACTTCAAATTCCAGGGAAGATACATTTGAGGCAAGTGTTTCATCGATGCGCTGGCCTTCCGACGTGTATCAGGTAATATTCTTCTTAATTGTACCTTTCTAGAAGGTTCTCCTTCAAACAGACAGAAAAAGATGTTTTACAATATATTTAATTGCAAAGCAAAAGGCTGGTAATCTTAATATAAAAAAGATAGACCGCTCATTTATTTATCATTTCCAGATGGAGATGCTGCAAACTTTGAGTGCATACGTGAATACAGACTTAGATCTACTTAAAATGAGGTAAACCGCATTTCCCTCGTTTTCAATTATTATAATTTTGTTTAATTTTTGCAGTTTATAGGAAATAGATATTATTTCCATGTTATCTTTATTATTTTAACTTCATTTTTTCATTGGACGGAAGCAGAGCAGTTGATTGCATTCCTATATCTCCATTAAAATAATATAAAAATATATTTTGATAAAATAAACATTTGAGCAGAGGTAGCAATTCGATTTCCTCAATACGATTGCATGAGAAAGGACATTGGCTCAAAATTATATACGTGACGTAAGTCTTATCGTTATATGACTCAAAGCGAGACGCAAGTAAAGCGCTTTTTTTACAGAAATATAATTAAAATTCTAGGAGAAAATTCAAAATGAGAAAGTGTTTCTTTACAAACTTAGTGGTTCAACCCTTATTATTTACATATTTCTATTATTGCACATTGAACAAAGAACACGCAGAATGACATTCATTTCAACCTTTTTCTTCTTTTCTGTTGCATATTTCAGGAGAAACGTGCTGAAGGTGGAAATTTTCTATCGTGATATGAACCTCGAAACCGTCACCACGAACGTTGCGTATTCGGTGCGTTACTATCGAAATAATCACATTCTGTTCATTGTTATTATAAAGTTCAAACTTTTCTATAGCCTTCTGTAGAGCTTTCGATCTCATCCAAGGAAATTATACTATAAATCCCAGTTAATATCAACAACATTATAACTTTACACTGCTGCACAGTTGAATTTCCACTAATGGTTGTCTTTTTAACTTTCTAAGCTGAATGATTCTTTCTTTTTCTTATTTAAACACACACACAACAACAACAACAACTTTTTATTCTTTGAGTATTGAGTATTGAGTGTCAACAGATCGAAGCATTTCAGACGTTATGAAGAAATACGCCTGACAAAATTTCCAGAAAATATCATACTCTTTTTATTCCATTTAAGCTAACGGACCTTGGGTCGGACCTTGGCGGAAACTTGGGCCTGTGGCTTGGGGTGTCTGTTCTAACAGCCTGTGAGCTATTCAATCTGATATTGGACGTGATACAGCTGGCTCTTCGAAACCACAAGAAAAACAGTAAAAATAACCATGTGAGTCCAGTGCACAAGATAACAACTAAAGGATTCTGAACAGTATGAATACAGGAGGAAAAATAAAAGGAAGAGAATCACACCATTCCTACCACAAAAGATTTTCACAAAAATATATATTATATAAACTGTTTATTTTAATCCAGAGGGTATACTGGTTAACAGTGTCATTTGAATCTGTATAAAAGAAGATAATCCCGCACACAAGCTTATAAATGTACACACACACATGGATTGATGCACAAAACATGCACAAATGAGCATACATTCACAAATGTACACATGCATGTACATATGTTCACATGCCTCTCTTCTTGCTATAAGTAACTGGCTCGCGCTGCCAGTAATTACGCGGCGGGATATTCAGGGCACAGACCGTGATCATAAGATAGCGCGAATAGAAAATAGAATTTATAAAATAGACATTGCATGTGAACGAAGCCTAAAACTCGGACAATGGGTGTGCAATTGTGTCTTCAAAATCCAAAAGCAAACAAAGCATGCACACCATCATATTTAGGCGCTGATTTGACACTGTAGGAGAGTGACTTCTTTCACAAGTTTGAAACTCGGGGACATATCATCACTTCTTGTGAGACGTATTTTTATATATATTTTTTACTTCTGATTATTCCCTTGTTTTGGAGTGTGCTTAAATCTAATGTAAATTATAAAGGTGATGGAATTAAAGTTTTTTGGGTTCGCATTATTCTTTAGATGCGCCTTCCGATGATAGTACTCTAAGGCGAAATCGCCGTGAATTAAAAGCATATCCTTCTCTCGCGAATCATTTTTCGTCTAAAGTATTCGTTTATTAATTACAGTGCACTCGGAAGTAAAGAAAATGTTATTTTGGCCAAAATATATATCCGTGTGTAAAGTGTAATCCTATTTTTCTTCCAACCGATCAGGGACCTCTTACTTTTCCTTCAGTCAGCGCCTAGAAGAGTTCCACAGGCGGTACAAATCACCTGCCCGCACATATTGCAGGCCTTCAGCATCAGCAACCCCCCCCCCCCCCCCCCCCAAATTGAAAAAAAAAGGGGGGGGGTCTTTTCATCCTACGGCCTTGGTTAGCCTGCATGCCTGCATGGGTTCTTCAATGGTTGTTATGGATGTACATGTACCTATTTTAGTCGACAAGCTTGATAAATATGTATGTCATAGATAATAGGTGAATTACTGGCATGGCACAAACCAATTTTGATCGTACTTTTGATAAGTTTCCCATGATGTCCAATTTCAACTCAAACTTCCATTCAAGTGCGTTTTATATACGGCCATCTCTCGGCCATCTCTCGACATTAATTTCCACATGAGATTTTGAATTTACTAATTACGAAGTTAGAATGCTGCAAACACAATATATGTATATTATGGTTCATATGCATTTAGAAACTTGCTTTATTTTGATATCAATATTCTTCTGTATGCCTTCAAACATTTTAATCCAAACAAAGTTTAAAATTCATCTATATCTGTTTTAATCAGAAGCTTTTCCGTCATTCACAGGGAAGGCCAAGGTAAACTTGATAAGTTTGACAAGACTTGATGAGTTCTGAGATTTTCTTTCAAATATGTCACCAGGTTGATAAATGAATGTGTCAACAGTATACATACTGGTGCACGTATCCAGTTCCTCTCTGTTCATAAATCATTATACGAGAGAAACCGTGGGCAGCAGTTGTAGATGTTGTTCATGTTTGTGCACAATTTCCCCCATATTCAACTTAAAATTGGTGCTCTAAAATACCCTTTAGAATAATGACGGGGTGACAGAGAAGATTGTTATGGTTTATATCTGAACAATAGTAACAAAGCATTCATACCATAATCACAGTGCCCAACCATATAATCATAGTAATCAACTTTCAATATGGATGTGTACCGTACAACCCTCCATTACATCTGACAAAGTCATGTCATGAATGTAACATGAAAAAGAAAAACTGCTCAATATATACATCAGTGTCAAATATTTATTAACGTTTCACTTGTACAGAAAAATGAATTTTTTCTTCACGCTCAAAGAAAAAAATTAATCAAAACAAAACAAAATAAGCCGTTATAGCTGCTGCTTGTATAAATACAACTGGCCATGCAGTTCATTGTGACATTAATACACTGTTTATACATACTAGTAGATGCACAGATATCAGAATTCCATTCTTGACATATACAGTGTAGTATATATATCACTGTCGAAAGAAGACTCATACATCTACATGTAAGAAATGGGATAAAACAACACTCCATAAGTAAAACTAATAGTAAACAATACAACTTAAGAACATGTATGAATATATCCTGTAACAAGCAGCAGATTTTAAATCCATATATTATATACAAAGAACAATGCTGATGCAGTATCTCATGAATCTCAACCTTATTTGATTAAAATAATGAAGCATTGACTGAATATGCCAAGGTAATAATGCTTATTAGTAAAATTAATGCTATTTTCTTAATACTGTTATATATTTCCCCTATGTGCTGCATTAGACAGACTGGGTTCCTACAGATTTAGATCAATCCATCTGGATCGACCTAACTCCCTGAGGGTTCACACTGAATTGCTGTCAGCTTCTGGGAGCCGAGCGCGCACAAAAGTTAATTACCCCCTTACAACTTTTAGTAGGCGGGACAGACATTTAAGCGGATTAAGCTGACAGCAACCTAATGAGACTCCCCCAGGAGGATAGATCGATCTAAATATCTGTGGGAATGGTCTCTCATTCTGCACTTATAGACTAAGGCAGAAAAAGGTGTGTTCCCAAGGACATGATGGAAAATGCTCTGAAGGACAAATGTGCTGCAGCTCTGCAAAAACCTGCTGTGGAAGTGATGACAGCCAGGTCACTAAAATCACCTGCCCATGAATATATATATAATTTATAAAAGAACTGAATGTGCCTTGCCATTGTGAAGATATTTTGTCATACGTATATTAAGGTTACGTTAATAACAGGTACCTCAGCTGCTTAAAAGATCAACATGCATGCCTCAGGCAACCCAGGTGTAAATTAGTTCCTAGCACTCTGATACATTTCCCATTTCTTATCGCTCTAATGCCTCCATATCGTGATATTGAGACTGCAATATTCCTTAGCTGAATGTTTTACATTTTCAACTATAGCACCAATTCAAAACACAGATAATAAAAAGACACCTAATATTCACAAGACAATTGTTCATTCTTGATAAAAAGAAGACGACATTCCAATACAGTAACTTTCCATCTCAAACAGCACATTTAGGTGGCACACATAGTTTGATCAGCTCATTTCTGTCATTTTTCTTGACATGTACTTTTAGTTAAAGCATATTTTACATGTTTCATGCACCATTCATAGCACTTCATGGCAGAGATATTCCCTGCACCATCATTTCAGATAGACGTATAATTTTTAGCAGGAAGATCAACTTAGTTACTAGAAAAAAAATGTATCAACTCTCACAAATGAGAGAATGGAACTAGCCATCTCAAAAGGAAAACAGCCAAAATTTTATAAAATGAACACCTTATAACACTGCAATGGAACACTTGAAATACAAAATGCAGGGTTCATAATCTCAATGTCTTTTAAAAAATCACATATATTCTCTAAATATTCTTATAACTTATTATACATTTTAAATTTATGTAGAAAATCATTACTCATCTTTCACATTTCACAACTTGAACATACTAAAGTGTTTTTAAAGTACCATAGTGATAAAATAAATCAACAGTAGGCAAAGTGAGAAAATTCAGTGCCCTGTGATTAAGGTGGTAATGTATTTCAGTACAAAATTCTGCTAGAGGGGGCAGGGAAGCACCATGATAGAACAGCAAATAGTAACAGATACAAAATGGATATCTTCAATTACATAAAGATTATTTTCACATTTAAAAAAAATATTGCTACTGATGTGTGTAACTGATAGTTCTCTTTTATTAAATTACATATCAGTTTTAGTCTAAATGATAACAACAGCAGTAACCATCCATTTTGCAATAAAGGCTTATTAATTTTTTTCTTCAAGTTTTAAATTTTTTTGTGATTGTTTCTGCAGGACTACATTTTATTTATCTAATATATCACAACTGAAAAGAACACCCCAAAACAGTGAAGTCCTGTGATCCCACAGGATCAACTACAGTAATACAAAGCAATACACCTGAATAAACAATGATTTGAAACAGCCCAGAATTCAAGAAACAGGACTACCTTCTTCAAAAACATTAAATAATGACTCTTCCCTAAAAAAAATGAAAAAAAAGAGAGAAAAACAAATATAATTTTTTATAGATGATAAAAATAAATTAAATTTTAATTAAGGTGAACTATGCTCTACCATTTTGAAGTTAAAGGGATAACGACTCTTAACATGAGATTCAAAATCCCACAATAAATACATTGTAAAGAACACATGCTAGTAGAAATATCATAAATTCCATTTTACAACCAAATGGCAGTTATTTTAATTAATCTGAAATTTGTGCTTGCCATTGGACAACCTGGACCTTCACAGATAGCTTCACTCCATAATAATCTCTCAAGAGATATTTACAAAAAAAAAAAAAAAATCAACTCACTCTGAATGTCAGAAAAGATTTGTTAACCATTTGAAAGTACGGATGGGAAAATGGTCGTTTACCCAAGAAAAATCTTTTTTATGGCATTTTACCAGTTAAAATGTAGTTGTTATATCCCTTTAAGGCATTCATCAGTATTTTTTTTTCTTTTTTTTTTTTCTACACCCTCTGTAACCTTGAGCAGCCATTAACAGAGACTTCAAAAGAGGCATCTGTGACTGAATTTTGGTGATGCTAGACACTCCTTACTCCACGAGAAATATGATCTGATAGATTAATGCCATGTCCACAGCACTAGCTTCTAATGAAGGAATCCCACCAAATGCAGAGAAATGAGCAGTGTTCAGCAAATAAGTATAAAATTAATATCTAACAAATAATAAAAAACAATATAAATAATAATAATACAAAATTATTACCTATAACTAAACAAACTTGAAACTTTCTGCATAGAACACCATATGCATAATTAATGAAAATAAACATAAATAAACAAATACCAACCCAGTGAATAAAGTGCCATAGTGCTGGTCTCCAGAATAGGCCCGGGGCTTCTATCCCCATGGCACCACCAAAGACCATTAATAAATGGCATTTGCAGTCCTGTTTACTAAGAAAGCTCAGTTAACAAATGCAAGAGGATATACAGTAGATGTGTTCTATACTATAAGCTATAAACTAATACCACCCCATTTCCCAAAACCTCTTTGGGCTAAACTCTTTAAGATCAACAATTGATGCCTGCCCATCAACAATCAACTCTGCCATGGCAGCACCAGTAACAGGAGCATTTAGTATACCCCAGCAACTATGTCCAGTAGCAATGTATGCTCCCTCAGCAGTCGTAATCTTCCCAATGAGCGGGGTGCCATCTGGTGACACTGGATAGAAGCACGCAGACTTCCTCTGGATATCAGCTTGGCCGAGTTTCGTCGAAATCTCACCCACTATCCCTAGCAGTTTTTCTCCAGTCTCTGGGTCTGGTTTAACATCTTCTGGGTTATCAGGAAGCTCTGGGTCATCGCCTAAGCCACAGATGTACACTTCCCCATCAGGACGACAATAAATCTCAGGTGATCTGGTGATCCCGTTTTTCAAGCGATGCTCTATGAAGCAGGCGTGTGCTGGGAAGGGGGTAGGGGGTTTCACCATTATGCTGTGGGCTCTATGGCCTTTCACCTTAGGCAGCCGGGCAAACCACTGACTGGCCATATGGGACCATGGTCCCATCGCTATGACAACAATGTCACATGGGATAGGCTCTTCTTGGTCAGCAATTTTTACCCCCTGGACTTTGGGACGTTTATCATGTGTTGACTTGATTCCTTCAACAGCTCCCTTGATCAATTTTACTCCCTTCTTTTGGGCCTCTTCTAACATAGCATGTGTTAATTTGTAGGGATGAACCTAGGGAGTAAAGAAATATCTATCACAGATATAAGATGAAAACATTTCTGCATTAAGTTCAATCCCATGTCAGTAGCAAATTTTAGTCTAGTAGCTTTTATCAGTTTCCAGGGAAATTGAGGAGAATTGTGTAAATAATGTAGTATGTTTCATTATCATAAGAAAATAAAGTTTGCCTATGGTGAGAATGCCCCATGCTGCATGTAACATGAACCAAGATCATCAGGGATGTAAGGGGAATTTTCAATAAATATACTTTAACATTAAATCTTTACGCAGACAGAAAAGAATCAATCATATGTTCATTGCAATTAGACATAAGTGGATATGATATTGCTAATTAAAGGTGACATGGTATGATCAACTCTCAAGTCAAGGGAGCATTATTTGGATACTGAACCCATTGAAAGTAGTTTGAATCATGATTTTCTACAAGTAGTTCAGTGTATAATCACAACTACCAGCCTGTCAGCAACCACGCATGCACACACGCATGCACGCACATATACTCACCTGTGCTGTAGTAGAGGTATTCCCCAATGTGGCCACACTGGTGACACACCCATCTATCCAGTCTGGCTTGCCACTATCCGAGTCACTATGGAATCCCTCCAGGGAGTCCACTTGAAAGGTGTCCAGCAGCCTGTAGTCTATCTTACTAGCACCAAACTTCTCTGCCAGCTCCTTGTGCATCTCAAAGCTTTTTCTTGCCAAATGGCCGAGCTGGAAATGGGAGTCAAAAGTTATTTTGAAAACTGAGAAAAAAAAACTTTATTCAGGAAAATATTATTTTAAAGTTATTTTCTACATATCTCAATTTGTCTTAGTACTTTTTAGACTTGTCTTAAGCCAACAACATAATAGTTTAAGAAATGAAAGACAAAAATTTGCAAAATTGAATTCAGAACAAACTAAGATACAGATAGTGGTCAATGAGTACCAAAGTAAATGCTATGATTTTGATGTGCATGTCTGGTAGTGCATACACAGTAATACAGATTGAAGTAACTTCTATGTCAGGAAAAAAGATCCAATTATCTGTTCATCAGTATTATATTAACATCTTGGACTCATTTAAGTAGTATACATAATATGCATTTGGTTGGAGTTTTTGATCTTTGTCAGTGTTAACTAAATAAATGTCTCTTGGGGGGAAGAACAGAGATTACAATCAATACTCATTCCCCACAGAATGTGTGATCAATCAAGACATGGACTATCATGCTACACATACATGTATGTGTATTCTCAGACAATGCTAGAGAACAAGGTCTTTTTTTTTTCACAAATTCATGCAAAAAAAAAAAAAATTATCCATTAACCAAAGTTTTCAACCCACTGCTAGCGTTCTCTTTCATATGGGAAAATACAAAGTTATTATCTAACAAGAAATCTGAATGAAAAAAGTCCTAATTAACAAAATTATTTTTCTTTTGTCATATATGTAGTGAACATGTTGAAAACTACACCATATTAAAATGGGTAGTTCTCTCTCCATCTTTGTAAATGATCTTTTTGTAAATAATAAAGAAACGCACCAATGAATTACACTCCTTTGGGTAGGATGAAAATAAGTGAACCCTGCTCTTTTAGACAATAATAAAAAAACAGATCCCCCTCCCCCCCAAAAATAAAAAACTTTGATGAAATTTATTCCAGACAGTGAGTGCAGTGCATTCTATTTTCATTAACTATTTTTTTTTCAGTACAGTGAAATTTGCTGTCTTTGTTATTTCTTGTCAAAGCACTGTTTCTACTGTAAGTTTTTAGCTGGAGACTGGTGATCAACTCATTTCTGCTTGCAAATACACCAAGATTCGATCTGTGACTGTAGCATTTAATCTTACCAACTAGATTTAGTGAATTTTGTAAACAAAGTTTGTGAAATTTCCCATTAATATACAGTGGAGTTTTTTTTACCTTTACTGAACTTTAGCCACAACAAACATAAACACTTGTACATTGCTTAAACATAAATCAGAAAATGATAAATAGTGACCGCCGTATCACCCCTTCCTACTTTTGTAAAAGTTCCACTCCAAAGAACTTATATAGAAGTGGCCTGAGATACAGCCCTGGTCACCAATTACCTGCAGCCTCAAATTGTTTGTCAATTTTCAGACCACAACTACAAATTTATTTGGAATGCATTTCTTCTTTCTCTAAATGTAAATAAAAATCTATATGCACAGAATTAACTAAGAGAACTTATTTTGTGAATTTTTTTTTTTTAAATCCTAATGTTTGAGATTTTATTGATTGATAACCATACCCATAATTTTACAATGCTTTAGTTGGACTTTAACCTGGAAACAGCTAAAGAATGCACAACAGAAACGTGCCAACCAATTTTTGAACTGAGCTTTTTAAGTAGAAGAAAATTTTTAACAGTATGCAGGTAAAAACTACACAATCAGAATAAAATGATGCATCAATGAGAAAAATAACACTAAATATATTATTTTACTGCATATGACATAGACTGATAGTTTATGTATTTAAACTGTGTTTAGTAACTTATTGCCAATCCAAAGATGAAAATGACTGAAAAAGAACTCTTCATTCAAATAGTTTCCTACCTCATTATGATCACACCAATTCTTAGCCAAAAATCCTCCAGCTCTTCCAGAGGCCGCACATGCCACTGATCTCCTCTCAATAATGGTGGCTGCTACTCCCTTCTCAGCCAGATAGTAGGCAATGGAAACCCCAATAATTCCTCCCCCACAGATCACCACTCGCAAATCTGATGTGCTCTTCTTGCCTCCTTCTGCCATTACTAGAAAGAATAAAATAAATAATAACAATAATAATAACCATTATGTCATAAGTTATTGGTGCTACAGGATTACTCTCCACTTTTACCCTCTTTGCACAAGACAGAACAAGACTGTCCTACCTGTACACATGTAATGCTTCATTGCAGGACTGCATAGTATTATTGAGAAAATACTAAGTTGGTAGTCATAGGGGAATGGCTATGAAAAAAACTTGAAAGAAAAATCACAGTGATGTAGAGATCCAGATGCTTATAAAATACTATGCAAAAATACTTTTGAACAGCAGGTTTATAAACTCAAGTACAACCCAAAGGAAAAAGAGAGTTTGGCAGGATATTACAGCCAAAGTTAATGCTGGAGAAGTTGAAACACAATTAATGGAAAGATTTGTACTCCAAGGCAAAGAATAACACTTCTAATATAAAGCAACCTAAGACAGGAGGAGGCACACAACTAGTGGAGGGGCTTTATACAGACATTGTTTTGGATATCGTGGGACAATATTCCCCTTCTTTCACGGGCATCGTCAGGGGAGGAGAGAGAGAAGTGCATAACTATGTCTGATACACATCAATAACTGGTTACAGATAATGCATGTTTTATTTATGTACAGGCAGATGGCAGCTGTAATTTATCTTATTTTCATTGAGAATTGTAGTCTGTGAAAACAAATTGTTGGCTTTAAAAAGCTTATAAATGGATTAAAATACAATATGCTACATAAAATCCTCAAATATGTTACAATAACTATCATAATCTCTCCTTTCATACATCAAATTGTCATAAGAAAGAAGTGTAGCTGCATTACTAGTGTTGGACACATCAGCACCACATCAACAGGGCGACCTATGAACTTGTCAACAGGCCTCAACACTGTTAACTTTGCAGTCCTCAACATCATCAACATTACAGTACTCAACATCATTGAAGGTAAAACCCCTGAAATCTTCAACAGCACAGTTCTTGTTATCCTTATTAGCGCAGTCCTTAACATCATCAACAATATAACCCTGGACATTGTAAACAGCACACCCCTCAACATCAACAGCACAGCCCAAGGTTTAACATTGTCAAGAGCACAGCCCTCAATATCCTCAACAGCACAGCCCTCTACATCATTAAAAGTCCAACCCTGGACCTTGCCAACAGCACAGTTGTCCACTATATCTTCAGAAACCACAAGAAGCGCCTTGAATTATATTGAAAACAGCTAAATTAACGAGAACACTCCCTACTTGTACAGAAAGAGAACATTTGATGAGGGGGGGGGGGGGGGATTGAAAAGATTAAATTTAAAAAGCAAAAGTAAAGTAGAGAAATTGTGAAAGTCAATTTAGAATCAAACTGCTTAAAGCCAGGATATCTAATGCATGTGATGCATATACTGAGTAAGGCACTGTTCACATGAAAAATCTAAATTCTAAAAATCCAAAAATCCATTGGTGGGTCATTCCATATCAACTCATCCAGCGAGGGTACCCTCCGTCAAGAAAGTTGATGATTTTCACATATTTTGTAGATATTATAGGGACTAGAAAAAACCTAAAATTTTAGGTTCAGATCTCAACTGGTTTCAGAGTTATGACACTCCAAAGTTGGACCCAGTTGAGGGCTTGCTGTGCCTCACATGAATCTAGGTCATAGTGACCTAGTTAAGAAAAACACTATAACAATAGTTCTACATATCCCATTGCTTTGTAGCTTTCATGACTTTATATTTTAACATTTCAGGAATCCAACTATTACACTGAAAATGGTCTGGCATATTTAAAATGCACTTAATTTTTACTTTGAAAAATCCTTGTCATTTTTTCAAAATGATAGACACCCCACCCTTTTAATCTAATTTTTCTCAATGTCTCCAAATGGACAGGTGTTTTTGCCTTATCTTATATTAAAGAGGAGGCTTTGAACTTAAAAGTGAAAGTGTTAAATCAATTTGTATATTTTGGAGACAAAAGTAATTAAACATTATAAGAAAATATGTGATATGGGCTATTGCATGGTTACTGATCCAGAACAATGTACTATCAAACACTCAAATTTAGAAATATCTACATTAGTTTACCTGTTATCTTTCAGAATACATTTCCTATGATGTTGTTATACTATAAGATATTTTTTTGATGTGAATGAAATTGTTTTATACAGTTGTTCTATAACTATTGACATCTCACCAATAGACCAGTATTCATGTCTCTGTGCAGATACCTACTTGTCTCATGTCATTTAAAAGATATTTACAACCTAAATAAATAACCATATTATACATATGCCCAAAAACTTATTGTGTGATTATAAAGCACATGTTTTCTTCTTTTTTGTAGGTCAGAAAAGTTGCATGTTTATCATCCAAACCCAATCTAAAGGTGCAAATAATGTCAGAGGCATGCTCTCAAAAATATTCAATGCATGGATTAGAAACAAAGTTTGGTAATTTTTTTGGTCCCACATGAAGATATGTGTATCAAAGTTTCATTGTCCTGGAACCACTTGTCATAAAAATTAATTCTTAGTCTAACCCCAAATGTTACTGTCACAAATGGACATTTTTCAACTATGAAAGTGTTGCGCTCACTTTGCAAACTCAATAAGTGCTGATTTCCTTTTTTTTTCATCATCTTATTTTTACAATTTGTACAAAGTTGTCAAAAACAAAGCAATCTTCTGTACAGAACATCAAATTTGCTGCAATTTTAGTTTGTTTGTCACTGAATTTTATAAATACAAATGTAGCATGCTAACAGTAAAAGAAACAAAATGAACCATTTTCTACTACTGGTGCAAAAATTATGTCAGAAATGCCAAACACTATGCATTTTATGTATGTTTAGCATAACACCCTGTTACCTACTGCACTAAGGACTTGGTCAAAAATAACCTTTTTTTTTCGAACATTTTTCTGGGAAACAAAAGTTACCTATACACACATGATAAATATTGCATGTAGAAGTAAATTTGAAGCAGGCATGCATTTTTGTTCTAAACACAGGTTATAAAAATTGATTACAATTTCAAAATTCAATCAGTAATATTTTTTATACTACAGCATGTGAAATTCACCTCTATATTAGGTTGGGGTAATATGCAGAATGCTTTGTATAACTATTTACATTAAATGCATTCTAAGGATAACATTTTATCTTACATAATCTACTCACCCAGAATTTTCTTTGGTCAGCAAGCATTTGCTGGGTGCCATTAAATGATATAATTTGTAAATTATCATCCGTGTTCCTGTCACTGGCATATCATATACTATTATGCAGGGTGGCCAAAGGAAAATTTGTGAGAAGTTCCTTGCACATTATGTATCATAGATTAGATTTTTTAATCATCTTTAACTAAAAGAAAAATAGTTATTATTGCTAGACTGCAGCGCATTCAAAATATTTCGGCCAGATTATTAACTCGGACATCCACAAGTATACACATCTCCCCAGTTTTAAAAAGTTTACACTGGCTACCTCTACAAGCCAGAATTTTATTCAAATTTTCAGTTTTTACTCACGATGCTTTTTATGGATTGGCACCAATCTACATCAATGAATTAGTAAGTCACTATGTTCCAATGCGAAATCTGCGATCTGTAGACCAATTGCTACTCAACCCAGTAAAAATGCGATTAAAAACCTACGGTGATATATCTTTTAAAGCTGCAGGTCCAAAGGAATGGAATCTATTACCGCTGGAAATCCGAGCAATTCAGTCTACCAAACATTTTAAAAAAGAACTCAAAACATACCTTTTTAGGAAATATTTTGATTAACTCTTAATTGGTTTTATAAATCTTGTATTAATTGGATTTAATTGTATGGAATAATGGCTGNTTTTTTAAACTTGTGGGGGGCAAAACGGGTTTTTGTTTAATTTTTTTCGGTTTTTCCCTTTCGGGGTTAAATTCAGGGGGGGCAAATTTATTTCGGGGAAAACCCCCCCCCCCCCCCCAAAAAAAAAAAAAAAAAAAAAAAAAACTTTGAAATGAAAAACGGGATTATAAATCGTAATTATGTCAATGATTTTGGATATGGACTACCTTGGTGTTTTATGGTAAAATATTGACGTTTTCAGGAAAGTTTTACTTTTTGCTACACTAAGGCCAAACGCTTTTTGCATAACTATAATTGGACAGTGTTTATTATAAACTAGACTGTTGATATAACTAATGGCCTTTCAATATACATCATTGAGCTGTGTAATAGGTCTGTCAATAGCAATACATCCAGACAACTGAGAATCTGGAAGCGGTGGAAGTAGGCCCTACTTAATACTGTAAATATATGGATAATAGTCTGCCGTATTAATGAACCTTTTAGACCAGCCCAGGTGAAAACGCGACAGAGACGGGTGGGGTAATTTCTCTACATTTTCACCAACCATTAAATTTACATATGAAGCGGACGTGGATTCTCAGTAACGCATATAAAAGACTTGTACTAGTTTCTTACACGACTAAAATAGAGGACATACCAAGTAATAAATAGCTATAGAACTGCGTCATCTTCAAATATTCGAGAGAGAGAGAGAGAGAGAGAGAGAGAGAGAGAGAGAGAGGGAGAGAGCGCACAGAAAGAGAGCACAGAAAGAAAGCAGAATATTTTTGTTCAAATATAATTTTTATCAAATTAAAACGATGTTCCTTGATATCTCTTTAAGCTATGCTATTTAAAACTATATGGTGGCATTTAGTCGGGTTTGCGGCAAAATTTTGACTCCAAATTCATCATGCAGAAGAATACTAGGCATAAAATACACCATGGTGAAAATTTAAATACAGAGTGAGGGATGCATTTAGAGGCACAGGTATTTTGATTTATTGGAGATACAAATGCTTTGAAATATTAGAGGTACAAATACTTTGAGATAATATGAGTAGACGAAGTATAAGCTTATGTTTTATATTCAAATACCTTTTTAATTTTTATAACAGGTAGAGATGGGTTCTTATAGATATACCCTATGAATATGCCAATAAAATTAACCAGAAAAAAACACACACATCTTTAATTAAATATGCATTAAGTTCTTTCGGATCTGAATCGTCAAAAACGTACTTTTCAAGCGTTTGCAAACAAATGGCCTTTTGTAATGAGTAGCTGAGAAGTTCAGTCATAAAGTATTTGAAAGTCAACCCGACACTTTTTTTACTCAATTACCAAAGTACGCATGTTTTACTCGTTGTCGTAGGGTTTAAAGCTCCCGCAAGGAAATGGCTTTTATACTAATTAGTCATATGAATTAGTCAAAGTGTTTGCATTAAACCAGTATGAGCACATGTGCCGTAATGAATTGTCGACACGTGCTACGTCTCACAGATCCCAATCAATAGCTGGCAGATTCAGAAATTAAAGGTGTGGGGTAAATCAAAGGGGAAGTTATTTAGTCCCAAGAAGCAACTATAGATATTATGGTACATCAATAGGATTAAATCATCAACATCAGATTTCTTTAATTGTTTAGAAAGTACGAGAAAGTAACAGGCAACCCAAGCAACCCGGATTGTATTTCACTCCCTTGTCGTCAACCATGCCAATTTTAGTGATGGTGACTTAGTTACGGAGTTATGCGGCAAACCCATCACTATCTTATACTAACTTACAAAGCAGTTGAATTCACGATGAACTGGGGCAGGACCTAAAGGTAGAAGCGCGTGGGTGGTGAATAAAACACGGAAAAGGGATTTTTGCTCTAAAAGTCTATCTAATTGTACTAATATGATCTAGATAGGCCTAGTGCTTTACATTAAAGAAAAGGGAAAAGCTATTTTGAACATGTAGGCCATTTTAACGTATCAATCTCCCTTAAGTCTGTTGTTACCATTTAAATGTCAACAAAATGGAGTAAAGGTAGAACTGGCCTTGTCATATAAGCTTCATTACTCAGTTATAGCTAAGCAGGTGAATAAAAATAAAACAAATTACGCGCCGCTATGATATTTATCTGTAAGATCATGAATCCGAGAAATCGATTGAATTATTTAATACATTCAGCGACGTTTGGAGTTCTGCGATTTGCAATTGGTTTGCTTTAATTCCGGTAAATAAGTGATTTCCTCTTTGCTTGCAGACGCCTTAAAGTAATTGAGCCTTTGTGACTGGGGTAACAACAGGCAGGTGATCACACGCCCTACGTTCAGTATCTATGGTTAAATTTGAATTATACGCATACAGTATACAGTTCAGCAGCTACGGGGTAGACATGCTGTTTAAACAAAGTTAGAGTTTGGATAAGCGCTGATTTGAAGAGATTTAAATCACGGAGATCTTGGTAATAACCAACACGATGAATTATGAACCTAACGAACGAGATGGATGTGGATGTTGAAGGTGGCGGCGGCGGTGGTGGTGGTGGTAGCGTGGGAGAAATATGGACAGAGGCATTGGAAAATACCACAGCACATGGATTGGGAAATGTTCTTCGTTATCGGAACAGCAAGTCCAGGAGAATTATGTGGATATTGCTTTTTCTGGCTGGATTAGGTAACCAAAGTCTAATTTATATACTTATGAAACAATTTGGTAAACGAGTATCTTTTTTCTGCCAGATAAATGCGTGAGAATTATACATATTTTCTTGTTATGCCTTAACGCATAAATCTTTTTTCTTTGGATTGTGTCCTCAGAAAAAAAAACAAAGAAGAACTTAATAACTTAGAACTGCTTGTAAAATTGTCTTTATTGTTGAAGTGGAAAATCTTCTTTTCGTTATTTAAGCATGGAATTAAGAAACGTTTTAAAAAGATACATGCACATGAAGTACTTTCGGTTGTTTAAGACCAGCTGTTGCAGTACAAAAAATAATTTGAAAAGACAACTGGAAAACGAGTTTTTCCTGTTGTTTCATTTGTAACAAACGTTTATGATTTCTCCCTCTCTCTGGTTTTCATTAATGGACACATTGCATACACTAATTCTGGTTCTATTACTTGTGCACTTCCTCTGTCTGATGCGTAGTTTGAGAGGTAGCAATTGCACTTATACATGTATACGCCTCGAGTGGTGACCTTAAAACATGCATTTTCTTGGAGTAAAATTAGGATTAGAATTTTTTGTTACTATCACTTGTAAGTCCATAACTGCTTACACATGTATAAACGCCACGTTTTGTAATAACGCATCTGTTGTTGTGGTATTGTTCATTTCCATGCTGCAACTGTAAATTTGATGTTATTTAAAAAGGATAACATCACAGACTAATTCACAAATTTCAAGTTTCGGGAATTGAAAAAAAAATTGAAAGGAAATAAGTTTGAATTTCATGTAGCCAGATGACAGATTTGTATCCCATATTATATAAAACCAGTGATCGGACAGTTACAAAAAAGGTAAACGCAGTAAAGCAGTCGTAAACTTATTATTCATGGGGTTGACCGCCAGGTAAGGTGAAAAAAAGGCTGACTATCATTTCATTCATCTTTCATAGTCATTCCCATGTTTTGATCATTCTTCTCGCTGTCGATTTTTGGCGCAATTCAATAGCTCCAATGATTAATTTGCTTCACAGAGGCTAAATCATAGTGCTTTCTCGAGGTGGCAATCAATATTTTGGTTTATGTATCATAGAACTTAGATATTGACATATCCACGTACATGGCTTAACGAGCCTGATTAGCGAAAAAGCTGGGTAAACACAATATTCCGAGTATTGCTTAGCACAATATACAAACAAAAATAACACCCATGTACTAATTTCACGGTACGGTTTCATTAGTTTGGCCATTTGTATCCTTTTTCTTGTGATTATACACGGTGAGAAATTTTGGTCAGAATTTGATATTGTACACAAGAAATAACAACGACCATCGCTTGTGAAATACTCGTGATCAGATATCCTTCCCTCCGTTTCTCGGGGAGACTGTCTCTGTTCAGTAACCATTGATAGATCTAGAGAAGTGTCCGAATCCAGTGAAAACTTTTACCAGATGCCGTTTCCCAAACTAATGAAAGTTTGCAACGGTCTTTGAAATGAACCGAGTTAACCGTCGCCATAAAACATCGTTCATCTACGGCAAACTTCCCTTTTTGCGTTCTTCTTATTTGTTACAGGTGCGCTCATCTATTTCGTCAGCCAGTTAGCGGTCAAGTACTTCGAGTGGCCGACAGAGACAGATGTCACGGTGGAACTAGAGCCCAGACTGGACTTCCCAGCCGTGACCATCTGCAACGAGAACCCAGTAAAACGGTCCCAAATAGCAGCGTCCTCTAGTTCAAGTTTGAACAATTTGTTGGTACGCCCTTGATCTAAATAAAGGACCGTTCACAATGAATTTTGTAGACCTAGCTTATGCTCACTTACTTTACGGGGACTCTAGCTGAATGCAATCAAATTAATGGGCATTATATTTTTTATTCGAATTATAAAGTCACAACGAAATCGATCCTCATCGACGAAATTCCTTGTGGCACTGTTTTCGTATGAATAGTTTACATTAATTCTCATATATGATTAACAAACATTATAATGGCATCATAGGAACAACAAAAAGTAAAACATTTTTTTTCTTTTACAGGCCCAGAACGAAGCTGCAAAAGTGTCTAGAAGGCGACGCAGTATCGCTAACAAAGATGTAATAATGCCTTGATTCTTTTTTTTTTCTTTCAAGTATATGTATTGATTGTGGTTGAAACAGCAATTCAAATAAGCGTAACTGTAGTTTGCGCAAAATGTGTTTATATATAAGGCCGCATTCTCAACGAATTGAGCCAGGCTTTACAAATCCTGGGGACTAAATATGGCGGACGTACATGAAAGAAAAACCGCCTAATCTTTTAATAGTCTCTCCGCCTATCACACGCCTCCCCATGTGTCGTCCCAATGGAACCGAGATTTAATGACTGTCCCCCCGCAGGGACGACGTGTGGGGAGGCGTGTGAGAGGCGGAGAGACTATTAAAAGATTAGGCGGTTTTACTTTCGTGTACGACCGCCATATTTAGTAACCAGGATTTGTAAAGCCTGGCTCAACTCGTTGTGAATACGATCATAACATGACCCAAAATAAGCCCAATTCTATCATTAAAATCTAGCCTATTTGTTTACCCAGAACTCATATACAATCGTTTCAGACAATTTTATCTTTAAACTAATGACGCACTCTCCTGGTTGGCATTATGTAGACATTTTTGGTAAAATATCAAGATAAAATAAATAAAATAAAAAAAATCTAGATTGCTGAATTGAAAAATTGTTGAGGAAAAATCTGGATTTAGTGTAAATTACACGTTTTAAAAATGAATACATATTTTCATTCAGGTGGAAGTTACACGGAATCGTAGAGCGAGTACCTCTGCCCTTGGCTCCAGTACATCTACTAATTTGGGCACAAGTTCCAGCGTGGCCTCGATTTCTGGTACGCCATCGGATCCTCTTTCAAGCTCGAATTCGGGCAATTATTTGGGTTCATCATTGGGGTCCGCTTCAAGTTTAATTTCGGGTTCGACTGTGGAACCTGCTTGGGATTTAAAGTCACATAATTTCGCAAAATTGAGTTTGGGTTCGAGTTCCAATCTGATTTCGATTTTGGGTACCGATAACCGACCAATTGGGGTCAACTTCGATTTCAGTGCCTAGGCTGAATTCGAATCAAAGTTCGAACTCTTTTTGGAACTCGAATTCGGGTCCATTTTAGAGTAGAATATTGGGTTCAGGTGTGGATCGAGTTTCGGTCACTACGTCAGGGCCGTATTCAGCTCTGAGTTCAGGGTCGAGCGTGCACGAGTCCTGCTTTGGACTTTAAGTTTCGTAAAGGTAGGAGGGCTCTATTTTAAGTCCAAGGTTGGGGACCAACTTCGGGTAGAGTTTCGGGATCTGATTTGAATCAAAGTTCAGCTGCCTTTTTAGATGCGAGTTCGTGTTTTTTTTAAATAGTTTTGAGTGCGAACATTGAGCTCAAAACCTGGCACTTCTTCGAATATGAGTATGAATTCCCTTTCAGGCTTGAGTGCGGCCTTAATTTCGGCCACGGGTTTGGGTACGGGTTCAGCGTTGGGCTTATCGTCAACCGGAACGTCTTCTTCGGGGCACGATTACCTCTCCAAGTCATCTAGGACGCAGTCACTGGATCAGTTTCAGTATCAGTTTGCCAAATTGAACGACACAGAACGAATGGCTATCGGACACAATATGACAACATTTTTGGTGGACTGTTCCTGGCAGGGATATCCGTGTGATAAAAGGTATGAGGGTTGTGGAATAAACTATAGATGTAATATATATTTTGTTATGTACATATAGGTATGATCTATCCAAGCCTCCTGTAAGTTTCACGTCTCCCTTAATGGTCGGTCCATCCTACATGACAACACACTGCACAACTTTGGTGACGGTCAGTTTGAACTGTTTTACGATTAAATGGAAACAAAATGGTCCGTCTTTATGTACCATTTACCATATTGATAACTCTTTACGTGCGATTTCCCTTATTGATAACTAAGGTTGAAGGTTTGGCACGAAGATGAAAAATTGAGTAAATCTGGAGTTTGTATTGATTTTATTTCAATTGGCATTCGATAAAGTCAATGAACAAATTAGGTCTATCTTCATCAAGACACAACATCAATGTGTCAATTGTAAACTTAAATATGAAGATATTCCTACGTTTCATTAAGTGCACTTGATGACATTTAAGGCCGCTATTCTTATGGTTTTCAGCAATTTCACGGAGTTTAGTGATTACAAGTATGGGAACTGTTTCATCTTCAACTCGGGCATGAACAAGACCGTCAGGTCCGCCGCCCGCGGCGGTCACACTTATGGTATGTTGAAAAAAAATGGAATTTTTTTATCTAAGTTTAGGAAATAAATCAAAGGTTATGCGTCGCCATTACTGTGTAAAATATGTCACTACAGTAATCACTGACACTATATCCCTTTTTAATAATTTTCTTCTATTTAAAAGTAGCTGTAGTTATCATAAAATTTATATTTACCGAGTCCAGAGGAATTCAGAAATAATATGTCGTGGGTGAAATCTGTACAAACCAATCTTGAAGCATTTCTCTAAGGAAATCGAATGGTTTATTCTGGATTTTATAATGAAAGTACATGTCACAAGACAAAATGGATGCAAATTAAAAGAAGAGCATGAAAGAGAACAATATTCTGGACAAAAAACGCTTGTATAAAGGCGCCGGCAAGTCTAATAGGAAAGTTGCTGTCAGATTAGCGCGATGCACAATTATGTCCAATTTGCTCACGTCACTGACATACTGTGCCTGCAACCATGTGCGCTGTGAGTCAAAATTTCATATTTGTGAGAAAACCACTCCCTGATTTTTTCTGGGTCAAACTGAAAAACTCAATCACCCCTCATATTTAGTGTTGATAATTACAAGCGCACTAGTAAAATAGCTGTAGTGGCGTACATGTATTTGTGCACTGTGAAGTCACAGGGTCAGGCAAAAATCTTTTACCCCCCACGCCCTCCATCCATTTAAACGTGCATTGTAAAAGATTACAAATGTATTAGTTATCCGCACAGCTTCTTTTTCTTCGTATATAAACGATCACCAGAGCTGCCCATAGGGGATGGTGGTGGGGGTTTCTTGTTATCGATTTATCACATGGCTTCGTATTATTTCATCCAAGGTCTCAGTCTTGAGCTGTACATAGAACAAGATGAATACATAATGACGACAGAATCTGCCGGGGTTCGCGTCACAATTCACGAGCAGAACTCGATGCCATTCGCGGAGGAACACAGTATTGTGGTAGCGCCTGGGAAGCATACCTCCATTGGAATATCAAAGGTGTGTTTGGACTATCCTCTACCAGGGTGGCAGATATTATAGGCAAATTTTAAAAAAAACTACCCTGTGACTTTTGGCCAGATGGAAGCAATTAAATCTGCACGCGCGTAGATGGCATTGTACCCGTTCGGTAGGGAGCTACTACCGAAGATTCCTCTATTAACTTCAATCTGAAATAACAAGCTATTCATAAGGGGCAGAGAATCAAATGACTGTCTATTTATCTAAAGACATATCTGTGAATATCTTGAGAAAAATCTGTCGCCCTGGTGGATTGTAGGTTTGGACCAACTGCCAGCACGACGGAGATGAATTTGTTTTTAAGATGTAGCTGTTTAAATTGTTTCAGCACACGACTCTGGTGTAGTTTTTAAAGACAAAATCCAGTGGGTATTAACACAAATAGAAAAGGCCGTATTTAAGGTGTAAAGAATATGGTTCTGCGAATGGCAAATAAAGAGAGCCATAAGACTGGTATTGCATTTTTATTGGGAATATATCACGCTTAATAATGTAGATTCTATAACTTTGATATGCATGGTTTATATATCAATTTTGTTTTAGAAACGCTTTGTCCGTATTGACTCACCGTACGGAGATTGTAAAAACTACACCGAGGAAGAAAACTATGAACTCAATGCTTATTCTGAATACTATAATTTAATTGTGAATTACAGTAGAGAGGTAGGTCAATAAACTTTTTACAGAGAGAACATTCATGCTAACATTCAACATTTCAAAAATCTCATAAATTGAATTTGATTCCAAAACCAAATAATTTTAAAATCTTTCTATTGTACACGTTAAACATTTGGTAAAAATATAAAATAGAAAATGCTTTACAGATATATTCCATTTTGACTGTATATCACAAAACGCGAACCGCGACTTTTTTTTTTTTTTTTTTTTTTACTTATTTCTACTCAATTTCTTTCAGGCATGTTTTAAAACATGCTTACAGAGACAAATTATAAGAGATTGTGGATGTGCACACCCCAGTTACCCGGCTAATGCAACTGCTCTCCAGGCTTCTTGGAATATAGCCTACAATAAAAATCTTACTAACAGTCGTGACGATCCAGTGCTTTGCAACATTGCCAACAGTACCACACACAGTAAGCCTCTCTCTCTCTCTCTCTCTCTCTCTCTCTCTCTCTCTGTGTGTGCATGTGTGTCATTCACCTTCATTTTACTGAGTCAAATACGTAAAAAGTTAAATCGTTCAATGGAATTTGCTGCGAAATAAAAAAAGAACTTCCATGATTTTACGCCTAACTGACCATAGCGAAATCTTATGACAAAATGTGGAAATGTATGACAGCAAATACCTCGTAAAGAGTCCCTTAGATTGTTTCGTTAGAAGCTTTAACAATATTACCATTAACAGAATGTTTTATGATTGAATTAAATAACGAATTACAGACATATTTACATCGCACAAGTGATAACGTGACATATGTATATTCTTAAATGATATATTATTATTATCTTACTTATTTTCACCATTTAGTTGTATGTGTTGACAACATTGTGGATATGTACAAAAAAGGACAGATTACATGCGACTGCCCTCCGAAATGTGTGTAAGTATTTCAATATTTTACTTCGTAACTTGATGATCTGTCTTAACTTTATAAAAACACTAAATAAGATGGTTGTTGAGAGGAATAATGATTAAGCCAAACTGATTTCGATCAAATTATATGCGATGAAATATATGTTGATTTTTAGCAAATTTTGATCCCGGATTTTTAAATAGCAGAAACGTCCCACCACTATCGGTGAACCTTGGTCTTGCTGACTTTTGGTTTTGACAAATGCTTTTATCAGAGTGAAATTGGTTTAAGAACTTTATTTTCTAAGCCCTTCTGTCTACTTCAAATTTCAGGGAAGATACATTTGAGGCAAGTGTTTCATCGATGCGCTGGCCTTCCGACGTGTATCAGGTAATATTCTTCTCAAGTGTAGCTTGTTAGAAGGTTTTCCTTCAAACGGACAGAAATTCAATAAGTTTTACAATATCTTTAATTGCAAAGCAAAAGGCTGGTAATCTTAATATAAAAAATGATAGACCGCTCATTTATTTATCATTTTCAGATGGAGATGCTGCAGACTTTGAGTGCATACGTGAATACAGACTTACTTGAAATGAGGTAAACCGCATTTCCCTTGTTTTCAATTATTAAAATTTTGTTTAATTTTTGCAGTTTATAGGAAATAGGTATTATTTCCATGTTATCTTTATTATTTTAACTTCATTTTTTCATTGGACGGAAGCAGAGCAGTTGATTGCATTCCTATAGCTCCAATGAAATAATATAAAAATATATTTTGATAAAATAAACATTTGAGCAGAGGTAGCAATTCGATTTTCTAAATACGATACTGTATTAGAAGGGACATTAGCACAAACTATCTACGTGACGGAGGTCCTATCCTAATATGACTCAAAATGAGACGCAACTAAAGCGCGGTTTTTACAGAAATAAAATTAAAATTCTAGGAGAAAATTCAAAATGAGAAAGTGTTGCTTTACAAACTTAATGGTTCAACCCTTATTATTTACATATTTCTATCTTTGAACATTGAACAAAGAACACGCAGAATGACATTCATTTCAACCTTTTTCTTCTTTTTCTGTTGCATATTTCAGGAGAAACGTGATGAAGGTGGAAATCTTCTATCGTGACATGAACCTCGAAACCGTCACCACGAACATTGCGTATTCGGTGCGTTTCTATCGAAATAATCACATTCTGTTCATTGTTATTATTTATAAGTTCAAACTTTTCTATAGCCTTCTGCAGAGCTTTCGGTCTCATCCAAAGAAATTATACTATAAATCCCAGTAAATATCAACAACATTATATCTTTACACTGCTGCACAGTTGAATTTCCATTGATGGTTGTCTTCTTAACTTTCTAAGCTGAATGAAGTTAATCAGCGGGGCTTGGAAAAGATTGGCAAGGGCGGGATTTTTTAACTTTGAAAGAATAATTCTTTCTTTTTCTTATTTAAACACACACAACAACAACAACAACAACTTTTTATTCTTTGAGTATTGAGTGTGCTATTTAAAATATATTTTCATCAAATGTCAACAGGTCGAAGCATTTCAGACATTATGAACATGGACCTAACTAGAGAGTCTCTAGTTAGGTCCATGTTATAATCAAATACGCCAAAATTCCCCCAAAATACCATACACTTTTTATTCCATTTCAGCTAACGGACCTTGGGTCGGACCTTGGCGGAAACTTGGGCCTGTGGCTTGGGGTGTCTGTTCTAACAGCCTGTGAGCTATTTAATCTGATATTGGACGTGATACAGCTGGCTCTTCGAAACCGCAAGAAAAACAGTAAAAAGAATCATGTGAGTCCAGTGCACAAGATAACAACTAAAGGATTCTGAACAGTATGAATACAGGAGGAAAAATAAAAGGAAGAGAATCACACCATTCCTACCACAAAAGATTTTCACAAATATATATATTATGTAAACTGTTTATTTTAGTCCAGAGGGTATACTGGTTAACAGTGTCATTTGAATCTGTATAAAAGAAGATAATCCCGCACACAAGCTTATAAATGTACACACACACATGGATTGATGCACAAAACATGCACAAATGAGCATACATTCACAAATATACACATGCATGTACATATGTACACATGCCTCTTTTACCGAGCACACGGAAAAGTGAAATATGCTGTGGCTATTATGAAGTAGCTGCCCTGCATTATTTGAAAATTGGAGTTTAAAACTCGGACAATGGGTGTGCAATTGTGTCTTCAAAATCCAAAAGCAAACAAAGCATGCACACCATCATATTTAGGCGCTGATTTGACACTGTAGGAGAGTGACTTCTTTCACAAGTTTGAAACTCGGGGACATATCATCACTTCTTGTGAGACGTATTTTTATATATATTTTTTACTTCTGATTATTCCCTTGTTTTGGAGTGTGCTTAAATCTAATGTAAATTATAAAGGTGATGGAATTAAAGTTTTTTTGGGTTCGCATTATTCTTTAGATGCGCCTTCCGATGATAGTACTCTAAGGCGAAATCGCCATGAATTAAAAGCATATCCTTCTCTCGCGAATCATTTTTCGTCTAAGGTATTCGTTTATTAATTACAGTGCACTCGGAAGTAAAGAAAATGTTATTTTGGCCAAAATATATATCCGTGTGTAAAGTGTAATCCTATTTTTCTTCCAATCGATCAGGGACCTCTTACTTTTCCTTCAGTCAGCGCCTAGAAGAGTTCCACAGGCGGTACAAATCACCTGCCCGCACATATTGCAGGCCTTCAGCATCAGCAACCCCCCCCCCCCCCCCCCCAAATTGAAAAAAAGGGGGGGGGGTCTTTTCATCCTACGGCCTTGGTTAGCCTGCATGCCTGCATGGGTTCTTCAATGGTTGTTGTGGATGTGCATGTACTTATTTTTGTCTACAATCTTGATAAATATCTGTATGTCATAGGTAATAGGTGAATTACTGGCATGACACAAAACAATTTTGATCGTACTTTTGATAAGTTTACCATGATGTCCAATTTCAACTCAAACTTCCATCCAAGTGCGTTTTATATACGGCCATCTCTCGGCCATCACTCGAAATTTCCACATGAGATTTTGAATTTACTAATTACGAAGTTAGAATGCTGCAAACACAATATATGTATATTATGGTTCATATGCATTTAAAAACTTGCTTTATTTTGATATCAATATTTGTCTGTATGCCTTCAAACATTTTAATCCAAACAAAGTTGAAAATTCATCTATATCTGTTTTAATCAGAAGCTTTTCCGCCATTCACAGGGAAGGCCAAGTAAAACTTGATAAGTTTGACAAGACTTGATGTGTTCTGAGATTTTCTTTCAAATATGTCACCAGGTTGATAAATGAATGTGTCAACAGTATACATACTGGTGCATGTATCCAGTTCCTCTGTTTATAAATCATTATATGAGAGAAACCGTGGGCAGCAGTTGTAGATGTTGTTCATGTTTGTGCACAATTTCCCCCATATTCAACTTAAAATTGGTGCTCTAAAATACCCTTTAGAATAATGACAGGGTGACAGAGAAGATTGTTATGGTTTATATCTGAACAATAGTAACCAAGCATTCATACCATAATCACAGTGCCCAACCATATAATCATAGTAATCAACTTTCAATATGGATGTGTACCGTACAACCCTCCATTACATCTGACAAAGTCACGTCATGAATGTAACATGAAAAAGAAAAACTGCTCAATATATACATCAGTGTCAAATATTTATTAACATTTCACTTGTACAGAAAAATGAATTTTTTCTTCACGCTCAAAGAAAAAAAGTGATCAAAACAAAACAAAATAAGCCATTATAGCTGCTGCTTGTATACATACAACTGGCCATGCAGTTCATTGTGACATTTATACACTGTTTATACATACTAGTAGATGCACAGATATCAGAATTCCATTCTTGACATATACAGTGTAGCATATATATCACTGTCTGTGATGGATCGAAAAAAGACTCATACATCTACATGTAAGAAATGGGATAAAACAACACTCCATAAGTAAAACTAATAGTAAACAATACAACTTAAGAACATGTATGAATATATCCTGTGACAAGCAGAAGATTTTAAATCAATATATTATATACAAAGAACAATGCTGATGCAGTATCTCATGAATCTCAACCTTATTTGATTAAAATAATGAAGCATTGACTGAATATGCCAAGGTAATAATGCTTATTAGTAAAATTAATGCTATATTCTTAATACTGTTATATATTTCCCCTATGTGCTGCATTCGACGCAGACTGGGTTCCCACAGATTTAGATCAATCCATCTGGATCGACCTAACTCCCTGAGGGTTCACGCTTAATTGCTGTCAGCTTCCGGGAGAAGAGCGCGCACAAAAGTTAATTACCCCCTTACAACTTTTAGGAGGCGGGACAGACATTTAAGCGGATTAAGCTGACAGCAACCTAGTGAGACTCCCCAGGGGGATAGATCGATCTAAATATCTGTGGGAATGGTCTCTCATTCTGCACTTATAGACTAAGGCAGCAAAAGGTGTATTCTCAAGGACATGATGGCAAACGCTCTGTAGGACAAATGTGCTGCAGCTCTGCAAAAACCTGCTGCGGAAGTGATGACAGCGAGGTCACTAAAATCACCTGCCCATGAATATATATATAATTTATAAAAGAACTGAATGTGCCTTGCCATTGTGAAGATATTTTGTCATATGTATATTAAGGTTACGTTAATAACAGGTACCTCAGCTGCTAAAAAGATCAACATGCATGCCTCAGGCAACCCAGGTGTAAATTAGTTCCTAGCACTCTGATACATTTCCCATTTCTTATTGCTCTAATACCGCCATATCGTGATATCGAGACTGCAATATTCCTTAGCTGAATGTTTTACATTTTCAACTATAGCACCAATTCAAAACACAGATAATAAAAGTACATCTAATATTCACAAGACAATTGTCCATTCTTGATATAAAGAAGACGACATTCCAATACAGTAACTTTCCATCTCAAATAGCACATTTAGGTGGCACACGTAGTTTGATCAGCTCATTTCTGTCATTTTTCTTGACATGTACTTTTAGTTAAAGCATATTTTACATGTTTCATGCACCATTCATAGCACTTCATGGCAGAGATATTCCCTGCACCATCATTTCCAACAGATAATTTTTAGCAGGAAGATCAACTTAGTTACTAGAAAAAAATGTATCAACTCTCACAAATGAGAGAATGGAACTAGCCATCTCAAAAGGAAAACAGCCAAAATCTCATAAAATGAACACCTTATAACACTGCAATGGAACACTTGAAATACAAAATGCAGGGTTCATAATCTCATTGTCTTTTAAAAAATCACATATATTCTTTAAATATTCTTAGAACTAATTATGCTTTTAAAATTTATGTAGAAAATCATTACTCATCTTTCACATTTCACAACTTTAACATACTAAAGGGCTTTTAAAGTACCATAGTGTTAAAATAAATCAACAGTAGGCAAAGTGAGAAAATTCAGTGACCTGTGATTGAGGTGGTAATGTATTTCAGTACAAAATTCTGCTAGAGGGGGCAGGGGAGCACCATGATAGAACAGCAAATAGAAACAGACACAAAATGGATATCGTCAATTACATAAAGATTATTTTCACATTTTAAAAAAATATTGCTACTGATGTGTAAAACTGATAGTTCTCTTTTATTAAATTACATATCAGCTTTAGTCTAAATGATAACAACAGCAGTAACAATCCATTTTGCAAAGGCTTATTAATTTTTTTCTTCGAGTTTTAAATTTTTTTGTGGTTGTTTCTGCAGGACTACTTTTTATTTATCTAATATATCACAGCTGAAAAGAACACCCCAAAACAGTGAAGTCCTGTGATCCCACAGGATCAACTAATACAAAGCAATACACCTGAATAAACAATGATTTGAAACAGCCCAGAATTCAAGAAACACGACTTCCTTCTTCAAAAACATTAAATAATGACTCTTCCCTTAAAAAAAAAAAAAACCAATATAATTTTTTATAGATGATAAAAATAAATTAAATTTTAATTAAGGTGAACGTTGCTCTACCATTTTGAAGTTAAAGGGATAACGACTCCTAACATGAGATTCAAAATCCCACAATAAATACATTGTAAAGAACACATGCTAGTAGAAATATCATAAATTCCATTTAACAACCAAAACGGCAGTTATTTTAATTATTCTGAAATCTGTGCTTGCCATCGGACAACCTGGACCTTCATAGATAGCTTCACTCCATAATAATCTCTCAAGAGATAATCGCAAAAAAAAAAAAAAAAAAAAAAAATCAACTCACTTTAAATGTCAGAAAAGATTTGTTAACCATTTGAAAGTATGGGAAAATGGTCGTTTACCCAAGAAAAATCCTTTTTATAGCACTTTACCAGCTAAAATGTAGTTGTTATCCCTTTAAGGCATTCATCAGTATTTTTTGTTTTCTTTTTTTCTTTTTTACACCCTCTGTAACCTTGAGCAGCCATTAACAGAGACTTCAAAAGAGGCACCTGTGACTGAATTTTGGTGATGTTAGACAGTCCACTCCTTTCTCCTCATGAGAAATATGATCTGATGGAATTAATGCCATGTCCACAGCACTAGCTTATAATGAGGGAATCCCACCAAATGCAGAGTGCTCTAAGTTACACAATTAAAGTAACATTCCAGAGAAATGAGCAGTGTTCAGCAAATAAGTATAAAATTAATATCTAACAAATAATAAAAAACAATATAAATAATAATAATAATACAAAACTATTACCTATAAATAAACAAACTTGAAACTTTCTGCATAGAACACCATATGCATAATTAATGAAAATAAACATAAATAAACAAATACCAACCCAGTGAATAAAATGCCATAGTGCTGGTCTCCAGAATAGGCCCGGGGGCTTCTATCCCCATGGCACCACCAAAGACCATTAATAAATGGCATTTGCAGTCCTGTTTACTAAGAAAGCTCAGTTAACAAATGCAAGAGGATACACAGTAGATGTGTTCTATACTATAAGCTATAAACTAATACCATCCCATTTCCCAAAACCTCTTTGGGCTAAACTCTTTTAGATCAACAATTGATGCCTGCCCATCAACAATCAACTCTGCCATGGCAGCACCAGTAACAGGAGCATTTAGTATACCCCAGCAACTATGTCCAGTAGCAATGTATGCTCCCTCAGCAGTCGTAATCTTCCCAATGAGTGGGGTGCCATCTGGTGACACTGGATAGAAGCATGCAGACTTCCTCTGGATATCAGCTTGGCCCAGTTTCGTCGAAATCTCACCCACTATCCCTAGCAGTTTTTCTCCAGTCTCCGGGTCTGGTTTAACATCTTCTGGGTTATCAGGAAGCTCAGGGTCATCGCCTAAACCACAGATGTACACTTCCCCATCAGGACGACAATAAATCTCGGGTGATCTAGTGATCCCGTTTTTCAAGCGATGCTCTATGAAGCAGGCGTGTGCTGGGAAGGGGGTAGGGGGTTTCACCATTATGCTGTGGGCTCTATGGCCTTTCACCTTAGGCAGCCGGGCAAACCACTGACTGGCCATATGGGACCATGGTCCCATCGCTATGACAACAATGTCACATGGGATAGGCTCTTCTTGGTCAGCAATTTTTACCCCCTGGACTTTGGGACGTTTATCATGTGTTGACTTGATTCCTTCAACAGCTCCCTTGATCAATTTTACTCCCTTCTTTTGGGCCTCTTCTAACATAGCATGTGTTAATTTGTAGGGATGAACCTAGGGAGTAAAGAAATATCTATCACAGATATAAGATGAAAACATTTCTGCATTAAGTTCAATCCCATGTCAGTAGCAAATTTTAGTCTAGTAGCTTTTATCAGTTTCCAGGGAAATTGAGGAGAATTGTGTAAATAATGTAGCATGTTTCATTATAATAAGAAAATAAAGTTTGCCTATGGTGAGAATGCCCCATGCTGCATGTAACATGAACCAAGATCATCAGGGATGTAAGGGGAATTTTCAATAAATATACTTTAACATTAAATCTTTACGCAGACAGAAAAGAATCAATCATATGTTCATTGCAATTAGACTGGATATGATATTGCTAATTAAAGGTGACATGGTATGATCAACTCTCAACTCAAGGGAGTGTCATTTGGATCTTGAACCCATTAAAAGTAGTTTGGATCATGATTATATACAAGTAGTTAGTGTAAAATCACAACTACCAGCTTGTCAGCAATCACGCATGCTCGCACACTCACTTGTGCTGTAGTAGAGGTGTTCCCCAACGTGGCCACACTGGTGACACACCCATCTATCCAGTCTGGCTTGCCACTATCCGAGTCACTATGGAATCCCTCCAGGGAGTCCACTTGAAAGGTGTCCAGCAGCCTGTAGTCTATCTTACTAGCACCAAACTTCTCTGCCAGCTCCTTGTGCATCTCAAAACTTTTTCTTGCCAAATGGCCGAGCTGGAAATGGGAGTCAAAAGTTATTTTGAAAACTGAGAAAAAAAAAAACTTTATTCAGGAAAATATTATTTTAAAGTTATTTTCTACATATCTCAATTTGTCTTAGTGCTTTTTAGACTTGTCTTAAGCCAACAACATAATAGTTTAAGAAATAAAAGACAAAAATTTACAAAATTGAATTCAGAACAAACTAAGATAGATAGTGGTCAATGAGTACCACAGCAAAAGCTATGATTTTGATGTACTTGTCTGGTAGTGCATACACAATAATACATATTGAAGTAACTTCTATGTCAGGAAAAAAGATCCAATTATCTGTTCATCAGTATTATATTAACATCTTGGACTCATTTAAGTAGTATACATAATACGCATTTGGTCAGAGTTGTTGATCTTCACCAGTATTAACTTAATAAATGTCTCTTGGGGGGAAGAACAGAGATTACAATCAATACTCATTCCCCACAGAATGTGTGATCAATCAAGACATGGACTATCATGCTACACATACATGTATATGTATACTCAGACAATGCTAGAGAACAAAGTCTTTTTTTACACAAATTCATGCAATTTATCAGTTTATCGAAGTTTTCAACGCACTGCCAGTGTTCTCTTTCATTTGAGGAAATAAAGTGAGTTATTATCTAACAAGATATCTGAATTTAAAAAAGTCTTAATTTACAATATTATTTTTCTTTCATCATATGCACTGCACATGTGGAAAACTACACCATATTATAATGGGTAGTTCTCTCTTCATCTTTGTAAATGACCTTTTTGTAAATATAAATGAAATGCACCAATGAATTATACTCCTTCAATCTTCATTGGGTAGGATGAAAATACAGTAAGTGAACCCTTCTCTTTTAGACAATAAGAAAAAAACAGATCTCCCCTCCCCCGCAAAAATAAAAAACTTTGATGAAATTTATTCCAGACAGTAAGTGCAGTGCATTCTATTTTCGTTAACTATTTTTTTTCAGTGCAGTGAAATTTGCTGTCTTTGTTATTTCTTGTCAAAGCTCTGTCTCTACTGTGAGTTTTTAGCTGGAGACTGGTGATCAACCCATTTCTGCTTGCAAATACAGCAAGATTCGATTTGTGACTGTAGCATTTCATCTTACCAACTAGATTTAGTGAATTTTGTAAACAAAGTTTGTAAAATTTCCCATTTCCCATTTTTTACCTTTACTGAACTTTAGCCACAACAAACATAAACACTTGTACATTGCTTAAACATAAATCAGAAAATGATAAATAGTGACCGCCGCATCACCCCTTCCTACTTTTGTAAAAGTTCCACTCCAAAGAACTTATATAGAAGTGGCCTGAGATACACCCCTGGTCACAAATTACCTGCAGCCTCAAAGTGTGTGTCAATTTTCAGACCACAACTACAAATTTATTTGGAATGCATTTCTTCTTTCTCTAAATGTAAATAAAAATCTATATGCACAGAATTAACTAAGAGAACTTATTTTGCGAAAAATTTTTTTTTAAATCCTAATGTTTGAGATTTTATTGATTGATAACCATCCACATAATTTTACAATGCTTTAGTCCCAAGTCAATTTTCTAAATTTAAACTGGACTTTAACCTGGAAACAGCTAAAGAATGCACAACAGAAACGTGCCAACCAATTTTTGAACTGAGCTTTTTAAGTAGAAGAAATTTTTTAACAGTATGCAGGTAAAAACTACACAATCACAATAAAATGATGAATCAATGAGAAAAATAAATTATTTTACTGCATATGATTTAGACTGATATTTTATATATATTTAAACTGTGTTTAGTAACTTATTGCCAATCCAAAGCTGAAAATGACTGAAAAAGAACTCTTCATTCAAATAGTTTCCTACCTCATTATGATCACACCAATTCTTTGCCAAAAATCCTCCAGCTCTTCCAGAGGCCGCACATGCTACTGATCTCCTCTCAATGATGGTGGCTGCTACTCCCTTCTCAGCCAGATAGTAGGCAATGGAAACTCCAATAATGCCTCCCCCACAGATCACCACTCGCACATCTGACGTGCTCTTCTTGCCTCCTTCTGCCATTACTAGAAAGAATAAAATAAATAATAACAATAATAATAATAATAACCATTATGTCATAGGTTATTTGTGCTACAGGATGACTCTCCATGTTTAGCCTCTTTGCATAAGACAGATCCAAGACTGTCCTACCTGTTGTACACATGTAATGCTTCATTGCAGCACTGCATGGTATTATTGAGAAAATACTAAGTTTGTAGTCATAGGGGAATGGCAATGAAAAAAACCTTGAAAGAAAAATCACAGTGATGGAGAGATCCAGATGTTTTTGAAATACTATGCAAAAAATACTTTTGAACAGCAGGTTTATAAACTCTAGTACAACCCAGAGGAAAAGGAGAGTTTGGCAGAATATTACAGCCAAAGTTAATTCTGGAGAAGTTGAAACACAATTAATGGAAATATTTGTACTCCAAGGCAAAGAAGAACACTTCTAATATAAAGCAACCTAAGACAGGAGGAGGCACACAACTAGTGGAGGGGCTTTATACAGACATTGTTTTGGATATCCTGGGACAATATTCCCCTTCATTCACGGGCATCGTCAGGGGAGGAGAGAGAGAAGTGCATAACTATGTCTGATACACATCAATAACTGGTTACAGATAATGCACGTTTTATTTATGTACAGGCAGATGGCAGCTGTAATTTATCTTATTTTCATTCAGAACTGTTATTTGTGTATAATCCTAATCTGTGAAAACAAATTGTTGGTTTTAAAAAGCTTATAAATGGATTAAAATACAATATGCTACATAAAATCCTAAAATATGTTACAATAACTATCATAATCTCTCCTTTCATACATCAAATTGTCATTAGAAAGTGTAGAAAGTGTAGCTGCATTACTAGTGTTGGACACATCAGCACCACATCAACAGGATGACCTATGAACTTGTCAACAGGCGTCGGCATTGCTAATACCATAGCCCTCAACACTGTTAACTTTGCAGTCCTCAACATCATCAACATTACAGTACTCAATATCATTGAAGGTAAAACCCCTGAAATCTTCAACAGCACAGTCCTCGTTATCCTTATTAGCACAGTCCTTAACATCATCAACAATACAACTCTGGATATTGTAAATAGCACAGCCCAAGGTTTAACATTGTCAAGAGCACAGCCCTCAACATCCTCAACAGCACAGCCCTCAACATCATTAAAAGTGCAACCCTGGACCTTGTCAACAGCACAGTTGCCCACTATATCTTCAGAAACCACCAGAAGCGTCTCGAAATGTAGTGAAAACAACTAAATTAACTCGAACACTCCCTACTTGTACAGAGAGAGAGAGAACTTTTGAGGGGGGGGGGGGGGATTGAAAAGATTAAATTAAAAAAGCACAAGTAAAGTAGAGAAATTGTGAAAGTCAATTCAGAATCAAACTGCTTAAAGCCAGGACATCTAATATGTGATGCATATAAATGTCTACGTACAGTTTGAATTAGGTAAAAAAAAGTTCATTATCTACTTGTTAAATATAAATAAATTAAACCAAAATCTACAAGTTTGAACTTAAACATTCCAACACATGACATGCAACTACATGTACAATATATTTTGGTTTTACGCTAAGATTTGTTAACATTATCTTACAATTTCCCAAACTGTTATTTTAACAAAATACATGAAATAAAACAAACACATGTGAGCAATATGTTATGGAATTACTGTTGCATGTACAGGTATATTTCATTAAAAGTCATACAGATAGCTTTAATTTAAATGTTGAGGCCATGCTTGAGAACATAACATGATGTGTGTACAAAAAGTAAAAAGAGAAATTAATTCTGCTCTATGACTTACTTCAAAGACATCTTACACTACATGTTAACTGTAGTTTACAATGAAAGGCCATGCATGATGCCTTGATGGCCTTTCAATTCATGCACAGAACCCCAAAACTAGGGTAAACAAACAAACTAGGGCTTAGCTGACCTCAGGAGGACACAATACGTATATATATATATATATATATATATGTACAACACTCACCGTTATCAGAACTTATTTGTGCTGTGCTAAAGTCACCTCAACATGTGTCAGTATATTAGCAAAAATATTTTATAACTTTGTCACGTAACACTTCACTTGCATTTGCTAATGCTTGTCAATGTTATTTGCCATTTAACGTTGAGAAAACAGTATTTGCCACACCGCACAAAACGAAGCAATCCCTTGGTCAATATCCTTAGATTATAATGTTAAGCCTGAATTCATCGAACCTTTCGCTGAAAAGCTTAAAGTATTAGACATACATGTACATGTATTTATTTTTGTTGCGTAACACTTCACATGCATCTGCGAATCGTTATCATTCAACGTTCGTCATTTAACGTTTACGTTGAGAAAACAACATTTGCCATACCGTATAAAATGAAGCAATCCCTTTGCCAATATCCTTGAATTTTAATGTTAAGTCAGAATTCATCCACTGTTTTCTTGAAATTTGATCCTATGCCCGTAGATGTATCTGTACCGCGTTCTGGAAAAATGAGTAAAAGAAAGCGGCCGTCCTGTCTTGACAAGTCTCGCTTTCGTTACTAAACACCACCTGTCGATCATCCGCCAAACTATTATGCGTGCAACACAAAATCGTATGTACAACGAAAAACGAGTTATAGTACTTACACCATGGAGGCCCCCAAAAAGCAGTAAGTTTCACCTCTCTGCGTGTGAATGTTCTTCTTTAAAACGACACCGTTGTGTGATTCTCTTCACATGTGAATTTATGTAGTTTTAATAGTAAGCTGGTGAAAGTACACGGTAGAACATGTAACTAATAGACTTGTACTACTGTTGTAGGTTGTAGTACCATCTTGCCTCAGTTATAGCCTTAAATCATACTTGATACTTATAACTTACCTACTGCGTAAAGTACCTGATATGTGTGGCCGAAAACTGAGATAAGGTATAATAATGCTCAACTGCCATGGAGGTGGTTAACAGTTTCATACATGTATAAGATGAAATTGTTCAGACTTCAGCTTTAAAAAAATTGAGGCAGATATTTGCATCACGAAAATCCGAGCTCATTGCCCCCACTTTTATTATTATCGTTATTTTATACTTTAGATCAATCTGTAAATTACAGAGGTAGGATCTAGGTACAATAATGTGAGGAGGTGTCTGTAAAACTAAAAAATAACTTTAACATTTTAACTTGAAAATAAGAACTAGAACCATTTCTTGACATCATTGGTGAAATGAGTATTATCTAATAGTTCACTGATAATCTGCCTTTCAGCTATGGGTTGCTTTTGCCAAAGAAGACACACAAAGTGACCACCTCCTTCCAACCAAAGCCATCAATATTTGGAGATGACAGTGATGAAGAGGTAACATTGAATTGGAACAAATAAACTGGTTATTTTTATGTACAGACACAGATGTGTCTGTACATATAGCCGTCACCTGCGTCTGTCGTCGTCGCCGTCGTGCACTTTCACCGATAACACAATAAGTGAAAAACCATTTTACCTTTTGGCTTGAAACTTACAGAACTGATGAATATTCATAATAAGCAGGTCAAGTTCGAAATTCAGCATGATCAGGCCATTTTTAGGGAAGTTATGCTGTTTTTATGTACAGACACAGATGTGTCTGTACATATAGCCGTCACCTGCGTCTGTCGTCGCCGTTGCCGTTGGCGTGCACTTTTACCGATAACACGATAAGTGGAAAACGGTTTTACTTTTTGGCTTGAAACTTACAGAACTGATGAATATTCATAATACGCAGGTCAAGTTCGAAAATCAGCATGATTGGGTCATTTTTAGGGAATTTATGCTGTTTTTTCACTTTTTATGTACAGACACAGATGTGTCTGTACATATTGCCATNATTTAATTGTATGGAATAATGGCTGTTTTACCTAGATATTATTTATGATATTTTATGTAGTATTATTTATGATATTTTATGTAAAGTCTACTGAACATTTTAAATGGATTTTAGACTTAAAATAAATTTATTATTATTATTATTATTATGGAAAAATCATATTTTTAGGTTATGTAAGGTAAAATGTTTACTTGAAAATACATGTTACAGTTGTACAAAGCATTCTGTATATATACATGTAAATTATGTAACCATTTTGACATATAAATAAATAGATAAACGTACATTATAATAAAACAAGTTTTGGGACATATGCATGATATGGTCATTTATTATAGGTTGTAAATATCATTGAAATGACAAGACACAACAAGTAGGTATCTGGAAGGAGACATGAAAACTGGTCTATTGCTGGGATGTCAAATATTTAAAAAAATGTCTGCATAAAACAATTTCATTTACATCAAAAAAATATTCTATAGTATAACAACATTATAGTAAATTTAAACTGAAAGATAACAGGTAAACTAATGTAAATATTTCTAAATTTGGGTGTTTGATAGTACATTGTTCTGGATCAGTGACCATGCAATAGCCCATATCACATATTTTTTTATAATGTTTAATTACTTTTGTCTCCAAAATATACAAATTGATTTAACACTTTCACTTTTAAGTTCAAAGCCTCCTCTTTAATATAAGATAAAGCAAAAACACCTGTCAATTTGGAGACATTGAGAAAAATTAGATTAAAAGGGTGGGGTGTCTATCATTTTGAAAAAATGACAAGGATTTTTCAAAGTAAAAATTAAGTGCATTTTAAATATGCCAGACCATTTTCAGTGTGATAGTTGGATTCCTGAAATGTTAAAATATAATGTCATGAAAGCTACAAAGCAATGGGATATGCAGAACTATTGTTATAGTGTTTTTCTTAAGTAGGTCACTATGACCTAGATTCATGTGAGGCACAGCAAGCCCTCAACTGGGTCCAACTTTGGAGTGTCATAACTCTGAAACCAGTTGAGATCTGAATCTAAAATTTTAGGTTTTTTCTAGTCCCTATAATATCTACAACATATGTGAAAATCAGCAACTTTCTTGACGGAGGGTACCCTTGCTGGATGAGTTGATATGGAATGACCCTGGTGGTATCTTGTGATCATGGTCTGTGCCCTGAATAACCCGCAGCATAATTAACTAGCAGAGCGAGCGAGTTACTTCCAAAGCTGTAATTAATTCTTGGCTGCGCTTGGAGGAGATTCTGGCACCTTGACGCATGCGCAGTAGTATCTCTAAACTGTGGAGTTCATCAGTTTGCACTCATATCTGTCGTGTGTATGGACCTCACCTTCTTTGTCTTGTTGTTGCACAAAGTCGACAAACACATTTTTCAAAGCAACCACAACCGCCATTTATTTCTCTCTAACTTATTACTGCGCATGCGTCAAGGATTTTTGGATTTTCAGAATTTAGATTTTTCATGTGAACGGTGCCTAAATGTCTACATACACTTTGAATTAGGTAAATAAAAAATAGTTCATTATTTATTTGTTAAATATAAATAAATTAAACCAAAATCTACAAGTTTGAACTTCAACATTCCAACACATGACATGCAACTATAATATATTTGGGTTTTATGCTAAGATTTGTTAACATTATTTTACAATTTCCCAAACTGTTTTTTTTCACAAAATTACATGAAATTAAACAAACCCATGTGAGCAATATGTTCTATGGAATTACTGTTGCATGTACTGAGTACAGGTATATTTTATTAAAAGTCATACAGATAGCATTAATTTTACTGTTGAGACCACGCTTGAGAACATAACATGATGTGTGTACAAAAAAGTAAAAAGAGAAATTAATTCTGCTCTATGACTTACTTCAAAGACATCTTACACTACATGTTAACTGTAGTTTACAATGAAAGGCCATGCACGATGCCTTGATGGCCTTTCAATTCATGCACAGAAGTTAGAACCCCAAAACTAGGGTAAACAAACAAACTAGGGCTTAGCTGACCTCAGGAGGACACAATACGTATATATATATGTACAACACTCACCGTTATCAGAACTTATTTGTGCTGTGGTAAAGTCATCTCAACATGTGTCAGCATATTAGCAAAAATATTTTATAATTTTGTCACGTAACACTTCACATGCATTTGCTTATGCTTGTCAATGTTATTTGTCATTTAACGTTGAGAAAACAATATTTGCCACACCGCACAAAACGAAGCAATCCCTTTCTCAATATCCTTAGATTATAATGTTAAGCCTGAAAAGCTAAAAGTATTAGACATACATGTACATGTATTTATTTTTGTTACGTAACACTTCACATGCATCTGCGAATCGTTATCATTCAACGTTCGTCATTTAACGTTTACGTTGAGAAAACAACATTTGCCATACCGCATAAAATGAAGCAATCCCTTTGCCAATATCCTTGAATTTTAATGTTAAGTCAGAATTCATCCACTGTTTTCTTGAAATTTGATCCTATGCCCGTAGATGTATCTGTACCGCGTTCTGGAAAAATGAGTAAAAGAAAGCGGCCGTCCTGTCTTGACAAGTCTCGCTTTCGTTACTAAACACCACCTGTCGATCATCCGCCAAACTATTATGCGTGCAACACAAAATCGTCTGTACAACGAAAAACGAGTTACAGTACTTACACCATGGAGGCCCCCAAAAAGCAGTAAGTTTCACCTCTCTGCGTGTGAATGTTCTTCTTTAAAACGACACCGTTGTGTGATTCTCTTCACGTGTGAATTTATTGTAGTTTTAATAGTAAGCTGGTGAAAGTACACGGTAGAACATGTAACTAATAGGCTTGTACTACTGTTGAAGGTTGTAGTACCATCTTGCCTCAGTTATAGCCTTAAATCATACTTATACTTATACTTATAACGTACCTACTGCGTAAAGTACCTGATATGTGTGGCCGAAAAATGAGATAAGGTATAATAATGCTCAACTGCCATGGAGGTGGCTAACAGTTTCATACATGTATAAGATGAAATTGTTCAGACTTCAGCTTTAAAAAATTTGAGGCAGATATTTGCATCACGAAAATCCGAGCTCATTGCCCCCACTTTTATTATTATCGTTATTTTATATTTTAGATCAATCTGTAAATTACAGAGGTAGGATCTAGGTACAATAATGTGAGGAGATGTCTGTAAAACTAAAAATTAACTTTAACATTTTAACTTGAAAATAAGAACTAGAACCATTTCTTGACGTCATTGGTGAAATGAGTATTATCTACTAGTTCACTGATAATCTGCCTTTCAGCTATGGGTTGCTTTTGCCAAAGAAGACACACAAAGTGACCACCTCCTTCCAACCAAAGCCATCAATATTTGGAGATGACAGTGATGAAGAGGTAACATTAAATTGGAACAAATAAACTGGTTATTTTTTACTTTGAAGTTATATACAGGTACAGGTTGAATTATAAAATTATATATTTTGTTATGTGCTTATATGATATAACTTAATCAATATCTGAAGATAATTGACCAAAAAAAAAAAAAAGATGTGAAAAACCAAGTGAATTTAGTCAGTTGCTCTACATGATGATGTATGAAATATTATTAATTTGATGAGGATTTGGTGATTTTAAATGTATTAATTGGTTTTACTGTATAGATTGCAATCTGGCACATCATGAGTTTTTACTTTAATAAAAAAAATGTATCATATCCCTGTCTCTGTTTTTATGCTAATAGACCCCACAAGCAACACTGGAGAAGACTCTTAAGAAAGAGGCACACAAATCCAAAGTTAAAAGACAGGTAAGAATAAACATGGAAAATATTTGTATTTCTTACTGTTTCTGAGATGTATTGCTTTATTTTAGAAATTCCTAAATTATACTGCTTAAACTAATGACTTGGAGCTTATGTTGTGATTTGACACAGAATGTGTTTCAAATTTTGTACTGAGGACATTTCAATACAGCTTCTTGTTTTTCTTTTCTTTTTTTAAGTCGAATACATATGAAAAGTTTTTACACTGTTGAATTTTCAGCATCAGAGGTATCAATAAATGAATAGAAAATACCGTTTTTTTTTTTTTTCAGACTCAGCTTGAAATAGACCAGGCTTTGGCAGATGACCCCACAGTGTATGAATATGATGCAATCTATGAAGACATGCAGAAGGAGAAAGCAGCAAAAATTCCTGCTGTTCAGAAAGAAACTGATAAAAAGGTCAATACCCATTGTGTGAATAACCTGTGCATATTTAGTTTGTATGTGATAGGAACTTTTTTTCTTAATGAAATGAATAAGCGGTGAAAGTATTTGTCTGTAAATGCACCTATTCAAGTTAACTTAGAGAAATTTAACAGTTATCTCTTTTAAAATATGATTTATCATTGTCATTGTTTGTAACAGATATCATCTTTAAGAGAAGATGTTTAACTTCTACTCTTGTTTTTAGAACTGGTCTAATGACTAGGGGCTACATTTTCTTTTACTCCACAGGAAGAACTGATTTTTAATGTCTTTTAGTACAAACAGAGCATGTGTTTTAACACAACCATCATATTTTTTTACAGCCAAAGCATTATTCTATTTACAGTTTTGTCGTATGTTCTTATAAACAGTCTATGCATTGTTTTATTAACAGCCTAAGTACATCGCCAATCTGCTGAAGCAAGCAGAACTGCGTAAAAGGGAACAAGAGAGAAGAGTTGAGAGACAAGTCCAGAAGGAGCGTGAAAAGGAAGGAGAAGAATTTGCAGACAAGGATGCTTTTGTGACATCAGCATATAAAAAGAAAATGTTAGAGTTGCAAGAAGAAGAGGAAAAACTAAAAAGACAGGAAGAAATGGATGGTATTATTTCTTCTTGTACATTAATTTTAATAGTAGCAGTATGTGCAATAGTACCCTGGTTGGATGACGATGTTTATAGAAAAATATTCCAAGTTGTAATACATATTATTCAGTAATTGTGGTTTGTAGCTCTCTGAGCTTTGCATCTTTTACAACATTTATGGTACAAGAAAAGGAACAAAGACTGTAACAGTATAAATTTATGTTTTATGTAAAGTAGGAAAATATCAGTGGGAAAATTTCCATTGATTGGACCAAGTTTGCTACATCAGTAATTATTGCCAAACACTTAAAGAGAGTACGCACTACTTCTTGTAATCCCAAGGTTTATTTTCTTTCTTCAATTCTTATTGTGTTGAAAACTATTTGCAATATTAACAGAATAGATAGTCACTTTGGCCTAGGATAAATACATGCTTTATCATCTAACAACAAGTACTGATTGTGCAAAACAGTAAAGGAGCAAAGTATTACTAATTTCTGTCATTGCTGTCTAAATCTTGTGGCATATCCTCACTTTTTCAGCCATGATGGATGTGACCAAGCAGAAAGATCTGAGCGGGTTCTACAGACACCTGCTGAACCAAACTACAGGAGAGGTCACCAAACCTGAAGAAAAAGTGAAAGCTGAAAGGTATTAGTATTACATAGACAGTGTATGGTTGCCATTATGGACTTGTTTTGTCTTGTATTTGCTGGATTATGATGCTGATAGTTTATTTTTTGGCAAAAAATGGAACTATTGGTGGATAATTTTTATAGTTCATATTTGATTTATTTGTTTTTTATTTATTTTTATTTTTCAGTACATCTAAATGTTTTAATTGGGATCATTCACTCCTTGCATGTCATATACCATTGATTTTTCAGTGAAGAGACTGAAGTTAAAGTGGAGGATCCAAAAGAAGAAAGTGGTGGCTTGAATTCCAAAGTTAAACATCGGCAAGTATATTGATACCCAGCAATATTAAAAGTTTTACAAACATGAACAGGTCATTACATTACATATGCAAACCCAGGTAGCCCACTTTCTGAAGCATTCTGCTTTTAACTCTCCTGGTGGTAAGAAAAGACATTCTCTAAAGCCCATATATTTCTGAACTTGCAATTTATTACATTTGATGACAAAGCATCTCCCTCGTGGAGACATCAGCTCGTCTTCTGATAAACACGTCCAAGTGGAACTATCCTCCAGTAATAGATTTTTAAAACTTTATCCATGTAAAATAAGACTGGTTGACTAAGCTACAAAGTATAACACACAGAATATGTTTCATGTATCTCTCCCCTTTCCCTTGACATCCTTTACCTGCCAGGGCCTGCTTATGATATACAGTTTAAGATTTTATTTCACTTGTAGACAGTTATTTTGACAGTATAATGTTAATGATTCATGTGTTTCTTTTTGGAATTTAGGGATCAAGGAAAGCAAAGGAGTTATCGTCAGAGAAACCGGAGTTCCAGCAGAGACAGTACACCTGAGCGAATGGATAAAGAGGAAGATGTTAGGCACTCTCAAAGAGAGCACTCTTCCAAAGAGAGAGTGGACAAGGACTCGGAACAAAGAGATCATAGCAGGGACAGTTCACCTGATGAACGCAGGCTGTCTCGTGACAGGAGGGACAGATATGATGATAGACATTCAAGAGATGGAAAGAAAGACAGAAATAGAGACAGAGATAGAAAAGACAGAGATAAACACAGAGATAGGAGAGATAAGGAGAAAGATAGGGAAAGAGATAGAAAGAATGATAGCAAAAGCGGAGAAAGGAATAAAAGCAAAGACACTGGCAGAAAAATGGAAACTGAGAAAATGGAAGTAAACAGGAGGCTTTCCCAGGATGAAGTAAAGAAAGATAGAGAAAGGTATCGTCATAAGAAATTCATTTAAAAATTGCCAGATATGTTCATACTTATGTATTAATACTCAAAGATCCTGATATAGCTGTCAGAAAAGATATCCAGTCAAAACATTTATTTGTTGGGGATATGTTAAATTAAATTTTAATAAATTTTAAAAATCTTGAGAATTTTTATTTATTTTCAGTCCAGTCCATTTAGCCACATTCATTATTTATATGTTATTTATTACTTATCCAGAAGGGAAACCCTGAGAGACACAGCCATGGACAAAGCACCTGAAAACCCAGATGAAGATCTTGACAGAGATCAGACAAGTTCAGAAGAAGAAGACGATATTAAAAATAAGAGAAAAGATAAAGATAAGCATAGTGGCAGTAAGAAAGCCCTTGAAAGGGAAGGTGATAAACAGGATGAAAAGAAAAATAAATATGCACGTAGAAATGATGAACAGGCTGTAAGTGATGCGAAGGCCAGATACTTAGCTAGAAAACTAGCAAGACAAAATGCAGAGTAAAATATGTAGCCAGAGATGCAGTATTTTTATGTGCAGTGTACTGAAGTTTTTTGATAAAGGATAATGCAACAAATATGGAAAGCTATTCTTGGTGGATGTTTCAATAGACATTTTAAGGAATAAATTCAAAAGAAAAGATTTTGAATTTATTTGAATGATGAAATATATTGTTTGAAATATATTGTTTCTTAGGAGTCATAGTTGAATAAAGAATGTCATTGTCTGCATAGTTTTTTTACATCTTAACCAAATAAACTGTATTTTGACCTTCATGTACATACAACGTGTGTCAGCTACTAAATTTTCAAATGGCTGTCTCGTTGGAGCACGCTGAAGTTCTCTGCCAGTCATCTCTATCAAATAAACTTTCAATTACATACGAAGTGCACCTTTTGAGACATCTTTGGGCTTGGGACAGAAAATTTTAGAAGAGACTTAAGTAAAGAACACTAATAAATGTTTTATTTTCAAAAGGAACTAACCAAAGACTAAAAAAATCGTAGATACAATTAATAAGTCCGGAGAACTTTATATCAGAAAACATCTGAGTTGATCTAAGTGTGTGGCCAATACTGGATTTTGCAGAAAGAGATCATTACAAAAACATCAAAACTTTATTAAAACGTTTGAATTATTTTGAAGTAGCATACTGTAATGCGTATTTTGTTGAATCGTTTAGTAGCGCGCTTGGTCATCATCTCACTTGGTAAATGAATCCTAAAACAAGTTAACATACATTGATTATTATGATATCACACTTCTCTACCATAATGTAAAAAACATCAAAATCGATAAAGTATTTTAAACAATTTTAAGGTTACCGCCTAGCGTGCTTACTACAGCTAACTTGTCTCATTGATGAAAGTGCAGCGAATGGTGCCGGCTTTAACGTCAGTATTTTATAATTTTTACCACGGTTTAGAAATTTAAAAAAATTTGATTAAGGTCAATGCAAAATTATTAACACTTGATTAAACTGCATTTCACTAAACTTCACTAACATAAAAATAAATTTTGGGTTTTAAAAAGCACATTCCAAATTGCCCCTTTTGAAAACCTTCCTCGATATGATTGTAAACAATTAATGGAGAGAAAGAATAACCGACAGTTGCCCAGGCGTGTGTATTAACACAACACCATATTAAAAAACTGCCAGGTGGTTTTGTTAAAATTATCCATACACGTACGAAAACTTCTGTTAGCTGTTATTCAAAGCGCTTGTTCTTGCCAAACACAGACTCATGCTGCAACCCATTGTATTCGCTTTGTTAGTTTTGGCATGGTGAATGTAAGCCTGTTTATGTTATTAGCTCAAATTTGTGATTTGTACGCTTGATAAGCTCTTATATAAGGTTTTACACAAATGAGTTTTCCTCTAAAGACCTTCGTTGTACGAGTCTGTCGGTAATTTCAGGATAAAACACAAATATGAGGTCGACAGGATACCAATTTCACTGAAGTTATATTATTAAGCAAAATTTTGGTTAAGTCGCACCTAAAACTATCAAACCGTCAGGGAGGGTGCGATTTTTCGGGATAAAATATAAAGTTTATAATGAATCTTGATGCTGGGATCGTCTCGCCGTGTTTTCCCCTCTAACGACCAATAGACCGTGCAGATACTATATTTATCTCAATGGATAACAACTCTGCTGTAGCATTGTGGACGTTACTGGGGCTACTAGGCCTAGGGTTACTTATCATCATTCTGGTATGTGCTTCTTGGAAGTTCCTCGAATGTGGACAAAAAAGGATTTCAGGTATATTTCTGATGTTAAAAATTTATCAGCTCTCACTTTCAGTTATTTGAAGCATTGTCTGTATCTCAAGCAATGAGCCGGAAGATGATACTAAATTAAGAACGGTTTACGGAAATTCGAATAGCCTAGTTTCAGAAAGTTTTGGGCAAATTCTTATAACAGTTGCTAAATAAACCGTGAAGGAGACCAGTCAATGTCCACTGAAATTGTCTAAAAAACAAGTGGGATTATTTTGACCAAAATTATTACCTTATATTAGCCTACTCATTTAATGAATTTGTTTCAAACCTATGATAATTTCGCACTTTTCAAGGTTTTCTACCCTTTTTCCGTGGAAGGAAAGAGCAGACCTTAATATCACGGTACAAATACAGCAACCCAATCTTTAACACTGAAGAACAAGTTCCAACAAGCATTCACCATCGACAAGAAGAGTAATGTGTCCAACGTTGTCCAGGTTTAATGCAGAATGCGTATTGTCTCCTAACATCTAACGTCACTCATTGACGGCGAAAGAAGTCAGTTTATCCAAAAATCGAAACGCCTGACAGGGTTATTCAGAAAATATACATTTCGGCCGACAGCGGTCTCGCCTAAAGCCGTAGAGGATGACACCATATGGAGTCGGGAATCTGAAGTGTCAAGTGATCGTCTCTGGAACGGGGAAGATATCATAAAGCGGGACACTACAGTTGAAGATTTCGAATTCGTTTTCAGCCTTGAGTCGAGACTGTTTTAGGCTTAAATAACACACCCTTTTCCACGCGAGTAGGGCATTTGCGAACATTTTGCAAATTGCAAATTTTGATTTGATTACACGGATTTTTATCCTTTTTAGACTTCACTTTCAATTTCGATATTTTACCAGACATAAGGCCGACGAAACAACCAAAAATGTTTTTAACGGTCTCTTCCAAAATTCGACTTTTGTCTTTTAAAGCTTGTCTCCCGTCATCAAATTAAGTTGCTACAAGAAAAGTCTACCTTTTGACAAATCTGAAAGTCGATAACATATTTTAATCTTAGCTGAAGGAGACGTTGGGGGATCCGGATAATGGCAAAATACTTAGTTACGTCGGACATTGGTGAACAGTGGATCTAATCCGCGACGTAACATTTCAATGACGTTTTTAAAAGTAGACAGAGCCCCTGCTCCATATTTTTATGGCATATTTGGTCACAAAAGCGAGAGAGCTATGTTCACACACATTGTATTACTTTCAAGTTTCGCAAGATAAAGCAGAGAAGCACAGCTTGCAGCAGATTATTAATTTCAAGGCTGGGGGTTATTCTCAATCGTTTGATGAAACAAACACTTTTATAAGTAATCATCTTTCTCACGGTGTATTTGGAGAAGAGAAAACATATAATTGTACTTTAGCAATAATCAAGAATTAGAACTTGTTTATTATTTAGTTTTTTTATTTACAAATGATTGAACTCCATGAATGAAGATTCGTTCTTATGTCAGGGCGTTGTAAAGGCAACGTGGTTAGGAAAGGGGAGCTTGCCACTTTCTTGAAGAAGTTTGTAGCTCAAGGTGCAAGAAGTAGAAAACTCAATATTCAGCAAAAGAAGAGAAAACAAAGATAACAGTTAAAACACTATGAGATTTTTATTTGTTCCACTTGTCATAAATAATAACGATGCAATAGCTTATTTGAAATGTTTAAACAAAAACTTGACATTTGATTTCAAACTTTACAAAGGTGGCATTCTGTAGTTTTTTGTCCTTAACATTTTTTTAAATTGCACTTTTCAAAGACAAGTTACTCACTTTCAGCCCAAAAAATAATTCCGGATTAAAAGTTAGAAATAGCTCTGACAAAAATATACAATCAATGTCTGTGACCATACACTTCAATTAAGCCATGCAAAGAAGTAGGGTCCACCATTTCTTCATGGAATATTTTTGAGTACTGCTTCTACACTGTCGATAACATCAGGGTTTTTCGATGCTTGTCCACTGACAACTCATCAGCAATGACCCTCCTGATAACTACTACATTTCACATAGATTTAGACACTCCATGTAAACATGAAACGAGCCAATGACTTAGGTAATACTTTGCAGGAAAATGGGCAATCATGGGTTTCAGGACAAAATATCTACCTTACGAAATAAGCAGAATGTATCATTTACTTTGTTTCTATATAAGACTTCATTTTACTAACAGCACCAGTCTTCTCTTCTCCCCCGATTTCACTGCAGTTTTATTTTAAGTAGAAAAATTATGACACAGATGTTTGACTTGACACTCCTAAGCACAGCTAAAATTAAAATAGTTATAAAAAAGAGAATAAGTATTTTCGAGGGTTTGAAAACAGAAGACTACCACATCACAAAAAATATATATATGCTCACACATCTTTCTACAAACAAGGAATATTTTAAATTACACATTTATGATAATATAACATACAAAAATGTTTAGGATAAAGGGCTTTGGCTAAAAAGATTTTTTATTGGGGGACACAGCCTTTCAAAGATTTCTTCCAAGTTTTCCAGGAGCAGTGCTCATAATTTGTTTATTCATCCTGCACCACTTTCATATCATCTGTGACCACCTCTAGCTCATTACTTTGAACAAGTTCTGGAGGAAGTTCTAATTTGGCCCAACTGCCAGGCTCAGCTTTCTTCAAGTTTATCTCTACTTTTGTTCCCATCATTTTAACATTACTCTTTTGAGGATCTATAACCTGCAGAGAAAAAAAAGATGCCATTAACTTGTTTGAATACATATTTAATTTATTTATTATCAAAGTAGAATTACCATGATGTGGATATAAGAATAACATTTTCCTGTCATTATTCCAATAAGATGTTTTTTTAATTAAAAGGGGGTTGTTAACTCCCATCATTTCTGTTTATCAAGATATTTCTAAAACAAAGTTTACAAAAAAAAAATAAATAAATAAATAAAAAAATAAAATAATAATAATAATCAAATAATAATAATTAACAATGATAATAATAATAATAATAAATCACAAAATAAATTGATATAAAGAATATATTTTCATAGTGTGCACAGATCTGAGACAATGTGGAGTGTAGTTTTATTGAACACTTTATTATTATTGCTATTATTTTAATTTCAGTTCAATACCAAGAACATGGTAGTTTATCTTCTGTACCCGATTTGGATACATCACTTTTCAAACTTTAACTCACCCCGTGTAATATAAAATCATTATCATAAATCTTCTCTCCTCCCTCAAATTCTATATGAATATTCAGCTTGACAGCATTGGCTTGTACAAATGACTTTTCTGGGACTGGAACCTTGGAGTAGACTGCTACTGAGACAGCTGATGGTGTCTGATGCCAGTCATACCGACACACCACCTTCTGTGCAGAATCCTGAAAAAATTCAGAAGACAAACGTAAGTCAAACTACAATTGAGAAGTATCAAAGCACGTTTAGACAATTTTAACAGAAATATATACATATTTTAAAAATCACGAAGTAAACATAGCCTGGAGATTTTCTGTTGTCCTTGAGCATAGTGGTTAACACAAGAAAACTGGAAGGAATAACAGAAAGGCGATACCATTAAGTGGCTACTTCTTGCAATTAAAACCAGATTCATACCTCCTTTTTAAACCAATTATGACTTCCCCGTGCACACCCTTCTTGTTCTAAAAAGTTGTCAAACTCTGTTGTTTTTCTTCTGCAGCAAGACCAATATTTTAACCTGAAAAAAAAAATTTTTTGAAAATCTTAAAACTTTTTTCTGCATAATATGCTTTCAATTTTTTTGCTTTAGCTTTTCCACTAAATAACTTTCCAAACATGGGGGTGTGCTGTTTTAACGGGAAATGAAATAAAATACAACTCTTTCTGTGCCTACCCTTCATGAAATATAGGGACACCAGTATGATAAACACATGTATCTGAGTTGCTGCTCTCATCTTCATATCTCTGGAAAATGAAAAATAACAGTTTCTGACACCACCATCACTTCTCTGGACATATATCACATTTTACTACCTGTAAAATGGTCTTTAAGTATGAATATTTCTAATAATGCAAATTTTCTTTAATCTACACGACGGCAGTGTTTTTCACCAACTCCTACCTTTTTACAGGCATTATTTTTGCAACATGTTCCTACTGGCACTCCTTGTGTCTCTGCTGAATCTGAAAAGAATGCAATTAGTACAAAACAACATATCTTGCCTTAAGATTTCAAATCAAAATGACCTAGATATACTTACACAAATTATTTCATCTCTATCCTTAATATAAAAGACATCACATTTTTAGTAAAATCTTACCATCTTCAACTTTTGTCTTCACAAAAATCATGAGCTTACAACAAATTACATTTACATCAGATACAATAGTCATAAATATTCAACCCACCATTTTCTACTATTTCTGATTTCAGTGATAATTCTTGTAATTTTTTCTCTAAAGCTTGCTTGAGACTGGGTGACACCATGACTGGTAGATTGACCATCAGCTCATCAGCAGGTGGACGTTCTAAAGGAGCAGCTATTTTTGGAGGTTGCACAACTATGACCTAGATCAACATTATTCAGAGTAAAATAACTCCTGTCTGTCCATGAACATGGAAAATGTTAGATATTGTCACATTCATTAAAAAATAAAAGGATTGCTTGTGGTCCAGACAGGCCAGTGTAGGTATTAAACACTGTTTCAATCTACATACCACTAATAGCTTCTCTTTTTTTAGGTTTTTTACTTCCAACTTAATATTCATTTTTTTTTATAGCTATTATTTGAGCAAAAAAAATCTTGGGTATTCATTCCTATAAACTTTTTGACTTTTGGACTAATACCAATCAGTAGTGTAGTCAACCCCAGTAATTTGATAAAAATTTGAGCATTAACAGCCTAAATGGAAATACTATAATTTCAAACTCAGCCCTCTGAAGTATAAGTAATATTTCATCTCATGTTATGCTCCCATAAAAGTTTTTTTCCCAAAAATTTAATGCAGTAGTTAGGAAAAGCAGTTGAAATACCTTTATTTGGTTCCAATATCATAGATTAATTACTGTATGTATAAGAAAATGTCTGTGCCTGCAATATTTGGATTTTTGAATATACAATACATTGAGAGTTTTATTATGTAATGTCTGAGTATTTTGAAAACACTTACCTCCTCTTTATATGCTGGATCTTCTTCTGTGTTCTTTTCTGGCTCAGGGGGTTTTTCATTACTGTGTGGACCTTTTGAACACCCCTAATTGCAAATAAAACCAATCAATGTAAGACAATGTTTTATAGTTTTGATTTATAAATGTTAAATGTTAAAAGAAAAAAACATAATAATAGTAAAAAAAGCCCTTCTGTTATGACCTTTAAAAAATATTAAAACCGTTTTCAACACATATACAATATTAGTTATTTTAATCATAGGCATTTATCACTTACTGGGATGTTGAGAAACTCTGTAAAGTCTGTACTTCTTTTCCTGCAGCAAGACCAGCCTTTCAGGGCATCATGGAACACTGGCACCCCTGGGTGGTGGACACAAGCCTCTGGAAGCATCATAAGTACACATCTCAAGTAAAATAAATAAATAAATCTAGTCAACTTCACTACATAGTTTACAAAACCGTTCTCCTCTGTCAATGGGATAAGGCAATAAAAATTCTGAGTCATACATTTCTTATCATTAACAGGAACATGATAACATTGTAATCCATTTTCCTAATGCCTATGACCTTAGATGTTATATTACACACACCATATATGGCATACCTGCTCAGTGGGAACCATCCATATGCATGTGTAATAAACACTTTCCTTTAAAACCTTAGAGGTTTTCTGTGTAATTTGGGGATAAGTTTGTGTACTACCAATCATTTTATAGATGCCATCTACAGACCTCAGTTAAAATATCCAAAATATTTTCTAAATAGAAACTGAATGAATTTGATTCTTTGAATGTGACACCACCTGCCTGCCTCCTGTATCAATGGCTGCCTAGACTGACATTGATGAAATATAAAAGTTGATCTATTCCTTACATCACCTAATTTAACAATGCTTTAAAAACTTACAGAAACCATCGCGCTAGAACTGGTCTTCATTAAATTAATTACATAAAATCTAAGTGAAGATGGAGAGGTGAAAATGTATGCTTAAAAACTATAAAATATCACTTGTTAAACCTCTATAAAAAGTGATGATTGCCTCATATCCCCAATTTTTCTGATTCTGTGGCGTCATGAAAAGAATATAAGTGACGTTGGTGCATAATGGCCTAGGTAAGATTAATTTTAAAGCACTGAGTTGTTTATACCAAATAAACGAATATGAGTTCTTTTAATCCCGCAGGTGTGAATAACGGCAATCTACATACTCAGAACATTTACTGGATCATTAATAATCTAAAGGGATATTCATGCCAGTTCAATAAATGTCAAAAACCAACATCAAACCCCCAAACTAGAACCAAACACACCACACGCTTTGTTGATGAAAGCAAAACAAGCATAGGAAAAGCCGACAGCCAAAACATTCCTCAATAAAAATATAAATAAATACATCACCGAGTCTTACCATCGCTGTTGGTCGCAGGGTCGAATTTCTGTCCACAACCCTTGTTGTAACACGTTAATAAAACCATGATCAACTGAGAAATAACTTCAGAACTTTCTCGCATGTAAAAGCGAACAGGAAGTTGGATATGATAATAGTCTCGCACAAAATATACTCAATATTGTCCTATTTTGTACCCTCATCCTGAAATTGCGTTTTGTATTTGTAAAATTACGAAATTATTAATTTGAAGCAATTTATTATTATAAGTGTATCGTTTGCCATAATGTCACAGAAAAATGTGTCGGTGCTAGTCACATGTCACGTGATCACTTCCGCCATATTGAGTCACTAGAAGACGGAAGGGCAGAAACTAAAGATAATTTCAATGCGACAGGTCCATATAGGGCCAATAAAGCATCATGGGTGAGTAGTAAATGTTAATACTGTAAATGTTAACACTTTATTGTATGGAATATACGCAAGCTTGTGTGAAATAATGTTTAATTTGTTTAAATTGTTTTGAGACTTATCAAAGTGGTTGAAGATACGTTTAGTGATAGTAAATTACTATAATTCTAATATCGGTTTACAGATACATACCTGTTGATGTTTGTAATAGTATAAACNGTGTCTGTACATAAAAAACATAATAATAGTAAAAAAAGCCCTTCTGTTATGACCTTTAAAAAATATAAAAACCGGTTTCAACATATTTACAATACTAGTTATTTTGATCACAGGCATTTATCACTCACTGGGATGTTGAGAAACTCTGTAAAGTCTGTACTTCTTTTCCTGCAGCAAGACCAGCCTTTGAGGGCATCATGGAACACTGGCACCCCTGGGTGGTGGACACAAGCTTCTGGAAGCAAATATGGGGCTTTCAAAATAAACCTTTTAAATCCTCCTCATTAATATAGTCAGAAAGGTGCTTATATATGAGATTCCCCAGCTACTATAATCCATCATAATAATATTCATCATAAGTACACATCTCAAGTAAAATAAATAAATAAATAAATAAATAAATCTAGTCAATTTCACTACATAGTTTACAAAACCGTCCTCCTCTGTCAATGGGATAAGACAATAAAAATTCTGAGTCATATATTTCTTATCATTAACAGGTACATGATGACATTGTAATCCATTTTCCTAATGCCTATGACCTTAGATGTTATATAACACACACCATTTATGGTATTCTTGCTCAGTGGGATCCATCTATATGCATGTGTAATAAATACTTTCCTTAAGAACCTTAGAGGTTTTCTGTGTAATTTGGGAATACGTTTGTATACTAGTCTAGCAATCATTTTATAGATACCATAGATGTACAGACCTCAGTTAAAATATCCAAAATATTTTCTAAATAGAAACTGAATGAATTTGATTCTTTGAATGTGACACCACTTGCCTGCCTCCTGTATCAATGGCTGCCTAGACTGACCTTGATGAAATATAAAAGTTGATCTATTCCTTACATCACCTTATTTAACAATGCTTTAAAAACTTACTGAAACCATCGCGCTAGAACTGATCGTCATTAATTTAAAGGGATAATAACTCTTCGTTTTGGCCAAAAAATGAATTTTGCTGGAGTAAACAACAATTTTCCCATACTTACCAATGGTTAATGAATCCATTTTTACATTCAAAGTTAGTCCCTGGTTTTTTTCTAAAAAGTTTGTTTTTTTGTTAAAATCTCTTAAGAGATTTTAACAGAGTATAGCCATCAATGGAAGACACGTGATCTGAAGACAAGCTCAGATATCAGAATAATAGCTATAACTGCTGTTTTTGTGGTAAAACAGAATATATTATATTTCTATGAGTTGTTCACAATGTTTTATTGTGAAATAAAGATATCATACGAAGAGTTATTATCCCTTTAATTACAAAAAAATCTAAGTGAAGATGAAGAGGTGAAAATGTACGATAAAAACTATAAAACATCACTTGTTAAACTTCTATAAAAAGTGATGATTGCCTCATATCCCCAATTTTTCTGATTCTGTGGCATCATGAAAAGAATATAAGTGACGTTGGTGCAAAAGGGCCTAGGTAAAATTAATTTTAAAGTACTAAGTCGTTTCTACCAAATAAACGAATAAGCGTTTGTTTTTTTTTTTTTTTTTTTTTTTTTTTTTTTTTTTTTTTTTTTTTTTTTTTTTTTTTTTTTTGTTTTGTTTTTTTTTTTTTTTAATCCCGCAGGTGTGAATAACGGCAATAAACATACTCGGAACATTTACTGGATCATTAATAATTTAAAGGGATATTCATGCCAGTTCAATAAATGTTAAAAACCAACATCAAACCCCCAAACTAGAACCAAACTCACCACACGCTTTGTTGATGAAAGCAAAACAAGCACGGCAAAAGCCGACAGCCAAAACATTCCTCAATAAAAATATTAATAAGTACATCACCAAGTCTTACCATCACTGTTGGTCGCAGGATCGAATTTCTGTCCACAACCCTTGTTGTAACACGTTAATAAAACCATGATCAACTGAGAAATAACTTCAGAACTTTCTCGTATGTAAAATCGAACAGGAAGTTGGGTATGATAATAGTCTCGCACAAAATATACTCAATATTGTCCTATTTTGTACTCTCATCCTGAAATTGCGTTTTGTATTTGTAAAATTACGAAATTACAAATTTAATAGGCAATTTATTATTATAAATGTATCTTTTGCCATAATATCACAGAAAAATATGTCGGTGCTAGTCACATGTCACGTGATCACTTCCGCCATATTGAGTCACTAGAAGACGGAAGGGCAGAAACTAAAGATAATTTCAATGCGACAGGTCCATATAGGGCCAATAAAGCATCATGGGTGAGTAGTAATTGCTAATACTGTAACGGTTTACACTTTATTGTATGGAATATACGTAAGCTTGTGTGAAATAATGTTTAATTTAATCGTTCAATTTGTTTTGAGACTTATCAAAGTTGTTGAAGATACGTTTATTGATAGTAAATTACTATAATTCTAATATCGGTTTCCAGATACATACTGTTGACGTTTGTTATAGTATAACCACGTGTCACTTTGACAGATGAGTTGTATTGTGACAATAGCACGTTATACCCCAATTTACTAAGTTCCATAGTACAAGATTTAAAATTAAAGTCATTAAGATTTGGGGGGCTTATTTAGAAAAGCAGCCACAATATTTAGTGATTTGTAAAGTATTTTTAGTGATTGGTTTAATGCTGGTCAGCATGTTGCACAGTTAGTGATAGTCTTTTCTTTTTTGTTTTCACAAACTAAACTCATGAAATATTGTATTTGAATGCTTATTATGGCCTGCAAAACTGTTGACTAAGTTACCAATAGGCAATTTTTAAAAATTAAATTGCCTGTATATTTGCTGTATATTTGCCTGCAAAGAAGTATGTTGTTATTGATTGCAGACCTCTAGATATGGCATGAAATCATTTTATATTTGTGGAAATTCTGCTTTAATATGGATATATTGTTTAGACAATTTTTTAATACAAAATATAAACCTGAGTATCTAAATGGATTCCTAATATCTTATTTAGGTAATTAAATAAAAATTATTCACTTATAAATAGGATGCATATGCTTTTAGAGCAGTATGGTCATTTTAAAATTAAGAGAGCAAATTTCATTGATTTACAGTTATAATCTAGAAAAAATGTCCCATTTTTAACATATTTTGATTAAACTATTTTTGCACATATGTGTAAACCAACAGTTTTAGGAAGGTTATGAATTATTACATATATGTTAAATTATTAAATACATTATCATTGTTTTACCTTTCTTAGTAACTGTAATATGCCTGTATAGATTAGATTTATTTAAAATACTTTGTTTAGAATATTATAATGTGTTATAATCTGCATGTAAGTTGTTATGAGAAATTAGATATATTAAAAGTTTTTAGTATATTTGGCTGTTCAAAGAAAAAAGGCCTTTGCTGATCTGAAATGTTGGTATGTAAATGAAAATCAAGATACAGATAAAATGTATTCAAATTTTTTTATTTAGATCTAGATCATATTTTACATAGTTTTAACAAGTCAGTGTAGCTAGCAGTTTTTTTTAGCTTTGTCTGTGGTATTCTAAAATACCCTGGTCAGAGTCTTCGTGTCTTCCCTTTTTTTGCCCCACCATACTCTATCATGTCGTGATTGATGAGTCATTCTTTTGTGGGTTGCATGTCTTCAGTCGTTATATGGGATATGTTTTAACATAAGTTATATAATATAAAACTGTTTACATTTACTTTCTTCCCCCCTTTTTTCTTTAAGAAGATTGAAAAATTGCATTGATCAGTTAGTTGTATTGCTAATGATAATTTACTTTATATTAGTGGATATTCATTTTCAGTGCACAGCATGGTTTTCAAGAAATATTAAAATAGTGACTGAATGTATGAGTAATGTGATGAGTTATTTCTATTTTTTATGTATTTTTTTTCCTTTTTTTATATTTAAAGGGAAAATTCTTGTAATGGTGATTTGTCAAATAGATTGTCAATTTTTTCTCTTTCAGTAGAGTGTATAGTAGAATTTGAATACACTGCAGAGCAAGATGATGAATTAACATTGAAAGTCGGAGAAGTGATTACAAATGTTGTGAAACAAGAAGGAGGATGGTGGGAAGGAGAGCTCAGTGGAAAGAAAGGGATGTTTCCTGATAATTTTGTCAAGGTATATATGGTTACACTATAGATAGGAATATTAGTCTTGATGCTTTTAGTTGCCTTTCCATATGGTCATTGTATTTTGAAAGCTTCTCATTGTGCTGTTAGAAATGTTTATAGGTAGTGGCATGTGCCTTCAGTGTGGGTTGCAAATGTACCCAAACTGGAAACTGATGTTAGTATTTGTTTAAGGGACTACTTTTATTGTGGGGCGGGTGCTGATAATTTAGATGCATATGGAATTTATTGAAGAATGGCTGGGATGTAGTACAGGCACTCTTTTCTATGGGAATTCATACTTCCATGTTAACAGTACTATAGTAGTAACTCCAGTGAATGGTGATTTCAAGATATAAGCAGAAGGTCATAGATTCAAGGGATGATAGGTAAATTGCCATGCCATCCATTAACTTAAAGGTAGGTTTGTGTATAATGATAACTGGGTCATTCTACTAGGATTATCTTTGGCTCACTTTGAGGGAAATGGATGTCACTCTGTTAAGAAGGTGTGTAGATCAATATAGCAGTAACAGTCTTGACCATGTTCTGCAATGTCTCACATTGCCCTTATGTAACAAAAGCAGTTGTCACAAGTTACTTGTAAATAGTTGATAGGCTTTTCTAGATATAAAAAAATCTTGACGTCACATTTTACTTGTGAACAGACATGTTGAAACTGTCGGTCCGATGGGTCATGACCGGCAAAATTTGTCTGGACTGGTAAAAAATTGAACTTTCAAAAAAAAAAAAAAAACAAGAGTTTTAAGAGCTGCCATTTTGAGTTTACAGTCATCATTCGACATACTTCACTAAAAAAAATTATATAAAACCCAAAGTGAGCTACCTTATCATAGTATCCGTCTCAAAGAAATAGGGTGATTTCCAGTCCAGCAAAAAATCATTCGGTCCGGCAAATTTTTCATTACTGCCGGTCCAAATGTCTGGCTATTCTGAAAAGTTTTCAGCATGTCTGCTTGTGAATAGTTGATAGGCTTTTCTAGATAAAAGATCTCGAGGCTATTTTAGATAAAAGATCTTGTAGACTACCTGGAAGTATGTAGTTGATTTCACTTTCTTTTTAATTATTTTTGCAAATTAATAAGGTTTCTTTTTAATAACTGATCCTGTAGGATATCTTGAAGTATGTGGTTGTTTCCAACAAGTTTTAATTTAAGGGACTTTAGCAAATTAATAAAACATGAAGGACCACATTTACAACTTTAGATTAGAAGCACCCATAAAGTTAAAGATAAAGTTTGGCTCTGAATATTCAACAGTATGGCATTTTGACATCTGTGAGTGATGCAAATACAATGCATGGTTGATGTGAACATATATTAAGGGCATCAACATCTACAATGTAAATATAAAATTAAAATTCTGGAATTCAGTTATGCCTTTTGTGTTTGTACAATTGGGTAGTGTAATAGTCAGAATTCTTTTGAAGGCCAAGGAGTACCACGCAATATTTAGCATTAATCAATTTTTACAAGAGTTCTGTTAAAGGTAATGACTTTAATGACAGCTAGGCTGCCATAAAAATTACTTACTAGTACTTATTTGTATACAGAAGTCAGTTACCATGAGACAGATTCTCAGGAGATTTTATCAGGCTCATGGGATTAAATATTTCCTTTAAAATTATTCTCAAACCAACAACTCATTGTATTGCTTTGTCACCCTAGGAAGTAGTTAAACATAAAGAACCCCAAAAAGAACCAATGAAGGAACATATAAAGTCAGAATCCCATAAAGAAGTAGAGAAAAAGAAGGATGAATCTCATGGAAAAGGACACCATATTGCAGCATTAAAAGACAGACTGGGAGACCATGCAATACATGCAGGAGCACCACAGCCAAAGGCCTTTGCAGAAATGAGGAGAAAAAGTAAGTGACTTGCATCTTTTTATCAACATTTGTATCCACTCAAGGACTGTCATTGACATTGGTTGTGTTGCTTGATGTATAATTTTGATAATTCTTGAATTACTTGAGAACCAGTTTTATGTGTTCACACTGTGTCGATTACAATCTGACTTAAAGCAAAAGGTAATTGCTTAACCCATTCATAAACCCAGCAGGGTAGATTTCAGTCAACATTTCTGAACTGATAAGAAAGCATTAAACCCGTTTTAGGTTAGTCCACAACCAAATTCTGATATATTCAGTGATATACTGCCTGTAAGAGGGACTTCTTATGTTATGTATGATTAATCATGTAGACAGTGACTTTGGGCAATTCTTGTACAAGCTACAGAGCAAGGCACTTATTAATGCTAAGGATCACTTTTGTCTTGGGGGGGAATGGTGGTGTAATGAGGNGGGGGGGTGTAATGAGGATGGCATGAGCCACACATCCATATTGTCATCTTTGGCATTAGATCATGATATCCTCTGCCTGAGGCTGCCAGGTGTCTGTAGCTTGTGATGAGGTCAGGCTCGGAGGAGAAAAGTTATTTGTAGCATGAGTGATGAATGTTGAATGAGATACATAGCACAATGTAGCACATGAAATATTGCCAGATCAGAAGTGACTTGCATGTATGAAATGTTTTTATTATTTCTGTGCAAGATTTTGGGTTTAAAATTTTAGTGGATATGTTAGAAATTAAAGATGTTGGTAGAAACTAGTAACAAAGAGATGGTCCCCATGGAAGTTGTGGATTTTTAAAAAAAAATTTAACTGGAAAAGCTTTGTAATGGAGACATTTTTTTGGTGAAAAGCCAAGCTTTGTTAAATTTGAAGTGTGGGTTTTATATGATTTATATGACCTTTTTATTTTCGTGTTATCAAATGCATTGTTTGAATGTGACCCATATTGTGTAAGATATCTTTAGATCTAATATATCAATAAAATTGTATTGTTCAAATAAACTATAAAAGCTGCAGTAAAAATTCATCTGATAAGATATTTGAATGATGTCTTTTTTTTTTCAGGCACCAATAATAGAAAACTCCGTGCCAAAGCAACATTCAGTTATACCCCTGAGAATGATGATGAACTCAAGCTAGAGGCAGGGGACATCGTAGAAGTTTTAAAAGAGGTTAATAATTTAATAAGAAGTTTTTTTTTATTTCACAGTTGTAAATGCGGTTTTAACAGTTATAAAATAGCTTGTCATAACTTCAAAAATTGCAAATATAAAGCTTGGACCAGGAAGTATCATGGAAACAGTGAAAGAGGTACAAATGATGATAAGGAAGTACTAGTAAGATTCAATTGCACATTTTAAAAGGATCTTTTAGTTAGCCACTCGGGTCATAAAAATCGGATTTGCATGAGTTTTAATTTAGACATTATGGTATATTTACATATATGCCAGTCATGAGGAAGGATGATGACTTCAGAGTCAAGGAATTTTAGTTATCTTCACTTGCTTGTAAAGGTGTATTCATATATTTAGTTAACAAAAAAAAAAAAAAAAGGTGTATAAAATGTCCCATTATTTTATTTCAGGAAGAGGAAGGCTGGTGGCAGGGAACTGTAAATGGCAAAAATGGAGTATTTCCCTCCAACTTTGTAGAACTTTTAGATGGTGGCAAGATCGAGGATCTTAAGGCAGTTGCAGATCATGAAGATGAAAAATCTAGTGAATCAGGTATTAACTAAACGTTAATTAATGCAAGAAAAAAAATCAAAGAATGAAAATTGAAATGAAAATTGCCCTAAAATTGTTTTAAAAAATTTGGTCAGAGCATCATTTGATGCGCTTTAGTCTAAGATAAACCCATAGTAGTTTCTTCAAGTTTTATTTGTGTCTTTCTGTTATACAACGGGTGAAGTGTTTCATTCATTTGTCTTGTTACTGATTTATTTTGGTTCCAATTAGTCCAAAATTAGGGCCTTAAAATTTTTTGGGCCAAAGTGCTGTTGTGAGAAATCCTAATTGGGAACTGCCTTCCTTGCACTTTTAGGTGATATTACCATGTTTTTTTGCAGCAAATGATACCACTGCTATGTCAGAAGATAAGCCTGCTGAGGAGCCCCCTCCAGAGATCACAGGCAAGAAGGTGAAAGGTGTAGGTCTTGGGAACATATTCAGTGGTGGTCCCATTAAATTGCGGTCTACGGGGGCTCTGGGGAAGAAGCCTGCAGAACTCCCTAAAGAACCAGCCAAAGAAATCCCCATGGAACCTCTTAAAGAGCACCATGCAGTTTCTAAGAAGAATAGTCACAATGATGATCACAGGGTAAGGCTATGACTGCAACAGTCTGAATCTTATGTAATCGTATGATTTTTTTATTTCTGCTGCCAAGTGACAATTTCAGCTGAATACCAGTCTACTTTCAGATAATTAAAAAAATCTATAATATACATTTTGTCTTGGAAGAGGTCCACACTGTCAGAGCACTGTCCGGTTATATACTGTTATCAAAGACAAAATGTGATTGAAACCAAGTAGTTTAGAGCACAGTTTTAGTATTTGAGGTGAACATTGGATGAAAACAATGAATGTCTGACAGATGAAGTAGGACTGTACATTCTACAAAATCCCAATTTTCATCTGATATCAGATTTGTGATTTAAAAGAAGAAATTCTTATTTTTAAGTCTGTTGCTTTCCAGAGCTCAATACGTAACAAGGCACCACCTCCTGTGCCTCACGAGAGACCGCCCTCGCTGCCCCCACGGGATGTTAAGCCAAGTAAGTTTACAAGGAAGCATAACCTAGTGTGGCTGATCTCATCTTATGATAATGATAACAAAGAAATGAGGATAGGATTTCACTCTGTCAGAATCTTCATAGAAGGATAGAATGACTCATAGATGACATGGCATATTGTGTTCACATTTGTATGTTTTCTTATTTGTGTAGCTTTACTCATAGTATAATATTGACCACTATTCTGCATTCAGTCTTTTGATTGAAAGTATCTTATAAAGCTGCCACAAACTTGTTCTACTTTCCTGCACTACACACCAGTAGACCCTGTAATAAATGTTTATTTTCTGGCATGTATTAATTCAGCATGGTCTTATTCTTCTACATCTTTCCTTTGTCTCTCTGCTTCGTATAGACACTCACCCTCTATCTCCAACCTGCTGTCAAGAAACTAGAACAGCAACAGAGGTAGACTTGAAGCATGACTGTAGTATTCCCAGTAGTAGCTCAGCTTTAAATGCAGCGGAAGAAAATGATAGTTACTTGAGTGTTGAAGCAATATCAAAATTCAAGTCTAATTACAGCCCAGCAGTTTTAGACTCTGTGACTGAAAGTAATGATGTCGAGAAAAGAAAATCTCCCGCACCACCAAAACCACCCCGCAGGTCAATATCAAATTCTGACACGAGGAACTTATTCCATCAGAGTCAAAGTCAAGAAGTTCAGGAGAGCATCAGTTTTGATGAATCAAGTCAAACGAAGCATGGTTTCTCTTTGTCATCTGTACTGTCTAAGCTGGCAGACAATTTAAACCTTTCCCATACTGAGGAAGATCATACTGAAGACCATTTAGATGAAAGTGCATTGGCTCATGCAAGAGAAACACCACCCCCTAAACTTACTTTCAGAAGACGAAGATCCAGACTCCTTTCTAAAGGATCTGCGAAGCATGTATTTTCTCACAGCACACCTAATAGTGACAACAGAAAGAAAGACAGAAATGCTGGAAGTAACTCTGGGAATGATGTAGACAGCAAACACAGCCCCGAGATGAGGTATCGCATTGGGGATGTGATTGTTCCAGCTAGTAGCTTGCCCAAGACTGATTTATGCCGGCATGGAAGATGTCCTTCACCACAGCACCTTTCTCCCAGGCAAGACAGTTCATCGCAGCATTATGGTAGAGAGAACCATGATCGCAAACATAGAAACACCTCTCAGTCACTTCCTTATTATCAGCAGGGAGCGTGTTTTGTCCTTTCAACCCAGGCTCGTGTATTTAGGAGCCTTGAACCGGGGAACCTGGATCATCACTATGAGACTACCTTGGGTTGTGAACATGTACACCAGGAAAGTGACATTGAGGAGTGGATGGGACCAGACTGGCACAGACCGGTCAGTATTTCTGTTAAAGATGAATACATTAACAGTAATCCCATAAACTGTGATTTCCAAGAAACTCTGCAGCCTATTACAAACCATAAGAAAGAAGCAGGTCCCATCAAAGTAGAAAATATTACAGATAGTCTTGAATTGTTAAGGGAACAGAAGTTTGGAATGAAGACAAGGGACAAAGTCGAGAGTTACAGAAATGTGGGTATTGGGTGTAGGGGAGATGAAAATATTGATAGCAGTCTTGACAAAGCTGAAGATCCTGGCAGCAACAACAACAACAACAGTAATGCCTCAATAGGCAGGTCAGTGAGCCTTGGCATTGGAAGTAAAATTAGATCTTTTTTCTCATCACCTGACAAAAAAATTAAAAATCAAGAGAAAAGGGAGCATGATGCCAATTTCCCTGGCAACAATTCGGATGCCAAAAACAAACGAGAGGCTATAGAGAGGAAGAAACCCAGCTTAAATCCCATTATAACCTTGCCATTGTCTGGGGTCAACCACAATGAGATGGTCCTTTCTGAACAGCATGGTGTGGCCAGACACTTGCACAATGACCAGGAAAAAAGTCCTAAGGATTCTCCTGATCAGGATATTACTGTGAACAAACCCTCTTCTGATCCTGGACATGTGTTGAGGAAGGAGGAAAATGAAGATGAGTCGTGTGTACCAACTTATATTGAGACCCTTCAGAGAAGTGGAAGAATCTCACCGTTCCTGAAAAACACTCTCAACAAGTACAAAATATATCAAGATGGAAAACCAGTCTGCAGAAAGAGCTATCCTGAACCTTTTCTGATACATAAACCAATTGAAACCAGGTTGCCCACACCAGCTACATATGCTACCAGCACTGAAGACCCTAATCATCAAATCCCATGTCCTACGACTAGTGTGCAGAGCTACAGAAGTAGAAGCCAGCAGGTCTTTTATAATCCTCTTGATCCCTTCATGGAACAAAAAGAAAAAAAGAAAAAGAATATATTCAAGAGACTGAGAGCGAGCTTTAGAGAAACCAAGGTTAGTATGTCAGCAACACACAGGAGGAAGTATGATGTTTCAGAACGAGATGTCTCTAAACATGGAAAGATTAGGCTAGGAATGTGTTTCAAGCATGACAACTTAGGGAACAGGTCAGCCATTGATACAGAGATGCCACACTATTCCAAATTACCAGATGCCAGTGAGTACAAAAGTGATGATCTTCAGAGTGAAGAAATGTTGTCTGATCACAGTTCTCTGCATTCCCAAGACTTGACAATCACTTCTCTGAAGCCTAGTAATACAGAACAAACTGATTCATGTCACATATCCCCAAAGATTACCCACCTAAAACAGATACCAGTGTCTCAGGCCTTTCCAGATAATAAGCAGCCCAAACCAAGCGACCTATCAGTGGCTTCAATAGATGTCCTGAATGGCAGTTTTGATGCTTTCTCACACAAAGAAGATTTCAAAGATGTGAAAGGCAAAGATGATAGAGCAACAGTTGAAACTCATTTCTATAATTTTGGTCATTGTGATCAACCTAGAAATGAAGCTGCCCCTTTCACCAAAGAGTCTTTACATGTTGCCAGATTTCAAAGCCCTGAACCATTAGGCCCAAGAATGATTGAACCAGCTCCGTGGGCAAGACGCCAAACCCAGGTAGTCAACGCTATCTTGAGTGAATCTGTCGAACCTTCCATCAGTCTCTGTCCAAGTTATTACTCAGAGGACAGTAGCCTGCACTTGACCGTGGATGGACCTCAGAAGAACAGTACATTTTTGGGAAATGGTAAAGATGCTATATCAAGAGATGGTTCTACCAAGACAGATGCGTGTTCTGCTGAACCTACAAGGAATGAGGTATGCCAAGAGTCTTGGACTAAGGAGGAAGAGGATGATTTCCCAGATGATGGCAGTGCTGGAGGGGATGGCAGTGAAGATGACAGATCTCTGGAGCCCGGTGAAATCTGCAGTCCATCTGTAGTTTTAACAAAGTCATTAGAATTTCAAGAATTATTCCAACATTGGGAAAATCTGTCCAAGTGTCAGGATGAAGTAAGAAACAAAAGTAAGACCCCATTTCTCCCAAAACATGGATTGCATCATCATGAGCTTGAACCCCATTGTAATCAGGCCAAGAGTCATGAGGAAAGTGCTTATGAACTATCAGCACCAGTATTACCTCCCAGCCCTTTGGCAAATGAGGTTGTATTGTTTCCAAGCAGCAGAGAGGAGTGTGAGGAAAGACTTCCTACATTTGTTGTCCCAAGGACTGACAGCTCAATCATTGAGCTTTAAAACACAACTCTGACCTTGTTTGTTTATTAATTGACTTTGCTGTTCAAGGTTTTGTTCCAAGTTTTGTGAACTGATGTTTTTAGCTTTTCAAGAATTGGTGTTGACGTATTATTGAGAGACTTGTTTTTGAGAACTTTGGTCTTGTTTTGAACTTTGTTGCAAAGACAATTTACCACTTATTCTTGTTTTGAACTTTACCACAGAGTGGATTCATGTACCATTTAATACTATGTGTCAGATGTTAGATATGTTAGATAATATTGTACCATATAAAGAATCTTGGTGAAGTAAGAACAGTTGACACTAAAGAATATCAAGGATTGGATTTACTATTCACAATGCAGCATGGTGAGTCACATCACAAAGTTGACAGAAGTCTTTTTTTACTACTTGCTCTCATTTTACATGTTGCAACTTGTTTTTATGTAACCAGTCTGATGTTGTTTATGTTGAAAATGAATTTTGTTGCATGCTGAATGAATATATGTATATATTTTCCAAAAAATGTTCTTTATTTTTGTTTTCCTTGAAAGTAAGGCCCTCTGTTTTGCTATACTAAAGCTTTCTTTTTAGTCTGAAACTATTAAGATATATTAGAAATATTATATTACATAGCGCAGTATGTGAATGGAATGGAGCTTGACAATATATATTTTGCAGTATTGTTTAATCATATGCAAACAATGCTAATGAAGGACTATAGAATAGGTTGGCAGTGCCTCTTAATGAATAAGCCAAGTGACTTTTTGTTTCAGAAGTTTGTTATGAAATAATCTCCAAGAGAATGAATATGTTAAGTGACAGAAAATGTTATTGACTAACAACAACAAATAACAAGTTTACAAGCCAATATTGAAACACAGACATAGTTATATTTACAAGCACTTTTCCCTTTCAGTTGAACGTGCCCGTGTCCTCTACTCGTACTCCGCAGAGAACGATGATGAGCTGAACTTGGCAGAGGGAGATGTGATCACCATATTGGATAAGGAACTGGAAGATGGTGGCTGGTGGAAGGGGGAATTGGATGGAAAGATAGGGGTGTTTCCTGACAACTTTGTTGAACTATTACCGCCAGAAGAGGTACTGTCTCAACCAAAAGTTGCTGCACGCAATGCTGAACCACACTCTGCGGTAGATAGAACCTGACTTAACGTAGTTTTGAGTGTTAATGATCAGTTGTTCACTATGCATTTTTGCATGTTGAAAGCTGATTTTTAATGAAAAAATTGTTATATTTTGAAAGAACAGATATTGTAGATAGTAGTCAGTTTTCCGTTTGACTGTTAAATTTTCAACATGCAATTTCTAATGTGTAATAATGATTTTCAGAAAGAGTAATTGCTAAAACCTTTTGATGTTGAAAATACCTTTTGCAGTATCATAAAGTAAGGTAATAATTTTGCTATATGCCTTTAATTGAGGTACAGATTGAATGATCTTGAAATCCTTTTGGCAGAGACCCTTATTGAGAAATTTTAAACCTACATTTTAATTGTCTTATTCACATTTCAGCCTAAACCCAGAAAGCCACCTCCGCCTATGCCAGCTGTCCCAGCCGTGCCTGCTCCACAAACAAAACCTTTGAAAGAAGTCAACCAACATCATCACCATCATATTAAACCTCCAGAAAAACCACCACCACCCGAAGTTACCAAGCCAGAAACCAAATTTAAAAAGGGTATGTAACCTTTGTTCTACCTATAGCTACTGTGACGAGGGATTTTTTCTTCACAAATTTTCACAAATTTAGGGAACCATGATATTGTCTCTAAGTTCTAGGTGTTTGAATACATGCATATGTATTATATTCATTTGACTCAACATGTTATGTATATTAAAGCATGCATTACGCTTCATGTTATTTTATTTCTGGACATTTTAGTTGAATACCACATACATGCTGCTAGAAAAAAGAAGGAAGCTTTGAACTCAATGACATGCACCATTAGCCTGGTTGAAATGTCATTTGGGTGTGCATGAATTCCTTTTTATATCCTTGTGTTATTGAATCATTAAAAAATGCTTTGACAGCCTCTCATATATTTCATAGCAGATAATGAGAAACCAGCCCCAGCTCTGCCTGCCAAGAAGCCTCTTCCTCCCCCTATTGGTAAGAAACCAGTGCCTGCCAAGCCTACAGACCTACCCAAGCCAAAACCAGTAGAGACTAAAGTCAATGAGGGCAAGGATACTGTTGACAGTAAGACCTCTGTCAACAATAAACCAGGTAGGCAATAGATAAATTGATGTAACCAGAGTTAAAGGCATCTGTTGATTTCTGCATTTTTTTAAATTCATAGAGTCATGTTTGTAGCATTCTGTTATACACATATTAAAAAATGGATCATCTTTGTGAAACTACATATTCTTTTTCAGATGTCAATCATCTTGATACCATAGAAACCACAGAAACTTTGTCTCATCTGACTGTGAATCGGCCAAAGAATGCCAGCAAAAGGCCACCATCTTCTGCAATTCTTCATAAAGACACAGTAAGTGATTCCTTTAAAGTGATGTGTGTCTGTGTGGAGTTGGATATCTGCATTGCACTTGACATGCCATGGTAAAGCCAGTTCTTATATATGCACAATGTCAACCATCTGTACATGTGAGAAGGCTTTGCTTACCTTATAATATATGCTTGGCATATTAATACATGTTTGCAGGCAACTAAAACGGTTTGAATTGATGCAGTAACATTAAGTTCAATGAAACATTCATCGCACACTTTACATTTATTTAAGAATATTCTTTTATCTTAGACACAACAACCACTGTTATATTAATAAAATGTATTGTAATGGTTTATTGGGTAGGCCTATATGTAGCTTTTCCTATACAATTTATTATTTATGATATGAGTGTAACACTAGTTTTAACCACAAAAGTTAAATTGCATGCTATGATATATATATATACACTTGTAATACTAAACTGAATGTCATGAAAAGACCTATCCAGCATGTGCACATGCTTAAGTCAGTGCAGTTCTAGAATGGCGGCTTTTGTAGCAAGTCTCAGTGATATTCTTACTGCATAGTTATACAGAGTAGTTTGAACTGAGCCCATTCCAATTTTGAAACAATCTGTACAGTGGATTTGGTGTAGCTACTGCTGTCTGCTTATCATAACTTGACTGCAGTACCTTATCAAATCTCAACAATAGTGCTTTTTTGCCAATAATACAAATGCTTTGAATCCCATTGCTTTGTACAGGTCATTTTCTAAGAGTTGAAAAATTTTGTTGCCCCAGCCATTTCAAGAACTGGATAAAATCACCAAAATCATGTTTTTCTTGGTCGACATTTTTCAACCTTCAAAATTGTGTTCTACCATGGTCTAACATTTCCAACCATCAGAATTGGGTTTTACCTTAGTCCATACAGTTTTCAGCCACCAAAATTGTGTTCTCCCTTGGTCCATACAGTTTCCGACCACTCTGTCTAAACGCACTGTTAGGGCACTGATGCATGTCGGCTTTGTTTCTCTCTCTGTGGCAGGAGTTGGTGGAGCCTCTTGAACCCTCGTGGGTGAAGGAGGTGAAGCGTGCCTCCATCAGGGACACTAGTGATGGCACCACACATGTACAACATGAATCACACCGTAAACTACATCACCATCATAAGGTAACTGATAGTGTGCTAACTTTGGGCATGGCAGTCACGATTCCAGAGGCTGAACGGCTATTGTGTTTGTAATGTGAAGTGTAGCTTTGTGGCTGGAATGCAGTTTTATTGCAAAGACATTGTTATGGTTTATTGTACTCAGATTGAAAATGTGTTTGTAGCATTTATTGTAGCCTTCTGTATGTACTAGAAGTAGACTTTTATTAACATTTGCACTAAAACTGGGCAGCACTTTCTAGTCCATGGGGTTATTATATTTTTACAGTCTGCAAACTAGAAGATATTAGAATATTAACATTTTTTTCATCCTGTTACTTTTGATGGCTGTCTAAGCTATTGACAAAAATGACATAACACATTAAAAAGGCTGTGGGTAGAGCCCAACTCTGATGCATTGGTCTCCTTGTTCTGCAGGAGCCTGAAAAGTTTCCTGAAAAAGCACTGCCCCATGTAAAGAGACCACCACCACCAACAGTAAAACATCAAGACGAAGAGAAAGAAAAAGGTAACAAAACCCTCTCTTATTATATCTTAGAGAAAATATAAAGAATATGTCCAGCTACGAATAAAATCATGGGATTCTAATTGATTTTTTAAGAAGTCACAGTATATAATGTTAGCATGATTTTACTTTATTTAAAAAATGTGTATATAGTTGTCACTGATTGTCACTATTGTGGATTTGATCTGTTTCAGAAGTGACCAGTCCGAGGAGCAGCACAGACGATGCCAAGTTAATTCAGGAACTGCGCCAAGAGATGAAAGAAATGAAAGAATCCACTGTCAGTATTGAAAAGTACAATGATTTAAAGAAAGATTTAAATGAACTGAAAGCTCAATTCATGGAATTCCGTAACACTTCCAATAAGAGGATCCTAGATCTTATGAATGAAGTAGATGAAGAAAAGAAAATCAGACTCAATACTCAGGTGGAGATAGAAAGAATTAAAAAGCTGGTAACATGATGAAAATGCAGGAGGCATGTCAGTTGTACTGTAGATGAATACCTCAACAATGTAGAAAAATTACTTTTGCTTTGTCATGCTATCAGGAAGTTGTTTTTCAATTTCTTTTATTTTGCAAATTGCAAAATGAAAAATCTTTCTCTATGAGGTTTTTCTCCAGAGTTAAAAAAATATGCATTGTGTAGGCCATGATACTTTATAAGCATCCCATTTTTGATTGGCAAAAAAGTATGTTACAGTAAGAGAGATAGCACATGATGTAACATATGAAGTTGATACTGCTGCATTCCTATTACATGAGTGAACAAAAGGAAGCCACTTGTAACATATGAATCCTGCAGAAATGATGTTCAAAATGTAATGTACATTGCCTCATAACATGCCAATGTTGTATCCACTGCCCTCTTTGCATTATTATTCATCTGAGAGAGGTCCCCTGGTTGGCTGTAGCATGTGTTTGGCCCAGACATTCAGTGCTAGAACTATTGCATTCCATTTTTACATGTGACTTCAGAGACTGTAAGAATTTTAAAATGCAAATGATAGAACTTTTGAATGTTTATATGTCTTATTCTTTAATCTTATATAGAATTGAGTTAAAATTTTGTATATTTCTCTTGCTCATCATATGCACTCTGCATCACTTATGCAATATTTTAGAGTAGTATGGTCTTCCTGCTGTCAATAGGGCAAGACTGGAATAAAACTGTAAAATTTAACTTAAGTATTATATTACAATATTTTTAATGGCAGATAAACCCAGTTGACTGATCAAAGCCCATATTTAGAAACTAACCAATTATATCAGCAATGTATTCAAAGAAACCCTGAATGTATCACAATCTTAAAGTATAATTATATTTGTATATTTTGACTATGTAAGTATTATTTAGTCATTTCAGTCACAGGCCTGGTTCTTTTTTTTTTAAGACTGGGATATGTTATTTTTAAAATCTTATTTATATATTTGTGGTGAGGATAATTTTTGGTACGTCCCTTATCAATGACTGGTGTATTTCTACTAAAACATTCAGTAGTGAATTGTGTCAGTTGTCCTTGGTAATGTCCCATCAGCTTTTGGGTCTTTATTGTAAATGAGTGTCAGAGCTGGTGTCAGTGATTGTTAAATATATTAATTACTTATTTAGTTATTTTATTGCGTAATAACTGCCAGGTTATTTGACTTCTTTAAAACACATTTGCATTATGACCTTGTACATTTTTATTTCTTCTTGAGAAATTGGTGCTGAAATGTGGTCTCTATGGTGGCTTGCTGTAACATAGAGCTTCTGCCAGATGAACAACAAGGACAAAATATATACCTGTGTTTTTGTAATTAACTGCATGAGTCTGATATCCTAGTAAGCCATAGTAGAATTTCAACTCTGCATGTAACTTGGTACATGTAACATAGTGTTCTTTGCAAAGACTTCAAATTATTTTCACAATGTACAGTGTACTAAGAGCAAACAACAGTTTCAGTGTAAATGAACATTGAGCATTTAATCATATTTTATAGGATATTTTGCTTTATTTGTATTTTGGTATAATTCCCCAAGATTAATTGAATCCTCCAGAACACTTGCAGAGTTGGATGACTTTGCTTGCAGCTATGTTCAGCTTATAGCTGTGTCTGCAGATATCATTCATAGTGGAAAAATATTGCAAAAAAAGTTTGAAATAAAACTTTGTTGATTTACATATAGCAGTTTTGTCAATGTATTAAAAATAGATTGTTTAAAGATATATTTGTGAAATATAAAACAAACTATCTAAAGCTATCAAATGTGCAGATACAAACCACCCATCATTTAAATAAAGTGTTCACAAGGGAAAAATAATAAAATGCCAAAATAATTGAAAAATGTTAATTCCCGGTCAACTCGAACAGATATAGTATCTGGATGATGCAGAGTTCACATGGTCAAAATTATTGACAAAAAAGTTAGAAATGATCGTGTTGGGCCAGATATGATTTTAGAAGGTGTAATTTTAATCGGACCTATAACTTGAAAGATAAAGTGCCTACAAAGTTAAAATGAACCTGACCTGCATTTCAATGCCACCAATAACCCAATCGGAGTTCAGCCTAAAGTAAGTCACCATTTGGATGTAAGGGTGCTCACAAGGCCAATGTTACAGAAAAAATCGAAAAGATGAACAATAGTTTGATCATGCTTATTGTTTGGGAAAAAATCCGAAATCTTAGGTTATTTATAGTATGCCTAAAATTGCATTTGATTTAAATTAAAACAACACTCAGGAAAACCCGACTTTCAAAATTTAAAGTTCGAATAATTGCTTTTGTTTTTAAACAATTTTTACATGGCTAGGAGAAGGATAGTATCAGATTGTGTGGAAGCGATAAGTGATAACGAGCGGTGACTCGGTAAACAGGGTCGGTAGACAAATTTATTTTTCTCTTTAAATGTGATAATTAACGAGCATAGCAACTAAAAATTAGGGTAAGACATTTTGATTTATTTCCTTTGATAAATCAATTAATATATTTATTTATTTGATTTTTTATTTTTCATTTTATTTTTATTATTTTTTGTCAAGCCCACGGTATGTGTCATTTTAGAACAAAAAAAATGTCATAAAAGTTTTTTTCTGGTGAGAATTGTATAGTTTTCCCCCTCTTTTCAGACCAATACTTAATGCATTTTTACATTTAAAAAAATAGGTCGATTTCCTCAATCATAGTGCTTGTCGCACTCCTTAACCAATGTATGTTTTGTCTGGCCTATAGGGTAACATTTTTTAATATAAAACACGGTGTTGATAACCTTTTCCAAGGTATTACTGTTTATATATTTATTTAATTATTCATTTATTTATTATTTATATAATCACCTTTAAAAGATGAATGAAAAAACGAATAAAATAAATAAATTAAAATGAGATGGAATAAAATGAAATATATATAAAATTACACAGCTTATATAGAGGACAGAAGACAGAAGATTTTATAAGTAGTCCCAGAAGCATGTGTTTCTGAGATTGTCTGTCATGATATCTGGGACTAAAAAGCTCGATGTGTCTACTAGTCCTGATGGTTCGCGTGACCCTTTGCTAGCAGATTTCGTTTTGATGTTGCTCAGACATAGAATTTAGGCCATAGGAGTTCACCCTTTCTAGCATCTGACCTCACTCTCTTCAAATGATGTCAACCGGGCACACGAAAAGCTACTTTACTGTACCCTTTACCAGGGCCGCAGTTTGAATTTTCACTAGATATTCAAAGATACATTTCTAGATAAATGATGGTACTTTTCGTGTCAGAGAAATGTCCACGTAATTATCTGCGACCGTAGTAAAGGTTAACTTTACTGCAGGTTGTAATGATTTGCGTCAGTGCTAATAGCGCCATAAAAATCTTTTTCTTTCAATTTGGATGCAAAACCATGGCCCAATGACAGTTGTGACCAGTCAACCTGACGTAAGGGTGAGATTTCATGCTTTGAAAACTTTTGAATGTTATATACACGTTAATTACATCTGTTTGAGACAAGAAGCTAGGACTACCTCATCCCCAAGCTTAACTTCTGGATCAGATGAGGTTCAACCGCATAAGAAATGTTAGCTCGATCACGATATAATTCCCTGATCACACGACTCTTGAGCGTTTTTCTACAATGCAAGAAAAACATCTCAGTCGTGTCGAGTTTGTCAAAATCAGACCCAAAGTTGGCGATTCCGACAGACATTGTGAAGCAGTATAACACTTTCTTGCTTGACATGAATGGAGTTTTGTGGAAAACGAACCAGTCAGCCCTCTTTGGAATAATGGAGTTCCTAGAAAAACTAAAACAACTAAACAAGACGGTGATACTTGTGACAAATAACAGTAGAAATGACAGAGATCACCTGCGAACAACTATTATAAGGCGAATTGGGTTTGACTTTCCGAAAGAAAACATATAGTCTATATTCACTCCGAGTGGCACGCGGCGGCAAAGTACATAAAAGAAATCGGAAATGAAAGTTTTAATGTTTCGGGTCTTTTTACCTAGTTCTTGCTTAAAGGCATAATAACTCTTTGTATGAGACCTATATTTCACAATAAAAACCTTGTGAATAACTCATAGAAATATAATATATTCTGTTTTACCACAAAAACAGCAGTTATAGCTTTTATTCTGATATTTGAACTTGTCTTTAGACCACGTGACCTCCATTGATGTCTATACTCTGTTAAAATCTCTTAAGAGATTTTAACAAAAAACCAAACTTTTTAGAAAAAAACCAGGGACTAACTTTGAATGTAAAAATGGATTCATTAACCATTGGTTAGTATGGGAAAATTGTTGTTTACTCCAGAAAAATTCATTTTTTGGCCGAAACGAAGAGTTATTATTGCTTTAAATGTGTAAGGTGAGATGCCTTTTATATAATGTCTTATCCTTACTTCACGTTATTCACTCATTCATCATTCAAACATTAATAGTAACCAATCACGTTTTCTACATTTTCCAACACATTACAAACATTTGCCTTTATACACGCTGAGTTTCAAAGGACACTGAAACCTCACCTCTGTGCTATTAGCATGTCTCTGCTGTCTCCAGTGTCCCCTTAAACTCCGGGTGCCTTCGTATGTTATCTCCAATTTTGAATTTTCAAAGCAAGCTCATGTCAAATTTTATTAATACAAAACTCGCTTAAACTTGACCCCTCATTTTGGCGGGGAAAGTACGGGAAAACGATTTTTTGAGGATAAACGACAATTTCCCCATGCATACCAGTGATTAATGAATCCATTTCAAAGTTAGTCGATTGTTTTTTTTAAAGAGTACAGTCTTTGTAAAAATCCCTTAAGAGATTATTATGGACGGTATCCATCACTGACGGTCCACAATTTCGCTATACGTATAATATTAAAATTAGTACTATTCTCAAAATTGTTTGCAGGGATGTTGGAAAATAAAAAAATTTGCAACAGAAGATTTGGATTCAAACACATCTTTTATTTCAGTATCTTAATCTGAGATTCTTTACTCAAAATTGATCAGTGTCAGTCAGCTGCAAGCGATAAATAACTTGTGGGTCAATATATACTACAAACCATGAAAGGAAACACTTTTCTGTGCATTAAACTCCACTAAAAAAACAATCCAAATTTTTGACGCTACCATGGCCTACAACTACAGCCTTCATAATGATAAAATTTTCAAACATTGATTATGCATTGGAAGGTAAAGAAAATCATATTATAACCAATAAATATTTTGAGATAGGTGGGAAACGATAACAAAATAAATATCTTATTCTATAAATACCAAAGAATTCTGATATCTAGTTTTGCCTCAGTCAATATCACTTTTCTGAGGTCTGCTGAAACATATATTAGTCTCAGTCTAAGTCAATGATTGTACAATATTATATGTATGTGTAATGTTACATATAAAGCTTTGGCATTTTAAGTTATAACAGTCAAGCATACACATTTGGCTTTTTCTCTTAAAAAAGCAAATGTATATTGGCATATAACAATACTTCACAAACTTGTTGCTTAACATTTCCCATTTCACTTTTAGAGTTGTCAGAGTATATCAAAAAGGGATATTTCTTTCTTTCCTAATATTGAAATTACTAACATTGATCACAAACTACAATTTGTACACAATTTAAAATACAAGGAATGCTTGACACTTCTCTCTTGGCATATGTCACATGTGGTAAAATGACCATACAAGATTTTTTAGGTAATTCTTTATCTTGAGCACTGAGAGACAAAAATATTGTTTATTCCTGGAATTTTCTGTGTTTTGTATCAATCCACGCCAAAATACTTAATAAATTCTCCATTTAATTTTATAAACAAGTTGGGTTGTGACCAGGATGGCTTATATAAGCATCTGTAATTTACTTTTCCATGCTTTGTTAAAAGATATTTCCATGGTTTGCATTAGAAATTTATATCTTACTTCTCTTTCTTTTGGAAAATTGACATTCCTAGTATTGACTGGCTCACATATCAAATCACTTCAGAAAATCCAGTTTCAGTGACTGTTCATGGAAATTTTGTGGCCTCAATTTTTCCTATATTTGCTCACTTAGTCTACAGCCTGCCATATATCCTTTTTAAGTGGAAGAGTAAATTAAAAAATCAAGTCTATTTACATAAATGCAAGGCTTTAAAAAGCAGTTAGCCTATTTTACTTGAACTTTCTTTTACTTGGTTAGTTTGAGCTTAAAATGGTTAGCTATCCTTGGAAAACTTCTTTAAGTGTTTTGACCAAAATCTCATATAATTGCATTTTGATAATTTCCTGTGTAACTAAATGTAACACTCTAAAAAGAACACTCTAAAAAATGATAAAAATCTGCAACACTAATCATCATCAAAAATGATTTTTCACTAAGCTTACAACAAAAAATTTGGGAATATTGACTGCATGACTTAATTAAATAATTTATAAATTATATATGTAAACTGTATACATATAAATATCTAAACTGACATGTACCGGTATCACATGAATATATACTTTACAATGATTTGCATAAATCAGCAAGAGACATGGCATAATAATCAGGAATAAGATTTTTTTTGGAGGGGCAATCACTTTCTAGATTTTCCTGCACATCTTGCAGATTATTAGCTCCACTAAGAACTAATAAAGAATCAATTCCTACTGTCTTGGCAAAACCTATATCAGCTCTCAAATTGTCTCCTACCATGATGGTCCGACCTCTTTGGATAAAGTGCTTGGTTTCTATACACTCTAGCATATATTTGTGTGGCTTTCCTATAACAACAGGTTCTCTTTTTGATAGAAAGTTGAGAGCAGTAACAAAAGTGCCTGTTATTGGCATCACTTTTCCTTGACCTACATGCAACCCTCCTTCAAAACAGTTTGTAGCTACGTAATAACAATTGGGGTTATACAGATAACTAGCAGCCTTGGAGAACTTATTGAAACCGATATATGGGTCCATCCCTACGACAACAGCACCAATATTTTCATGGAGGGGTCTTTGAAGAATTTCTTGGGGGTCCATAGAAGGTGGATCTGGGTCGGGACCAAAACCAACATGGTTTATCTCCAAATCATCCATTTCTGATGCCATGCCGGGACTGCCCATCAAGTACACCGTTCCCTGTACATTTGCAATTTCCTTCACGAACAAAGCTGCTGTATATGCCACAGTGAATATATTTTCTTTCGGAAAGTCATATCCAAGTCGTCTTTTAATAACTTTCTGCAAATATTTTCTACTGTTTATGCTGTTGTTGGTTACAAGTATCACCGTCTTGTCCAGTTCTTTAAGTTTTTCCAGAGAATCTGTTATTCCAGGTATGGGAGACTCATCTGTGTTCCACAAAACTCCATCAACATCGAATAAAAAAGTGTCATATCGTTTCACTATCTCTGACGCTGCTGCTAATTTTGGTTCCTGTTTCAAATATGATAAATCCTGAATCAAATTAGTCTGAGGAGAAATCGTCGATTCTTTCCTTAGCACCTGTCGCCAAACAACATAAGAAGATCGTGTCAATGAAAGAATGGTTCTAGTAGCCCTGAAACCTTCCATAACAAGTGACTTCACTTGACAAACTCAGTCATGGAGAGGAAAGACACTCCTGTTGAAAAGACATACCTCACTGACTAACAACAGGAAGGTAAATTTTCTTTTCCTTCCTTCGTGCGAAAAAGATTCTACGAAATAAAACGCCGGTGCGCATGCTATCTAGGTCAAGTTACTACAACACGTGCAAACAAGTGCAAATTAATCTGTTTTTCTATGATGGTCCATTGCAGGTAAGTGATCAGTGGTTTGAAGAAAACACTTGTCATTTCGGCCAACTCTATCAGTTTTTGATCCTTTTGTTTTCATGATACCACTCGCTAAATTGAGAACTTCCATTGCCACTGCCACTGCCACTGGCCACTGGTTGATGTAAACGTTGCACTTTTTGTTAAGTTACCGAATTAGTGCTAGAAAACAACAAATCAAAATACTCTCTAAAAGAAAGAAAGTGCAGAGGTTCTGGGGTTCCACGGTGAATCGACACTCCAAATGAATCTTGTATACAGTTATGGCTTGAATTGAAAGTAATACTAACAATAACAAGTGATGACAATGAATATCTCTGAAACTGAAACTTACGAGCTGACCGATGTCAGTTTCAGTATCAGTGGTATACTAAGTTACCATTCTAATGCTACTGGAGGACTCAAAACAATCTCTCAATAACATAAAAATATTTATTAACTATTTTGGTCTTATCGTTCAATTGATTTTATCCACTCTCGCTTCAGATGTAAGAAGTGAGAGTGTTCCATACGGTATGACTGAAATGCGCAATACACCGCAATACAGCGCAACACAGCGCAATACACTTCAAAAATCAAATCCAGTTGCAATTACACTAAAGAAATGACCATTCCCAGCAAAGTAGGGTGATATAAAAACAACCTATATTACTAGGTAAGTAATATCGTTGATATAACTTAACAAATCAGCAAGACTTTTATATTGTCCTGTTGGCAGCCATGTTGGCGAGTGGCTCTTCTTGGATATATTACTGGCCAAGAAGAGCTACTCGCCAACATAGCGGCTGACAAAACAATGAAAAAATTGTCAAGTTGTATCAGCAATATTAATTACTATGTACTATATTTTGCTTTTATATCACCCTATTTTATTTGAGATTACCATTTCCTGTGTTTACTTGCAACAGAGTCGGCCTGTAAACAGTTAATCAGAAATATGAAAGAAAAACCATACATTAAATAATTTTTTTCTGATAAATATTTTTTTAAACAGTGCCAACACGCCATTTTTTTATGCTGCATTGAGAATACCACTGCCTCTAATTGATAAGTAGTATTTTGTATTCTTCAAGCTAAATGGGAGTCACTAAGCAATACCTGCGGTATGCACCAAGTGCAGTATTTGGTGTTATTGGAAGTCACAAGTCCAATGTGGTGTTCTTGGAAATACATGGCAACAAAGGCAAATTTTGTGCTGTTGGCGCATGTGAAAATGTTATCATTTGGGATATGCGGAAAGGAGAGAAGGTAAGAATATCGTAGGTGTATTGAAATCAAACACTGATAAGAACAGTGTATGTTACCAACAGTTTTTTGAAGTGGATTTTGAAAAAATATATAAATACCTGTACATTTTTTGTGAACTTTCTTTAAAACTGTACCTTGCATAAAGTTCCATAATGTCTTTTTTTTTTCATTTGAATAAGATTGTCTACAATATTATTCTATTTAATTTAGTCAAATGTACTATATTAGTCTGAAATGATAAATGATTATAAGGCGAACACATGTTTATGTTTTAGCACCTAGAATTAAAAGGAGAAAAACATGAAGTCACAGTAATTGCCAAAAGTCCAAGTCAGCGCCATGTAGCTGTAGGTTACCATGATGGCACTGTTCGCATCTTTGACATTTTGACTGGAGAATGCACTGTCAAGTTTAGTGGTCATAAATCTGCTGTGTCTGCTCTCAACTATGACAAAACTGGGGTGCGACTGGCATCTGGAGCAAAGGTACATGTATGGCTATTTGAATTAAAAAGGTTTAGTTCAAGTTGGAATTGAATGAAGTATGGAATCAACAGTCATATCAACTGAAATTTGACCACTTTTAAGGCTTCCAAACAGTTGACTGCATGTGTTTGTGGTGTTTGGGTTAAATCAGCAGTTTATATCTATATGTATTCTAACAAACATGTTTTTAGCTGGAAATGATCAAAACTTAAAATAAATGTTAGTTTTATTTCTTAGAATACTGAAACAGTTTTTCTGCCTGTCATAACCTGAAAGACATGACATCTTACTTTTTCATCTCCATTAGACAAAAGACAAGAAATCTATTTCTTCTTAAATTTATTTAATATATAATGAAACTGAGACATAATAACTAGTTAAAAGCAGATTAGTTGAAATTTGAAATAATTTCTTACAGGATACTGATATCATAGTGTGGGATATAGTCAATGAAAGTGGTCTGTACAGATTAAAAGGACACAAAGGAATGGTGACCCAGGTCAGATTTTTTAATAACAGGAATTTATTGATTTCAAGGTAAGTTTTACAGTTTTTACCTGTTACTCAAAACATGTTTTTATTATGTTATTTCTTTTGAAAAATAAAGAGTGCCATCATTGTACCTTTTACCAGGATCACATTGATTTTTCACTTGATATTCACAAAAGTGTCAATGGCTAAATCATGACACTTTTTCTCACAATGGAGAAAAGTGCACATAATCTGCTGCCCCAATAGAGGGTACCAACACAGTATTATTCATGTATTCTTAGATGATTTTCTCACATCGATTTTGAATCTGTTTGTTTTTGTCGGAATATTAAACTTAAGGCAGACAAAATTGATAAGTTGGTTTACTAAGTGGATGATGACTGTATACAGGGTCTGCAGACAAAATTTGTATTTGTTTTTTTTTTTAGATATGATGTGTAATTTGCTAAATAATTATAATTCAGAGTGTGGGTAATTTTTGAGCAAGAAAATAAAAAACAACAGCATCAAGATTTTGTGTGTGTGTTGGGTGGGGGTGGGGACTGTTGTTAAATTTCTCCTCTGACCAAACCAATGCCTTATGCATTTCTACTTTTGATAAAAAAGCAAATAAGTCTTATTTCCTCAAAATTATGTCCAGTTGTGTTCTTTAGCCAACTTATTAATTCTGTCTGTTAAATTAATATAAAATATTTGGTAGCAAAACATGTCACACTATACTGTAATGTTCCTGCACAAAGCTTTCCACCAATTTGAAAGCTATAGTACTTACTCCTTTTGAATTGTTTTCCAAGTTTGATTACATGTTTGATATGTACTAATTGAAATGACTCCACTGTGGCTAGCTCCAAGGACACTTTTGTAAAATTTTGGGACCTGGACACTCAGCACTGCTTCAAGACACTGGTAGGACACAGGACTGAGGTGAGGCACTGTGGATATTGAAGTAAAGATAGATAAAGAGAAAGTTGAATACGTAGGTAAAAAGCACTGAAGAATTTTGGTACATTCTTATTCTTGTACTTTAATATTCGCAGGAAATTGCATAGATTTACAGAATAATTTTTTTGTACAGGTACATTTAAGATATTTAGAATCATTTTGCCCCACAAATCATTCCGTTGCATGTACAGTTGTATGTGTGTGTGTGTTTTTAGAAGAATTATATTCTGTATTGGACACTTTTATCTGTTCATATATACCTATTACCTATTTTCTGTAGACCAGATAAAGGCATTTGCCTGTAATTTATGAATTGCAAGTTCAAATATTACAGTTGAGAAATGTTGTAAAGTATATATTTATCTTAATTCTGTTTTATGTGAATGTTTTTTAATCAGGTTTGGGATCTTGTCTTATTTCACGATGAACATCGTCTTATCACTGGGTCAGCTGACAGTGAGCTCAGAGTCTGGAAGATGCTATATCTTGATGAGGTGAGGGGATGTGGGTCTTGATTTATGGTGCATTTTAAAGTTAACCAGCATGTACTACGGAACTGAAAGGATTCTTGTCAAAAAAACCCTTTATATTTGAATTTTGATAATATATTTTTATGTACAGACACAGATGTGTCTGTACATATAGCCATCATCTGCGTCTGTCGTCGCTGTCGCCGTCGTTGCCGTCGTTGCCGTCGCCGTGCACTTTTACCGATAACACGATAAGTGGAAAACTGTTTTTTCTTTTTGTTTGAAACTTACAGAACTGATGAATATTCGTAATATGCAGGTCAAGTTCGAAAATCAGCATGATCGGGTCACTTTTAGGGAATTTATGCTGTTTTTTCACTNACTATCTCTGACGCTGCTGCTAATTTTGGTTCCTGTTTCAAATATGATAAATCCTGAATCAAATTAGTCTGAGGAGAAATCGTCGATTCTTTCCTTAGCACCTGTCGCCAAACAACATAAGAAGATCGTGTCAATGAAAGAATGGTTCTAGTAGCCCTGAAACCTTCCATAACAAGTGACTTCACTTGACAAACTCAGTCATGGAGAGGAAAGACACTCCTGTTGAAAAGACATACCTCACTGACTAACAACAGGAAGGTAAATTTTCTTTTCCTTCCTTCGTGCGAAAAAGATTCTAAGAAATAAAACGCCGGTGCGCATGCTATCTAGGTCAAGTTACTACAACACGTGCAAACAAGTGCAAATTAATCTGTTTTTCTATGATGGTCCATTGCAGGTAAGTGATCAGTGGTTTGAAGAAAACACTTGTCATTTCGGCCAACTCTATCAGTTTTTGATCCTTTTGTTTTCATGATACCACTCGCTAAATTGAGAACTTCCCAGTCAAATCATAAGGCATTGCCACTGCCACTGCCACCGGCCACTGGTTGATGTAAACGTTGCACTTTTTGTTAAGTTACCGAATTAGTGCTAGAAAACAACAAATCAAAATACTCTCCAAAAGAAAGAAAGTGCAGAGGTTCTGGGGTTCTACGGTGAATCGACACTCCAAATGAATCTTGTATACAGTTATGGCTTGAATTGAAAGTAATACTAACAATAACAAGTGATGACAATGAATATCTCTGAAACTGAAACTTACGAGCTGACCGATGTCAGATTCAGTATCAGTGGTATACTAAGTTACCATTCTAATGCTACTGGAGGACTCAAAACAATCTCTCAATAACATAAAAATATTTATTAACTATTTTGGTCTTATCGTTCAATTGATTTTATCCACTCTCGCTTCAGATGTAAGAAGTGAGAGTGTTCCATATTCTTAGACAATTTGAGGAAATAGTGGTCACTGTATATTGTACAGTTACCTTTTAAATAATTGCCTTAGGAATCAATTAAATGTATACCAACCAAAAATTGAAAATGTTCAATGACATATTCCACATATATTTTGCAAAGTTACATTTATCTTATCTTTCCTAATTCATGATAAACCCCTTGCAGTATGAGTTCCTGATGTTGATATTTCCTTTTAAAATGTACAAGAAGACATGGAAGTCTAAGTTTTATATTAATAACACATTGAAGATCATAGTCTGTTGTAATTTTAGCCATTTATTTGAGCCATTATTAGAGTCAGCCTGTAAACAGTTAATCAGAAATATGAAAGAAAAACCATACATTAAATAATTTTTTTCTGATAAATATTTTTTAAACAGTGCCAACACGCCATTTTTTTTATGCTGCATTGAGAATACCACTGCCTCTAATTGATAAGTAGTATTTTGTATTCTTCAAGCTAAATGGGAGTCACTAAGCAATACCTGCGGTATGCACCAAGTGCAGTATTTGGTGTTATTGGAAGTCACAAGTCCAATGTGGTGTTCTTGGAAATACATGGCAACAAAGGCAAGTTTTGTGCTGTTGGCGCATGTGAAAATGTTATCATTTGGGATATGCGGAAAGGAGAGAAGGTAAGAATATCGTAAGCGTATTGAAATCAAACACTGATAAGAACAGTGTATGTTACCAACAGTTTTTTGAAGTGGATTTTGAAAAAATATATAAATACATTTTTTGTGAACTTTCTTTAAAACTGTACCTGTACCTTGCATTAAGTTCCATAATGTCTTTTTTTTTTGTTTTTCATTTGAATAAGATTGTCTACAATATTATTCTATTTAATTTAGTCAAATGTACTATATTAGTCTGAAATGATAGATGATTATAAGGCAAACACATGTTTATGTTTTAGCACCTAGAATTAAAAGGAGAAAAACATGAAGTCACAGTAATTGCCAAAAGTCCAAGTCAGCGCCATGTAGCTGTAGGTTACCATGATGGCACTGTTCGCATCTTTGACGTTTTGACTGGAGAATGCACTGTCAAGTTTAGTGGTCATAAATCTGCTGTGTCTGCTCTCAACTATGACAAAACTGGGGTGCGACTGGCATCTGGAGCAAAGGTACATGTATGGCTATTTGAATTAAAAAGGTTTAGTTCAAGTTGGAATTGAATGAAGTATGGAATCAACAGTCATGTATCAACTGAAATTTGACCACTTTTAAGGCTTCCAAACAGTTGACTGCATGTGTTTGTGGTGTTTGGGTTAAATCAGCAGTTTATATCTATATGTATTCTAACAAACATGTTTTTAGCTGGAAATGATCAAAACTTAAAATAAATGTTAGTTTTATTTCTTAGAATACTGAAACAGTTTTTCTGCCTGTCATAACCTGTGAGACATGACATCTTACTTTTTCATCTCCATTAGACAAGAGATGAGAAATCTATTTCTTCTTAAATTTATTTAATGTATAATGAAACTGAGACATAATAACTAGTTAAAAGCAGATAAGTTGAAATTTGAAATAATTTCTTACAGGATACTGATATCATAGTGTGGGATATAGTCAATGAAAGTGGTCTGTACAGATTAAAAGGACACAAAGGAATGGTGACCCAGGTCAGATTTTTCAATAACAGGAATTTATTGATTTCAAGGTAAGTTTTACAGTTTTTACCTGTTACTCAAAACATGTTTTTATTATATTATTTCTTTTGAAAAATAAAGAGTGCCATCATTGTACCTTTTACCAGGATCACATTGATTTTTCACTTGATATTCACAAAAGTGTCAATGGCTAAATCATGACACTTTTTCTCACAATGGAGAAAAGTGCACATAATCTGCTGCCCCAATAGAGGGTACCAACACTGTATTATTCATGTATTCTTAGATGATTTTCTCACATCGATTTTGAATCTGTTTGTTTTTGTCGGAATATTAAACTTAAGGCAGACAAAATTGATAAGTTGGTTTACTTAATGGATGATGACTGTAAACAGGGTCTGCAGACAAAATTTGTATTTGTTTTTTTAAGATATGATGTGTAATTTGCTAAATAATTATAATTCAGAGTGTGGGTAATTTTTGAGCAAGAAAATAAAAAACAACAGCATCAAGATTTTGTGTGTGTGTTGGGTGGGGGTGGGGACTGTTGTTAAATTTCTCCTCTGACCAAACCAATGCCTTATGCATTTCTACTTTTGATAAAAAAGCAAATAAGTCTAATTTCCTCAAAATTATGTCCAGTTGTGTTCTTTAACCAACTAATTAATTCTGTCTGTTAAATCAATATAAAATATTTGGTAGCAAAACATGTCACACTATACTGTAATGCTCCTGCACAAAGCTTTCCACCAATTTGAAAGCTATAGTACTTACTCCTTTTGAATTGTTTTCTAAGTTTGATTACATGTTTGATATGTACTAATTGAAATTACTCCACTGTGGCTAGCTCCAAGGACACTTTTGTAAAATTTTGGGACCTGGACACTCAGCACTGCTTCAAGACACTGGTAGGACACAGGACTGAGGTGAGGCGCTGTGTATATTTAAGTAAAGATAGATAAAGAGAAAGTTGAATACGTAGGTAAAAAGCACTGAAGAATTTTGGTACATTCTTATTCTTGTACTTTAATATTCGCTGGAAATTGCATAGATTTACAGAATAATTTTTTGTACAGGTACATTTAAGGTGGGAATGTAGGTTTGAGATTTTCTCTTTAAATAAAGGTCTTGGCTTTTTTATTCCTGTCACATTCATTTAATGTATCTTCAAAATATTTAATTATGCTTAGAACACAGCTCCAACTTCATCGTGTGACGTAATATTGGGATTTTGGGGACAAAAACACCATTTTTATACACCTGATTTTCTCAGGCACCTGGACAGCTATAAACTTGCTTTTGATGGCATTATAACAAGAACAATTGTGCCTATACAATTGATACAGAGGATTTGTTCATACAGGTGACTTTAATAAGCAGAGGATTTCTTTATATTCCGTGAAAAATACACTCAGTTTATATGAAATAATATCATGGTTGGCCAAAAATTGTACGCACAGTGCATCCGTGCGTATGCCTAGTTACGCCCATGTTAAGATTTTTAAAATCTAACAACTGCATCGAGCTGTTGTCGAAAATGGATAGAAAGTATGACTATTGTTGTCACGGGTAGCAAGCAACGGAATTTTCTTCTTTTTTTTTTTTTGCGTATCTCAAAAAGTTAACAAGAAAATCGAAAGAGCGCTTGTAACAACAAGCAATATTCAAGGGAGAACGCGTATTTCGAGCAAATCCAATGTGTCGGAAAAGATTCATCTTAGCGCTGATCACAATCAAGAGTGACTATCAAAACAGCTTAAGCGGAACAATAGGCACTGCTTTGCCGATCGCCGTTTATGACAAAGGGGGTATGGCGCATCCCTGTTCTATTGTTTCCCTAGACGTGCTGATGCTGCTAAGGTCCACCTAACCGAGTTTAACCATGCCAACGGCCCTTGACAACGAAGGCGGGGCATAGACCAGGCCACTGGTGCCGATGTGTGCAGCATCAGAATCCTCAGAAAAAAATATATATTTTGTTCAAAATGTAAAATTTTTATTCTGTTAAACGTTAGATGAACATTTAACCAATAATTAGACATAAAAAACCAAAAATGACGGTTTTTAGCTATATTTGGGTACATCCGTACCTTAAGATATTTAGAATCATTTTGCCCCAAAATCATTCCGATGCATGTACAGTTGTATGTGTGTGTGTGTTTTTAGAAAAATTATATTCTGTATTGGACACTTTTATCTGTTCATAAATACCTATTACCTATTTTCTGTAGATCAGATAAAGGCATTTGCCTGTAATTTATGAATTGCAAGTTCAAATATTACAGTTGAGAAATGTTGTGAAGTATATATTTATCTTAATTCTGTTTTATGTGAATGTTTTTTAATCAGGTTTGGGATCTTGTCTTGTTTCACGATGAACATCGTCTTATCACTGGGTCAGCTGACAGTGAGCTCAGAGTCTGGAAGATGCTATATCTTGATGAGGTGAGGGGATGTGGGTCTTGATTTATGGTGCATTTTAAAGTTAACCAGCATGTACTGAAAAGATTCTTGTCAAAAAAACCCTTTATATTTGAATTTTGATAATATAATTTTTAAACAACAGATAATACTCAGAGTTATAGCCTACGATTATGGATTTCAGCCACTGTTAGAAGAATCTATTATAAAAAAATAAATTGTAACACAACTGTTCAAATTCTTTTTCCTTACATTTGACATTCATGAAAATTTAGAAACTTAACTATACTCCTTAATTAGATATTTTTGTATTGAAAGCATTGGTGATGTTTGAAAATTTATGTGTTTGTAATTAGAAGTCAGAAGGTCCCAATCCAGCAAAGAAAGCCAAAAAAGCAGAAAATGAAGAAGAAAAAGATGCTGAGGAGGAGGAGGAGGAAGAGGTGACCCTGTAGTTTAGAAAGTTCCTATTTTCTCAGGAGCCAACTCATGTTCTAAATCTTGACCACTCTTTATATGGGCATTCCTTTGAACTCCTTGAACACATTTATTTCTTTAGTCAGTTGTTTTAGTTAATTCATGATGATACTGAATATATTACAAATAAAAGGTACTGATGTGGCATATTGTTCCCTGTAGATGATACTGACCTGTCATAAGCTGGGCTCTCTGATGCGTCAAGGAAGAGATAGAGTGGTATCTATGNACCAAGTGGCCGGACTTCTTGCCTGAACTAGTGTATGCTTACAATGTCACTCCACATTCAGCCACTGGATTTAGTCCATTTTATTTGATCTTTGGTCGAGTACCGAAGCTGCCCATTGATTTAATGCTCGATACTTCAACTGCAGTTCCAGACAACAGGACAGAATGGATATGTCGTCATAGAGAGAGACTTAAGGAGGCTTATAGAAAGACCACCAAGCAACTAGAAGCTGACATTGAAAAGAGGAAAAGGGTTTATGATAGAAGTGCAGAAGAGAGCGTGCTGCAAGTCGGGGATCACGTGCATCTCCGCAACCGCATTCAGGGCAGAAATAAGATTGGGGATGCATGGTCACCTGAAGTCTATATTATTAAAGAAAGGAAAGACAATACCTACATGGTGGTTGCTATGGTCGGGCGAAAAACCTCCTGTGTTAATCGCAAGGACTTGAAACTCTGTGTACCAAAGACTGTAACAAAAGCTATTGAAAATCGCAAATCGCGAAGAAATGCAGTCAACCAAAGAAGAGGAGATATTTCGATTTCTTCGGAATCAGACAATGATAATGAACATGGAACTGTTTCTAGTTCTTCTGAATCTGACAGTGACAATGAACTGGGTTTTGACGTTCAAATGGAAATGCGATGTGAAACTAGTTCCGACTCGGAACACTCGGCTCATACAGATGAAGTAGAACCCCCCTCACAATCTGTACGACGCACAACTCGGCGCCGTGCAGGTTTTCATTCGAATCCGTTTAATGAGCCGCGTTCCGTATTAAACCAAAACTTTCATTAGACGTGGTCGTCTAATATTTTTTTCCAGGGGAGACTGTACCCTGTTTCAGTGTTCTTTGTCTTGTACATTTTTGATGCAATGTCGTCGTCGCCACTGACGACGCAGAACGTCGTGAGCCACGTCATCGGCCGCACACGACGCAGCACGCTCGTGGAGGCCGTGACGCGCTCGGCGTTTTTGATGTGTAGTTTTTGTTCTGTTTGATGTTTGACTTTGATGTGCCGTAAGCGGGTTTATTCTTTTATGAAAGCACAGGATTCTCTGGAAGCCTTAATTTTAGTCTTATTTCAATTCTTATTTTGATTACCAAGAATAAACTTATCAAAAAACCCCAGTTGTCGTTACTATCCCGCTTACATTTGGTACCAGAAGTGGGGTAATAAGGCTTCCAGAGATGGAAGAGAAATTGCGCCAACTCGAAGAGGAACTGAGTAAAATAAGGGACACCCAACTGATCAATGTGACTGTGACTGCGCCTCCCGTTCGTAAACTGAGAAAGTATGGAGGATCCGCCCATGAACTCTCGACATGGATAGAAGATGCCCAGAGCCTTTTACCAAGCATTCCGGACCCTGAGCGTACAAAATTTCTGACTAGTCATTTGGAGGGTATAGCCAGAGAAGAAGTTAGACTGATTTCTGACGATGAAAAGAACTCTGCTGATAAAATTTTCAACATCCTCAAGTCGGCGTTCGGAGACACCAGAACCCCAGTGCAGATAAAACGTGAGTTGTATGATCGTTTTCAGACCCCAAGAGAGAGTATCAGAGAATTTTCGCGTAAGTTACTAGAATTAACTACAAAATTGGAAGATTCAGAAAGTAAAAACAACATTGTTTGTGAAGTTTTTAGTGAAAATCTCTATGATACTCAAGTAAAAAGAGAGGTAAAAAGAATCTTCAGATGCAACCCCAGAATTTCCTTCAGTGAGCTCAGAGAGGAAGCCATTAAGATGGAGAGGGATGGAAAGCCGACATCACAGTCTGCCCATGTCCAATCCCTTCAAAGTGACCAAGGTGAGTTAGAAAAGCGTATTGACAGCTTGGCAACAAGATTAGAAGAAATATCTACAACGCAACAAGAAATGATTTCATGGATGAGAGATCAACAACAGCCCCGACAACACCGGTTCCAACCACCACACGGTACAGTGCAGTATAGTGCTATCTCAGACAGTAAGTCAGCGCCATACACCAACTACCGTTGTCACTATTGCAAGAAGATGGGACACATTCAGCGTGACTGCCGTAAGCGTCGGAAGGATATGACGGGCCAGGGTACGCCGCAGACGACATCCACTTTCAGCGAAGTTCATAGAACAGCTGATAATTACTCAAGGGACGAGGGAAACTAAAAGGCCCTGCTGACGCGAGGCAAGCAGACGGGGCAAAGAAAATGGAAGAAATGATTAAAGCCTCATTAATGGGAAAATGTCCAACCATACGTTGCAGTATTTCCGGAGTTGAAACAGAATTATTTCTGGATCTCGGCAGTCAGGTTACGATCCTCGAGGAATGGTGGTTTGAAGAAAACCTTAAGTCTCAGTTTAGTGACCTTGCAGATGCCTCAACCTGGCTGAGATTAACTGCAGCGAATGGATTGGAGATTCCATATTTAGGTTATTTTATTACACACACCACTGTTTTGGGTAAAACTGTAGAAAATTGTGGCATCCTAGTAAATAAGGGTGCATCCTCTTCCAAGAAATCACACATTGCAGGTATCCTGGGTATGAATGTCCTCCGTCACCTCCCAGATATCCAAGAATTGCTTAAAAAGGTTTCCCCCCAAGAGTCATCTTCATTTTCTTGTGTTGATGGGCATGTTTTTAAAGTTGCTGGCCAGGATATGGTGAATATTCCAGCCTGGTCCACGCGCATTGTTTCTGCATATGGACCACGTTATCCAGGGATGTTGATCACTGAAGCCCTCGATAATCCAGTATGTGGTGGGTTGCTTTTGAACCCAGGGCTAGTCGTATCCGAAAGTGGACATTTTGACGTGGAAGTGTTTAACCCGACGGAAAATGAAGTTTGGCTTCGACCTCGCTCTCCACTGGGAAGAGTTTCTGCGGCTGATATTGTGGATACAACTCATCAAGTTGAATTGAAGGACTGTGGTGACTGTATACAGGTTAGCCTACACCCCAATAAATCCACAGCATCAGTGTGTACAGCGCAGTACGCAACCAGCCAAGCACCCCCTGAGAGTCTAGATTGGTTGAAAGACATAGCCGTGGGAGACATTTCCACTTGTGATTCCAAACGACTCACTGAAGTATTAAGTCGTAACAAACATGTGTTTGCTTTCTGTGACGAAGACGTGGGTCTCACTCATACAATAACTCATCCTATTCACACATCGGATGACGCTCCTGTAAAATGCCCTTACCGACGTATACCGCCGCCGCATTTCCAGGAAGTGAAAGAACATATACACGATCTAGTCAAGAAGGGAGTGATACGACCTAGTACGTCTGAGTATGCCAGTCCCATAGTTGTATGCAGGAAAAAGAATGGGAAGATTCGAATGTGTGTAGATTACCGGAAGCTGAATTCCAAGACCAGAAAAGATGCTTACCCTCTTCCACGCGTGGAAGAAACGTTTGATCACATGAGTGGAGCTAAGTACTTTTCAACAATTGATTTGAAGGCAGCCTATAATCAAGTTGAGGTAGCAGAGCCTGATCAGCATAAGACAGCTTTCACGACCCCAATGGGACTGTATGAATATGTTAAAATGCCGTATGGGCTTTGTAACTCACCCGCGACATTTCAGCGGTTGATGCAACTCATCTTCCGTGACGAAATGAATGAAAAGATGATTGTTTTCTTAGATGATAT